TAGGAGAAGAGAAAAAAAACTAGCTATTAATTATTTGCATTTTTTAAATAATGATTTATTGTGAAACTTGGCATATGAATAACTTTTCATCACCTAAAAAAATATAATTGAGCTGATTTGTTTCTCTTTTCCTAGCGAAAGCACATCCACAAGCGCAAGGATATTTATGAATTCTGAGCGCAAGTGCATGACATGCCTCTGAGCGATCGGTTGATAACCAAGATTTTTAATTTTCCACCTAGAAAATCGCGAAAATTAATATTTTATACTTCAGACATAAATATTTTGCACATTCACTTAGCACCAGCAAATCCCAGAACAGCTAATTTAACATGTGAATTTCCCCCCCCCCCCAAATGTATTTAACCATATTTTTAATTTTTACAATGATTTTCTCAATTTTGTGTTCCCAGGGAAGAAGAATCTGCCGCAGCATTCAAGGAGAGGGAGGTGAAGACAATGATCGTAGGGTGCATGGCATCATCTGCCAAACTGATTCTGTCATCGCAGGAACAGCGAGATGAGATGTTGAAGGCTAACAGAAATGTTCGTCCGTCTGTTCTTCGAACCCTCAGCCCCTCTGAGGTTGAGTGTTTTGAAATCGTGGATCCCCAAAGTCGGAAATGAAAAGGGAGAAAAAGGTCGAGCTGCCACCTATTCACTGACGAGCAAGGAATTTTGTCAGTTGTATGTCCAAGGTGAGAGTAATTATTTAATTGAACCTTCTTTTCTTTAATAAGTAAATGAAATAGTTGGTTTATAATGTTTTGACCTGCAAGAGACGCAAGCAAACGTCAGATAGAAAATGAATTTATACACATATAATTAACATTTTTCTATTATGTCTCAGTATTATTATTATTATTATAATAAAATATTAGTATTTTTATAATTATATTAAATTACTTGACAAACGAGACAGCAAGCTAGAGATTTTGGTCCGTTGGTGGAAATTAAGCATCTTGAAGAGGGTAAAAGTTATAAATACTGCTTCGTGAATTATGATTATTATTTATTTGGTCAGTCTACGTTTTAGCTAAAGCTAAGCAAAACTTCCAGTCTCCAGTACGACTAATACTTTTATTTTGTCAATTTAAGCATTATTAAAATTATCGATAACAATGCACATAGTTTTGGTATTAATAGGAAAATCATCTATTAATAATTTTAGGAGCCAATACTCTGACTAAAGGAATTCCGCACGATCCACTCTACGTTGTGCACATGGAGACCCGAGCGGTGGTGTTTGGCCTGCGATTCTTCACCGAATCTGGAATAAACCTTCCCATCTTTGATCGTCCCGGCCTGAAACGTGAGTGTGCATATTTTATTATTGTTTATTCCAACTAAAATCATCACAAAAATTGCAAAGTTTAATGTTAATTTGCGCGCATAACAAAATCCACTCATCTGCGCTCTGCAATTTTTACTAATAAAGTTTAGAAAATGAAATTTGTTTCAAATTTGTTTGCCTGCTTTATTATTGTTGCTTGTTTCTGTCCGACAATTACATGTCATGAGATAAGACAAACAAAATCAATAAAAAAAAAAAACACACACACACACACAAGTACCAAATTTCCGAAAGAGAAAGATTTTTGACAGGAAAAGGCGCCGCCTCTGGCAAACGTTTTGCGAAAACACAAAATAAAAATTAAGAAGTCTCATATGAAGCCCAAGCGGGGAAATCACATTCGGAAGGAATCCTGCGCAAGATAACATCGATGAGTCGGAAAGGTTTCAGACGAGCTTCTCTTTTCTTCTAAATTAAAAATATTGAATATTGTTCAAGGATCAGCTCTTACAAGAATGTAAATACAAAAAAAAAATCATTTTATCTTGCCATTAAAAACTCGTCATATTTAATACACAAAAAACATATTTTTGTGCAAAGTTCTTGAGAAAAGGATCCGTCAAGTTCCCACTAAGGGATTTCCTCAAAAATGGCTTCGAGCGAGTTATTGGACGAGTAGTGGCACGCGCGACGATTTGTTTATAATTGGTTTTCTGCTCGAGAATAGCTTTCAAATAAATGCGTCAAAATCCAAACCAGTGTTTGGAAATTTGAAAATAGAAACAGTGGGCCAAAAGCAAAAAGATTGATCAGTTGAAGTAGCTTGTGAGGGCAAATAATTAAAGTTTGGAGTATTCCCTAGCTTGTGTCTTGTGTTGCTTTCCAGCAATTTAGTACGTCCTTCTCGAAACACGCCGTTACATAAATATTACGCTAAATATCGCTCAGATCACAGCCATGCGCAATGCAATCTGCCAATTTTACTAGCGATCTATATTTTGTATTTCTTTAATCGCCAACTTTCCAAGAAATTCGCCAACCTTGCGCTCTCTACAAGCAAGAAATGTGGTTATGCAACTGGCGCGACGACGATGCTGCGCCGGTTGCCTACTCTTGTCAATCGTGCAACTATTAGGCCCATGAATTAATTTGATGATTCATTTGACTTAATTTTTAGATTCAAGCTTTTCAATTGCGGAAAATGCGTGACATTACTTTTGCTTTTTCGCTTCTTAATTAGTCAAACATCTCGTGCGTCTACTTTTAATTGTGATATTAAAATATAAACTGTAGTTTCAAAAGATATATTTAAACTTGCAATTAATTTTAATTTGGAATTGAAAATTAATCACCATTAATGAACGTATTATTTGAATTCATTCTTTTGGTATTATTTGTTTATTTTCAATCTACATACACTGATGTGTATCCCAGTTCTTGCAAGATAGATTCACTAAGACCAGTCGTGCTGCAGATTTGCCTCCAATTTTCAAATAGAGAGGCGTCTCGGGTTCACTCCCCAGAATCCTTTTTAAGAAATATTTTAAGCCAGTGGCTATATAATCAGTTTTGGTCTGACGTGCTGTTTTGCAATTAAACCTGAATTGCAAAGTTAATCTATTTGAGAATAAATGGAAAATCAGTTTTTTTTATAAATTTCAGTTTGCTCACATAAGTAATTTGCTGTAAAAAGTGAAAAACAAATCACAGATCCATGATAATTAAATAGTGTATTACATATTCTGCGATTTTTACTAAAAGAGTAATTTTGTAATTCCATAAATCAAATTATATTTAATGTATTTTAATATTACATTTTAACATTATTAAATTATACAATATATTGTTTTTCTTAAAATTTGCTTTTAATTTGTTTGCAGTTATGCTTGCACCCGAAATGGAGGAAATCTACGACACAAAAACAACAGTGACCCGTAAGGAAAACTTTTTGGAATAACATATGGTTCAATTTTTATAGTTGTCACGGCCTTCGACTATTTTTTTATGAGGCTTTTATTATTTGGGCCCGGAAACTTCGTATTTGTTTTTAACGACAAAAAGATCTCACATCATATAAGGCATCAATGTAACTCTGTTTCAGCCATGTACACAAGAGCCGGAAATCTTCGAAAGAAGTTTCGCAACTCGACGCATAATTGGCCAGGACTGAGAAAGGTCCCTGAAAACATGAGGAGTAACCACTGCACTCTTAATATGATTTGCCATTCTGTGATGGCCATGGCTCATCGCGGCGTAAGTTTGAATGTGTAAAATGCACAGAGATTGTTTTTCTCACCCTCTTACTTTAAATTAACAGTACACCAATGCAGCGAGAGAATTTTCAAGCCAATCCATTCATGGAAGTATGCAAAGATTGCTCAGAGAGCTGGTGGTTAACGGAGGACTTTTTACAGAAGAGGCTGATAGACTCAGGCAACAAGTCATCCTCAGTTAGTAAGTCAGAGTATAGAGCATTTATAACCTTGAATTAATAATTAAAAAATACAATTTTTGGTCCACAGTCGTCAACGCATCATCAACCGCGAATACAACACCCCTTATCAGTGGTTGTTTGATTATATTCGTACCGAATCGGTTTTGATGCGGCTGGACGAATGCGATAGCTGTGCCAAGTCAACAAATGTGACAACTCTTCCCCCGTTCTTGACCAGTGAAGAGCTCTTGGAATTGCTGCAGAGGCCAGAGGCCAGGCCACGTCGCTGCACTGAACACAACGTTTGTGACTTTTTTTTTTAAAAAAACTCACTGAAATCAAAATTTTTAAATTTTGCAGTGCCCTGGCCGACTGAAAAGACATGTTTTCCAGTCCAGAAATTTGCTCTTAGTGGATTTTGGCCACCCAAACTCACCCAACAATTTCTCCACATTTCCTCAACTGGAGAGGAAGAATCTGCTCCCGAAAGAAATCAAACTCTCAGAACGTTTCTCGTACGATTTGATCGGAATGTGTAATTTTAAATATTTATAAAATTATTTTTATTATTAATATCCCTCAATTTAGATATTACTGAGCTTGATACAGACGTTGCACAAGACCCCTTCCATCCAATGGACAACAAGTGTAACGTCTGCGAAATTGAGATCGAGAAGAGGCTGGAAGATGAGCAGCTGGAATTGATTGACGAAGAGGAGTTAGGAGATGGCGAGGATGACGTCGAGGAGTACGAAGATGATGAAGACGAGCCCAGCAATATGCATTCGATCTTCGTGGAGTTCAAAGGAGCTGGTAATTCGGAATGAATTTTGGGAGAAACAGTATTGTAAATATTGTAAATTAGGTTTTAGGAGGGTCTGCGACTCCCGCACAATTAAATTTGGAAAAGCAATGCAAAAAACCCAAGGGCGAGCATACTTGTGTGAACTGGCGTTGTACGGACGGAAGGACGAGCCTCCAGCTTCATAGTTCGATCAAGTTTTGGTAAGTCAATCTTGCTCTATTATTTTTAATACTATTCAGCAATTAAATAATTTTATCATTAAAAACTTAATTTTTAGGTCAGATTTCAACTCAAACCCGCACGTTTATTTGACGAGGAGGACTGGGTGTAAGGAGAAGCAGCACAAATTGAAATGATTGATACTGGGCAAGTTTGAGGTCCAAATAGAAAAATTCTGAAATCTCCAGTACAAAATTGCGGGTGCCCGATTATTTATGTTTCCATGGTCCATGGTTAACAAATAAATCATAAATCTACAAACATTACATAAATTGTTTACGCATTTTTATTGTTAACATATTTTTAGATCCATCAAAAGCACATTTGATTTAATAATAATTAAGAGTTTTATCAAGACTTCATGTTTTTTTTAACAATCATTTCAATGATTTTCATGAAGCAAAGAGCAAAGAAAACAATGTGCTCCGACAGGTGTTGAAAAAGTTTCACTTGAAATTATCACAAATTGTCGATCCAATTGTAAACTTGCGTGATTCTTTGAAGCCAAAAGTGATGTTTTTTAAGTATCTTTTTAATATATTTTATCTCTCAGTTTACAAATAAAGGTGCGCTTTGGTGCTCGTTTTAAATAAGTCAAGAAATAATATTATAGCTTGCACCACTTCGATCTGAAGCAAAGAGAAGGTTACGTGTAGTAGAAACTTGACAACATTAACAATCTTGCTTCCTCAAAAGAAATCAACAAGTGCAGACAAAAGCGTATGTAGAATTTTACAACTAGTACAGACTTCGTGAGACAATAATGTTATACCTTAGAACAATAGAAAACAATTTATCAAGATTTGTCCATGTTTTTCGTGGATTAGAGTAAAGTACTGGGACGAAACACGTGATTTACTCACTCACACATATCAACATTTTCCACCTGGTTGTCCTCGATTATCTGCAAAAATTAAATAATAAGTAACACTTCTATTTAAAATCCTTTCATTTTTAACCTTTTCCACGTCCATCGCGTAATAGACAGTCTCGGAAGATAAAACATCCATGATGGAGCTGCAGATTGTTTTCACAGCTGGATTCGTGTTTTCATTATCGACGAGAATCTTCATTCTTGAGTCTCCACCTTCCTCGACCAGCATCGGGCAGTACCGTTTAGCTGGAGCCCCCAAAAATGGTTAATTTGAAAAAGGATTTATAAAAATTAAACCTACAGTTTTTGGTGCAAACATGTTGAATTGCCCAAACAGCCCAGAGTTGCACCTGGTACGGAGTCTCGCACTTGAGCAACGAGAAAAACGGCTGGAAAGACCGATACGCAACCATCTCGCCCTCCGGAGTCTCCCATTTGAGAACAACATTTCCCTGAAGAAGAAAAACATGTTAAATCAATCAGAAATGAGAGACATTTTTATTACCAGTTCGTCTAGCATGTCCGCTCTGCTGATGATGGGCACAGTCCATGTCTCAGCACCGTCACTAGCCAAATGGGCAACAATACCGGCAGCAAAATAACTGACGTCCAAGTGCTCAGAATGCAGCAAATCCCTGCAATCATTATAACGAATTTCAAATTGTTGAAAACTTTTAAAAAAGGCATATCCATTTTCAGAATTTGTTTGAAAAAATCCTGAAATGTTTAAAATTTTAATTTAATTCCAAAATATTTCAAATATTTGAGGAATATAATGTGAAAGTAAGTTCAAATATCCATATGGCAATACAAAAAAAAAAAAAAAAAATCATTTATTCTTAATTTATAGAAAAGTTTTGTAACATATTAGTTTCTTATAATACAGATTTTGGACACTCAAGAAATGCCACTTTTAGAAATTCGAATAAATTTTGGCAACCAAAAATTAACATAATAGTACCTGAGATGGTTGAGAAAAATCTCGACCATAAGCATTCTCCTGAGAATTGGCACTTCCGCGATATTGTTGATCAGTCCGAGCACTTTGGTCTCGACCGCACTCTCTCCACGGAAAATGCTGAGAACCTCGAGAAACAGAGTAAGGCCCCCTTCCCTCAGAAAAACATCACACGTCTTTGGTGATTCGTCTATAGAAAAAAAGGCAAATTTTATCTGATTTCCGACTGGCGCTGCAATTTATTCCAACCTGTCAAATTCCACAGGGCGCTGAGGGTGAATTTCATGGTGATGTCCACCTGCTTTGTCTCGACTTTTGACCGGACCAAGCTCAGAAGTTTCTTCATAAAAGTGGGCTTCGAACCCAACTCGGACGTCTCGTTAGTAGAAATTTTCGCGGCTGTGGATTGTTACAAATCATAAATGAATTAATTCATTCCAACTTGTTAAATTGTTCTTGCCTAAAATAGAGCAAATCGCAACACTCATGCGGTTCATGGAGGCGTCGTCAAAAGCGCAAAGACACTCCATGACCAGACGGGCACACCTGAACTTGTCGAACTTGACGTCTTGCAAAATTCTATCACTGCACAAGGTCAGCAGGGTGTTCTTTTGCAACTGACAAAGTACATTCGAAATTAGAAAAGAAATTTTTAAAAGAAAGTTCAAATTTTTACCTGGTAGTGATTGGGGAATGTTTCCATGGCACCTAGCGTCTGATTGACCACCACCTCCAAAATTTGGGGGTGGATTTCCTTGGCTATTTCACCCTTGGTCAAATTGTACAGACAGGCTGTCGACGCCATTTGAACTCCGAACTGATCACCGTGCGTTTTCATGGCCCTCAGCACAACCTAAAGCAATATTTTAATATAATTAGCAATTTTAATAATTTTACTCCCACCTTGAGGAATTCAATCTGGGGATCCTTGCTGTTGGTCGTGATGCGGAACAGTTTGTACAGGCACTTCTGGACAAAATTGGGCCGGTACGCATACCTGTATGAAATCGATTTTAAATCCTCAGAGATTTATTACTTGTTTAAATTTTCGTACCGATTAAGAGCTTCCAAAATCTGTTTGACATCAGCAGTGCCGGTGACAATTATGTCGGGTCTGTAATTAGGGCAGCGGCTATCGAGGAAAATGTCCGAGTAGCCGGCGCCGGTTCTCAACAGTCCCAAAAATTGTATTTTCGGGTGCATCAGGACAAAGTTCAGGAGGTCGTCCTGGTTGATGTCGTCCTTCCCGGAAATGTCCAGGTAAATCATGTCGGGCCAAATGCCAGGCGGATGCTTCAGCAAGTCTGACGCCTTCAAAAAGCAAAATACTTTCAGCCTTGCAATTACTTTTAATCATATTAATACATTAATTTTGGTGGGAGAAAACATTTCAAAGGGGTGGTTGTCTTTCTCGTCGGAAATGTCCAACTTGCACAGTTTGTTCAACTCCAGTAGAACCGCAACGGTATTTTCACAGCTTGATATGCGCAGATTGTACATGGATAAGGACCGAAGACGATCTTTCAACCTGAAATTCAGAGAAATATTTGTTTTTGAAACATATTTAATTAAATGAATCAACCTTCTCAAGGGAGTAATGTCGTCGACCCTGGTGGCGGAAATGTCGAGCGCTTCGATGTTGGGCAAGTCGTTGGTGACGACCTCGAGTCCGTGCTTGTTGAATTCCGTGTAGGAGACGTCGAGGGAGCGCAGCCCTTTCAGTTTGGCCAGAGACACGACCACGCAGAACTTGGAGTGGTCCAGGAACGTGCCTCGGCTCACATTCAGGCTGCGCAGATTCTGCAGGGTCCACTCGCCCACGCAGCCGAGCAGGTCATTGACCGTCGCTTGGGTCAAACCGGTTATCTCCAGGTCAGTCAGCTGCAGTGAGTAAAACGTTGTCAGTGAAATCTTGATTGAAATCAATTAAAAATAATTGAGATTTGCATCATTTGAAATTAACAAAAATGTGGTAAAATTTGAAAGAAAAATCCTCATATTTTAAAATTAAATTAATTTGCGTTAATTGGCATAAAATTCAGTGGAGATAAATACAAATATTATATTTACGATGGATTTGCATTTGAATTATTACAATTTTTTTTACTTTTTTTCCGATTTGAAACAAAAAAATGCAACTCGAACCTTGTGGCTCTTGAGCATTCGGAGTCCCTTGGCCGTCACATAAGTGTTCTTGATGTTCCTGAGTTGGATCTTCTTGAGGAGGGTGACGTTGGTGTCGAACAAGGTGAGCGCCGTGTCGCACAACTTGCGGCTCTCGCACAACTCGAAGAGCAGCCGCGACGCCAGGTCCGAGTGCAGCCGCAGCCCAGAACGGAACCGCAGCCGATGGGCCGACTCCTTCGAACACCCACAGCACTTGTTCGGGCCCGGATAAGGCGACGCACCTGCACGAAAATAATTAAGGAAATTCGGTACAAACTTTCATCAATTCACTGACCATGGTGAGTGGAGTTGTCGCACAACTCGGACGCGGGCGGGACTAGAAAACACAATTCCTCCAGATTGGCGCAGATGAAGCCGATGCAGGCGTCCTGCAAGGTGCTCGGCGACTTGAACTTGCTCATGTTGAATCCAAAATTATTATCCCGACGACGACGTAAAAATAATTTAAGACTGCTGCAGCCTCCGAGCAAGAAGAGTCGACTCGTTGCAGGCCATTGTGCTGGACGAGGTTGCAGAAATCTGAGAACACGGAGAAATAAAATATATCATTTTTCCTATTTTATTTTCCACCCGCGATTCTCCGCTCTATGAAGTTCCATTCTTTTATACGCCCATATTATTATGAAAATATCTTTTTATTTATAGTTTTTTCCCTTCTTTCTGTGTCAGGCTCAGCTGTTGTTTTGCAAATAATGCACGCTGCGTAGTAAAAAAAAAAAATAAAATAAACAATGATGGCACAACCGTGACCTCCGTCCTTGGCCAGGTACCGAGCACAAACAACACGAAATTGATATGGGGATTGCACAAAATTTTTTATCTCCGAGTTCAGGGGTCAATTAGTGAAAAATCATTTCCTCCCTCCACTTTTTGCTGGGATTTTTTTTGTATCAATTTTTGAGACGCGTCTTTTTCGAAATCGTCACGGAGTGTCGACGTGATATTGATTTGATTGATCTCACAATCAGTGGCACGAATTAGAGGCGACTTTTGACTCGCGATTGCGCCCGGATCGGACGATTTTCCGTGCCAATTCGGGCGTGACCTTAATTAAAGGGTTCTCACGTACCTGCTGCGAGGCTTGGATTCCTGCTGACCGCGCGAGATTGACGCAAAACGAGAGTTAAAATGAGTAAAATCGTCACTCCATCGTGTGTGTTGCTGGCTGGAGCGACTCGCAGTGTTGTGATGAGAAAAGTTTTGTGATTGGTCGACGGCTGGGCTCTTTAAATCAGCTACCGCCAATCACGTGACGCTGTTCTGCGGCCATCTTTGAAAAGTGGCGGCAAAACAGCGTGCTTCTGGCAATTTGCCTCGTTTGCTTGTGATTTCTTCCCCAAGATTGTAAATCATTTCTCTGTATCAATTTTGAGAATTTCAAACTTTTGACAAATAATTCATTATTTTGTGTTTGTCATTTTTAATTTTTTTTTTAATAATTAATTCTAAAACTTAATGGAGGGATTTTAATTCAAAAATGAGATTATATTATTTAATTTTCAGAAAAAATTTGGAATAAAAGGGTTGTAAATTCTAACATTTTTAGGATTAACCCAAGACTTTTGGACATTTTTTTGTATTGATATTTTTTTCTAAATTTACTTTCATATTTATCCTTTTTCCGCAATATTTAGGGAATAGATCTATTAAATCTAACCTGATGAAACCAAAATTTGAGCAAAAAAAGTCTTCATGTTAAAAAAAAATGAAAGAGACTCCTTCAGGCTAACGTCAAATACATCACAGTGAAAAAGTTAAATACATTTGTAAGCTTTATATTCTTTATATATATATATATATATATATATATATTTTAATAAATTTTGAACTATTTTCTCTAATTTATTGTTAAAAATTACTTAATTATCGACTGTTTCCTTAAACTATTACAACTTAATTCACTACCTATTAATTGTTGAAATAGGTTTTTTTAATGAGTTGCGAATGCACATTGGAGAATTCAAATAAGACAAGAACGATGGTACTTTTTATTTTTCGCAAAACAAAATTGAAATATTATAAAACGAATACTTTCACCCTTTTACAACAGTTGAATTTTTCTTCTACTTTACAATAGTTTTGACTTTGTGTTTTTTAGAAAATGAGTCTGTTGAGGTTTATTTACAAATTTTCGTCTCTTTTCGCCTATCAGGCTTATTTGAAGACCCTGCTGGTTGCTTTTAACTCTTTGGTTTTCGTTTTACTCTACATACATGTCCACTTAAAGTCGGGGCAGCACGATGGCCCGCAGCTGGAAATAGCTCTAAAGAGTTGCAGACTCAGTCGCATCAGAGCGATATCAAGCGCAGGAACGCGCACTTCACTCTCTGGATACATTTCTAAATCCACTCTCTCGATCGCAGCGAACACAAACTTTAGGTGGGCGCGAGGGTGGGAAAATTATTATTAGCCGGCTTAAGATATCTCTCCGCAGGCTTGAGAAGAAACTCGAAACTAACTGATGCGCGCGAGCATCAGTCAAAATAAAATGCATTTATTCATTTCAAAAATTATTTTAACTCTGCTCTTGGCACGAACAGAGCCTTTCAAGAGCGCATCCTCGTCTTTTACTTGAATAATTTCCAGAGACAAATTTATTCATTTCGCCCTCTATTATGGTTGACGCGCGACTTCGCCCTAAATTAAGCTTTTTATTTTCGTAGCGGCGGCATTCGTGACACGTGTTTGTTTGCCTCTGACAGCGCCCCGCGTATAATTCGCTTTGTTATTATTATTGTTTCACATTCGAAGCTGTAAATTCAGCTATTAAAATTTCAAAATTATTGCTCGTCCAGCTGGACGGAACGGAATTAGATCTTGAAACAAGCTATTCGCCTTGTCAAAACATTTCCGCGTCGAAAAAAAGACAATAAATCTTATCCTACAAAAATAGAGTTTGAAATAAATTACATCAGATTTTTAGTTTTGAAATTTTGTTTTTAAATTTTAATTTTTTTTCTCACGAAAAATGGTAAATTTGAACTAATGACAGTAATGATTAATTAGATTTAAATGATATTCAATTAGAAACATTTATTTTTGAATAACATCCCCGCTTTAAAATTTTTATGTTCATGTAATTCACTTTTAACACTTTGAAAATGATTTCATTCAAGCGCGTGTTTAAATTTGTCCTCGCGACGCCTGAATGGAGCTATAGGTGTATAAATTTAGCGTGGGCAGAGAACTTGCGATTTTGGTTCAATTTATTTCTGTCTAGGTCACTTTGGAATCGGCCGCTGCTTTCAAATTAATTAAGCGCGGGAAGTGAGCGCGGCCGAAAGATAGGAAGGGATTTGCGGCTTATTTATGACGGTTCCAAAATTAAAGCGGCGCGTCAGGGCAAAAGTGGTCTCTTGACAACAAAAATACATCCGGATGAGTTGCAAAAACAAAAAATCAATTTCAAATATAGTCATCGGATGTGCTATTATAATTTGTATAGTTGGTTGTGCGATTGCGGAGGAGAATCAACCAGGCGTAGAAATGGCTGCTGCAAATCGACTCTTCCCGCCCGCTGGCGAAATTGATACCTCATCGGCAGCAAAGCGGAAAAAGACAGATCCTCAGCTCCAAAGGAAGTGACGAGTTGGTTTCAGGCACAGCGACTCGTGTGTATCAATAACACAAGTGCCGGTCTTGTTTTGCGGCGAGAACTGCGCTGCGAGGCGAACACGCTTCTGGGCCGCCCTCTCAAGAGACAGAAATAGCAGAGATCTGCTGGAACCTGGAAAACCAAACACGCTGAATTTACTGAAAATTTGCGGAGAACAAATAGTAAAAAGTAAAATTGTTAAAAGGAATTAATTGGAGAAGATAATTTAAAAATCTGTTTTAATATGAATGAAAAATAAATCAATTTAAGCAATTTAAGTGGTAAGAAAATTTTGAAAGTTTAAGATTAATTTTAGGAATGAAGGTGCAAACATAGTTAATTAATTTCATAAATTTTCCAGAATTACATCAATTTTTGTGTAAAACCTGCAAATAAATTTAGGCAACACCTACGCACGTGTGTCGCGAGGGTTGCATACCTTGTCAGGCGCCCTTGTGATCTGATTGAGGTCGAAACTGTTTTAAACTCTGAATGGACGGAGCAACCAAATGTTTCGTAGGTGAAAACAAATCACAAAACGTGCCTTGTGCGCGTCCGAGCGAGAATTCTTTTTTGTATATTCTGGAGGAGGCGCGCGTGTCATTTGCCCCGCGCGCGCAGAGGCTATTTTTCGCCACTTTGACAGCTATAATGGCATGTTAAACTTTTCATGGTTTGTTTCCACGGGCGTTGGAGAAAATGAATTGATCGTCGACAGAAAAAAAGATGTAAAGAATCTATATTGTGCAGACGAGAGGAAAGCTTGGTTTTTATTTTGCTATCGGCGCCGACGAGAATGACCCGCTGCGCTCTGGCGATTGAGTTTTAACAGCTGCGATTATGGGTCCGCGACTGGAAACCTTCGAGGCCTTCAACATTCAAAATAAATTCAATACTTTTTTTGCCTTTAAATCCTGGCTTTTTTAGAAAGAACAATATTTACTTCTTTCTAATTCAAAATATAAATTTTTTCATCAAGTGTGAATTTTGTTTTCTCTGTTTGTAAGTCACATGATCTCTCTCGCAGTTCCATTTCAGCTTATTGTGATCATGAATATGGCAAGTGAAAGACAATTCGGTCGGAGGCCCAATTAGACACGTGATTGACAAGGCGCGCATTGAATTTCCAGCGCCGCCGCCAGGCAAATGGAAATAGACCCCGAGCTGATCAAAATATCAATCGCGCATGTTATTAACCGGGGTGGGTGGGTGGAAGGTGTGGGACCATATTTGGGCCAAAAATAGACTCTTCCATATTTTCCCTCATCTCGCCGCCGCCGCCGCTCCAATATAAATGGACAGAACATAAAATTTGTCCTGTTTTCGGCTCTGACGTCAATCTCGCTACTCCAGATTTTATGAATGTTACTCACACACACACTCTCCCTCTCACATATAAATAGAGCCCTCTCTCTCATATACCAGACAAAAATTTAGCCCAACCCTCGTTTGCGGATCTCTGCCAATTTCTTTATTACGCACGTGCAATTTATATAAATTTTTTTAGTATTATAATTTTTGCCGGCATCTGAAATCAATCAACTGTTGACTCGGTTTTAATATGAATTTTTTGTCTAAACTTCCGTTGGTGAACAAAGAGCGATATTGATGGCCCGAGGCAAATTCCGGCCGCGCTGCTGGCGAGCGTTTTTCAACACGCGAGCGAGACGACGTGTAGAATGATTAGTCACGGCATTTCGCCACTCAAACTTGTATTTTTCATTCTCGCGCGCGCGCCTCTTTGTGTGGCGCCGCTCGTTCTGTATAAAAGTTTGTGTTGACATAAATTATCGGGATGCGCGCACGGTCAACTAAACAGAGCCCCTGTTCTGTCCAGCGGCACTGATTTATTCAATGCGAATACAAATTTTTGTTTTATATATTTGCATATTCAGCGACAAGCAATGTGCTTGAGGCGCACGTGGCAAAAATCGGTCCTATTGCGGTCAGTCGCAATTTTATATCAGCATTGAATGCATGAACAAAAAAATACTTATATGTAGAACAGAAAATAATTTAACATGAATTAAATTGTGACCATTAAATTCACCACATTTAGGACAATCATATAAAAATAAGAAATTTGATTAATTTTCATTTCGAGCTTATCAGATATTCTAAAAATAAGCTTTACAGTAATATAAAAAAAAAATAAAACTCAAGATAAATTGAATAAATTGACTTACTTGTTGTTTTCTCTCGTCCTCTGCTGGGAGAATGTTAATTAAAACAACGCCCAGCTTCAGTCTATACACGGGTCAATCGGCCTTAATTAAACTGTTATTAAACTCATGAATCAAAAGCATACTTTATTCTGAAAGAAGTTCCAACAGACCAAGCATGATAAGAAAACAAATAATTTAACAGAGACATTTGGGATGGATATACAAAAATGATAATTAATTTAATTTCATGGTTAGATTTTGGAAAAAAAATCTTGCTTGCACAGATAATTCAAAAAATTAAGTTTTGAGATAAATATTAACTCTATGGAAATGATCTGAACAAATAATTGTTAATCATATAAGTTTAATTGAGATAAAAAACTCAGGCCGATTTTCGTTCTAAGAAAATGAGAATTTTCAGCTTAATTTCATAATCTAACGAATCCTCGATTTCAGTTTCCCTTTTAAAATAGTTCCAAATTGTTAACCTCAAGACTTAAAAATTTGAACAACACACTAAGAATTAAGTTAGACGTAAAAAAGTCAGGCACTTGCAATTAATCCAACTGCACTCTGCTTGTCTTGCGCTTGAAGAATTTGACTCGCTGGGCACAGAAAGAGCTCTTGTGGCGCGCCGGCAGCGCAGTGAAGTGAACTGGATGAAATCATGGTCTAAACTGACGCAAATATTTATATCTTGGAGAGCAGAGGCGTCCCCGTACATACGTGTGTGTTTGATGGCTCGAGCGATGCGTGGGTGTTTCGGGCAGAGCGAGGCAGCAGGGCTGGCTCGCGGCGCGTGCAGGACGATGAGAGAAGAGGCGCGCATGGCCTCACCAACCCTTGCCTCCCTCCACCCTCGCTCGCCATGTGTGCTCACACGCGTTAATTAAGCGCGGGCCGAGAAAACCACCCCGCCCTAGCTGCGAGCGTGATCGCGCTGCCTTGGCAAATACAATCAAGAAAGACTCGGCCGGCGCGCAAACCACTTATTCCGGCGCCATCAACACTAATTTGCTCTCGGCACAATCAAATCCACCAGCTCTGTTTAGAAACAAAAAAGCGCAAAACAATAAAATTTCTGCTGCACAATTTATTTAAGAGGTGCAAAAAATATTCAGATCATTTATAATGGAAAAAATTGATATGTTTCTTTAATGTTTTAATTAACAACTTTTTATTAACAACAATTTTATGATTGAAAAGAGCAGATTTTGACCAAATTAAATTTAAAAATCTAAATAATAATTAAAGAATAACATTAAATAACCTCAAAATTTGCATTAATTTTTGTCAGAAACGCTTCATCTATGTTTCAGTAAAAATTTTCAATCGATTAACTTTTCAAACTGAAATTTTAAAAGATAATATCAGTGTTGAAACTAAATTTATTTTAAATCCATTTTTTTTTTATAATTCAGAAAAGAAACGTATGAAATTATTTCAAATAATTAATATATACGAAATTCAGTTTAATTTCTACCTCTTTACTCGAATAATTCACGTCTTTTTGCTTAAAAGCTCGTCTCCTTTGAGCTTGAAAATTGTTGTCTGGCGTGGCCCGCGAGTCCAAAGGGGATGGAGTGCGCGGTGGGCTGCTGGTCGCCGCGTGTTTATTTGGAAAAGCGGGTGCGCGAGATGCACATGACTAGGGATAATATACAGAGAAAGAACGCGCGCGCCTCGCGCCGAGCAAGAGAGACGCGACGCATATTTATAGCGAATGTTATAAGGCGCGCAGCTGCCTTCTTTAAAAATCTTTCCGGCCAAAATATCTCGGAAAGTTTATTTTTATATCACAAGTTTATAAGACATGACGGCGGCGCGTACGGAAATACAAAAAATGGACGTGCATATGACTCGGCGCAAACCGAAAATTTTGTGTCACACTTTTTATTCAAGAAAGTAATCAAATTTTAAATAGCCCGCAGGGGGTGGCGAAGCTTTTCACTTGAACTCTCCCACAGGATCCTTATTTCGGCTGGTCAAGCTTTTTTTGAATTTTTTGTTCCCCAAAATTAACTCTTGCGTCGTGATTTACTGAGATTTCAAAAATATCTCCGGGCGGCGACTTGACTCAAGTAGAGTGATTACCATTTCCTGTTTATTTTTAATTTTTCTCTGGATGTGAGAGAGGGACACGGATCTGTGATATTGCCTCCGTACATCCACCTCTGCTGGCAGCCGAGCCAAACAGGACATGTATTTATTAAGCGATTTGAGCTAATTAGGCGAGGCCTAGCTTCTTCCTGACTCATCCAAGAATAAAGAAATTCAAGTTTTAAGTTGGTATTCAAAAATTTTATTGGAATAAATAATTAATCCTAATTATTTTTAAAAACAACTACGTGATCAAAAAGGTATGTAACAAAATAATGAGACCACCGCAGCAATGATGAATTAAAAAAATTATTCAAAAATGCTAATGACGGTAAATTTTGAACACTATTCACAAAATAATTTTGACACCCATGCCAGCAAGTTTACACGTTTTGAGATCTAGACGGATATTAATTTAAGCTGCAGACGATTTCTCGCCCTCCTTCTTCGATTCCTTTTCTTCAGCAACTTCTAAAATTCCAGAATTAATTTATGAAATAAAAATGTGATAATTTTAACTTACTCGGTTTTTTCTCGTCCTCGTCATTTGTCTTTTTCTCCTCAGTGTCGTTCTTGTTCGATTTGTCCAGACGGGGTCGTTTACGTCCCTTGAAGGATTTCTGGTCTTTTCTGTCACCTTCGTCTTCACTGTCCGAGTATTCATTGTCCGGAGCAATTCTCTTGTCTGTGATGCTCTGGGGCAAACGTTCATCGGGGTTGGCCTTGTCGTCCTCCTCGGAGTCCACCTTGGACGCATCTTCAGGGATGGCTAAAGAAAAACCAAATTTCAAATATTTTCTGCACAAATAAAAAAAACCATATTTTTACCCTGCATTTGAACTCCAGGTGCGTGCGGAAGCATGCGAAGGTTCTCAAATAGGCGTGTCCTGATTAAAAAAATTTAAATGAGTTTCAAAATTCCAGTCGCTTCGGTCAACTCACTTTATTTTTTCCAGGTACTCGGGCGTGTTTTGATTGGCCATGTTTGAAGGGCTGATATGCAACTTAAAGTCGGGGCCGAAATACTCAAAGTAGTCGTTGTAAGGTAGTTCGTTGGCGATTTCTACGCCCAGGGCCACCGACGTCTCATAAGTCCAGCAGCGAGACACGTTCCTGATGGTGTAGCCGCCGCCCCCGACAATCAAAAGGGGCAGGTTGTACTTTTTCATGAAGTCAACGCACTTCCCGTGTCCTGAATGGCACAGAATCAAATCAACGGAGTTCATAAAGAATTTTTATGGTAAAAACATACCTTTGACAGTCAGGTTGAAACAACCCAGTCTGTCACCAGTGAGGGAATCTGCTCCGCACTGCAGAACGACTGCTCCAGGCTGGAAGGTCTCCATGACCTTTGACATGATGGGAACGAAAATGCTTTCGTAGCTCTCGTCATCGATGCCATCTCGGAGTGGAATGTTTACTGCGTAGTACTTGCCTTTGCCTGCACCAATGTCCTGAAGAATAAAATAGGTAATTATTAGTAAAACAATAATAAAATGAATGTTCAAATTAATTGCACTAAAAAATTTAATATTAACAATTTTGATGAGATTTTGCTTAATTGTTAATAATTCATACAAGCTTACTCTGAGATCGCCAGTTCCAGGGAAGTACTCTCCATACTTATGGAAAGAGGCCGTCATGACTCTGTCGGTCGTGTAAAAAGCCTCTTCAACACCGTCTCCGTGATGCACATCAATGTCAATGTACAAAACACGCTGGTGGTATTTGAGCAGTTCGAGGATGCCGAGGACAATATCGTTGACGTAGCAAAAACCAGAGGCCTCGGACTTCTTGGCGTGGTGCAGCCCTCCACCCCAGTTGATGCAAATGTCCGACGACTGTTTGTTGAGCTTGACCGCGGCAGCCACGGAACCGCCTGCAGACAACTGGCAAAACTCGTAGAGCCCGTCAAACACCGGGCAATCTTCACCAACGTTAACTAAAAAGTAAATTCACGTTAACTCGCTAGTTTTTGGTTAATTATGAAAATCTAACATCTTTGCATCTGCTTGTTGTACTCGGTCATGTTGTCGGGCCGAATGCTCCTCAGGAATCGGATGTAGTCGTCGCTGTGGAATTTGGTCATTTCCTCGGCGGTCGCTTTGTGCGGACGCTGAATTTTTCAAGACAAATTAGTCCTGCGCGGAAATTAGAGCAATGGCACACTTACGTAGATTTCCATCTTTCGGTACAGGCCGTAGTTGAGCAGCAAGTTGTGCGTCATGCGTATGCGGTGTGGTTTCATCGGATGGCCCTGCCCATAGTAATAGTTTCCTATGTCACCTGGAAATTGAAAATAAAAATTAATCAAATTACAATTGCAGGTTAAAAGTATTAAATTTCAAGTCTTCCTCTAGAATGATCGGATTTGACGAATATGGATTCGAGTTGACTGAGGGTCTTAAGTTCCTCAAGTGGATAAGGGATTTTATTTTCCAGATATTTAGCAACTAGAGTTGACAAAAGAATGCCAATTATTGTTAAACATTTGACTAGTGTGTTTATTAAGGTAAATTTAATCAAATGGTCCATCATTTCTCTATCCTGACGAGAAAAATTGGATTTTTCTGCGGAAATCTTTTTGTTTTTAAACCTCGGCGCCATGACAGAGGACCGACTTTTATCCACTTGAAGAACTTGAACTCACTGAAGTGAAATTTTCACTTTAATAGCATTAATATCATTAAATAATGGAAATTTCACACGCCACCTACAAACTTCAGTCACGAAAGCAATTAAAAACGACAAAAATCCAGCCTTAATGCGAGATTTCCGTTCAAAAAGTGAAAATATCAAAGTCTCAGGCGACGGATCTTTTTCGGTGCCGTTGAAGGTCGACCGGTTTCAACGTTTTTCGGAAGAACTGGATTGAATTAAGAGAAAACTGATTAAAAACTCACTGTCGTAATAATAGCAGACTTTCTTGCGGCTGTGCGGCTGCATGGCTGCTGAGGTCATGGCCGAAAAAATGCCGAATTCGTGCGGCGGCCCGATTTCGCTCGGTGAGCGCGATTTCAAAGTTCAGTAGAAGAAACGATTGCAGCGCCAAGCGGAAAAGTCGCCAATTCCCGGGGCGTTCGCTGAACTGACCAATCAGAGAGCAGAAAACGCTCGAATGCAAAGTAAGGGAGACCGTACGCGTGCGCAGAAGCACATATTTGCGTTCTGCGCAGACTTTTCAAAGAAAGCGAGAACTTTTCTCGCAAATGGGGCCGGTCTAATGGAAAACAACTTTGATCTGTCAAAATAGGGACAGGGGACCAGCGAGAAGCTTGTTTGAAGGACTTTCGGGGCCCGATTCGGCGGTCGAAACGGCCCTCATGTAGGTGAACGAGGGCCGAGTTCGACTCTCGACCGCTCACGCCGCATCCCCGAGCCAGCCAGGGTGAGTTTTGGCCGCCTTTCGGGCCACCTTTGTTTACGTTTCGCGGCTGCTTTGATGCGGAGGAATAACAATGTGTTTTTTTTATATACATATGGACTGGCTGATTATACACTCGCCCAAGAGATAATTGGTTCGAATTAAAGGGAGTAAATTCGCCGCTGGAATGATGGCTTCGGTGTGATTCCACATTTGGGAATTTGCGGTACTTGTTCGCCTCAGGGGGTGATTCAGCTTTGGCGGAGGCTCGCGTAAGGGTGGTTTCCTGCATGTCAATTAAGTGGGATTCCCAATTCAAAATAATGACCCTTGTTTCTTCAAATGGTTAAATAAAATTTTACTTCTGTCATTTCAAGGGAATGAATTCAATCTAAAATGGTAAAATTCAATAAAAAATGAGAAATTCAAACTTCACATTATGCCATTGTGTGTGAAATTTTGGATTTTAATTCGATTAAATACATATTTAAATTTGCAAAGTCAATGCTGGTGTTTGAATGGCGAATCTTTGCTCAAATTTTGCTCTGCGAGAAACTTTTGACCTGGTGACCCCGCTAATGAAAGTGACATTGAAATCAAATTTATTATAATCTGACGCTTTCTCTCGTTCACACACTTGAAAACATACATAAAGAGGCATTCGGGGACCTTCCTCATTAGGTCATTCATATCAGTTTCACATTCTTGCAACCTTGATTTAAAAAAATTAAGGTTCTACTTTGCAATTTTTGATCAACTTTCTATCGAATTGAATAATTTTTTCCCCTAATTTTCTTAATTTTTCATCGTTTCTATTCAAATGTAATGAAAATCAATAAATTCTATGGATTTTCCAATCGTCAAACGAGGTTTTGTTCTTCGCCAAATTGAACTTGCGAAAGCCGCACGACGAATGAATGATTTATTATCTTTTTCTTTTCGTTTGTTCGGAATAGCGAGCGGGCAAGGAAGTGCGCTGGTGTGAATATTAAACACCGCACGATGATAATAATACATCATGGCAGCTTGGCTGCCGGTGGGGTTGCTCGCCAGCACTTTTCGCTCCCTCGACCGCCGTCGTCGTAATAATATTCACAATGCACTCTTTATTGCCCTCCCCGCGATTCGTAATAATGCAGGCGCGGGGACGGAGAAATAATAAAGATAGGGTTGGCTGAGTCGCTTGCTTTTGCAATCTGTCTCGTGGGGCCGGCGGGCAATAAATTACCCCCTTTTAATGATTCATCACAAGATTGTCATTTTGATTTTGCATTTTTCCTAAATAAATCCATTTATTATTTGAAAAAAGTGTATTGAATTCAAAATTGATTTTTTTTTTATATTTTTAAAGTTTTGCTATTTTATAAGAAAAAACCCATAAGTCAGGGACCAGCATGAGAGTTTCTAATGAAAAAAATCTTGCCATATAATATAATTTAGTTGGAATTTTTAAATTACGTGAGATCAATAAAATTGAATACAATTAATGAAATCGTCCAATTCATGCATGGTTCATTTTAATTATGATTGAACAGGGACAGATTACGTTATTTATATTTAATTTTCATCTCAAACTGTCCCATATAGTGCTGAAAATAAAATTTAAGTATTTTTCAAGACATTTATGCAAGAAATTATCAGTTTCTTTACAATTTTTCTTCAGTGAAATTTTGTTGTAAAACGATTAAAAATGTTCTTAGGGCCGAATAATTATTGGAATTTTTTTATAATAATTCAAATTAAATTTCTTTATAAAAATAATTGTTTTGATTTTCCTGGCAAATCACTACCTATTTATCAAATTATAAAATTATATTAGTTGCAGAATTGATTGGAGAAAACATTTAGTCTGTAATTCCTACAATTGCTACTTCTGATTTTGATACATTTTTATTGGACGCATTTGCTCTTCTTCCACACAGATTGTTGTTATCTGATTGTTTGTCTTTCTCTCCGTAGACATGATACATGCATTAACTTCAATGCCGCAGTCAAGCCCGCATGCAACGATTTATTTTTATTGCTCTAACGAAAAAAAATTATCTATTGTCTTTTAAACCCGCCACTTGTGTGATTTCAGCTCGGAATGCGAATAGCCGGTTTTTTGACAGAAGAAGAAGAAGTTTGATTGGAACAAAAGTAACCATGGGGTGCTGCTGCAGCAAACCAAATCCCGCTCGGATGACTCTAGGTAAAAAGTTTTGACAATTTTCCAATTTAATTAAAACGGAACATTTAAATCTGATTTTGATTTTTGTAATTTCAGGCGTGGAGGGAAAACCGTCGAGCAATGACTACGTGACCGAGGGCAACCGGATGCGGCAGAGAAACGCTCAGCCATGTGACCACATCAGGGTGCAGCGCAAACACGACGTTGAAATGTCCGAGTTCTCCACCGGCAGTCACAAAATTGTGGTTGGAGTTTTCAACTACCAGGCCAGAGAATCGTCTGACGTTTCTTTCAACAAGGGAGACAGAATGCTCGTTCTTGACGAATCGTAAGAATATATTTTATTATTATTTAGATTCCACCATTGTTTTATTTGATCTTAAATTGAATTTAAAAAAATCCCATTGTGTTACAGGGAGTCTGATTGGTGGCGAGTTAGACATTTGAAGACCAACCACGAGGGTCTCGTTCCCTGGAATTACGTCGCTGAGGAACGGTCCATTGAGAGTGAAGAGTAAGTCCTGCCCTGTGCTCACTCAAATCTAATTAATTTTCCCTCTGCAACAGCTGGTTCTTTGGGAAAATTGTGCGCAAAGAGGCCGAGAAACTGTTGCTTGCGCCTGAAAATGCCCGCGGGACCTTCTTGATACGCAACTCGGAGCACAATCCAAGTGGCTTCAGCCTCAGTGTCAAGGACTGGGAGGAGATGCGCGCGCACCACGTCAAGCACTACAAAATCAAATCCCTGGACAACGGCAACGGATTCTACATTGCCACCAACCACGTCTTTCCTAGCCTCCAAAGCCTTGTTCAAGCCTACAGCAGTGAGTTCTCAGATTTTTGTTTTCGTCCGGGTAAAGTTTTCTCAAGGAATCATTTACAAATCTCCTCTGCACATGAAGTATCTTTCAGTTCAAATATTTTTTACTTTTTTTTGGCACAGAAATATTAATTTTATTTGATTTCAGAAAACGCACTTGGACTTTGCCACGTTCTATCAAGACCTTGTCCGAAACCAAAGCCGGAAATGTGGGACTTGTCTCCCATGATGCGGGACCAGTGGGAAATCGACAGGAACGAGATCACTTTAGTCAGGAAACTCGGCCAGGGCAATTTTGGTGAAGTCTGGCTCGGTGAGTTTCAACCCTAAAATAGTCCAAACTAGGCTAATTCTGTTTGTTTTCAGGAAACTGGAGAGATTTGCCAGTGGCCGTAAAGACTCTGAAGCCAGGGTCAATGTCCCCGCAAGCGTTTTTAGAGGAGGCTGCCATCATGAAGAAATTCAGACACAACAGACTGGTCGCTCTGTACGCGGTTTGCTCGAGGGAAGAACCCATTCTGATCATTCAAGAATTCATGAACAAAGGATCTCTGCTGGACTATTTGAGACACGAAGGGAAAGAGAATCTCTCACTCGGCGACTTGATCTACGTTGCTGCTCAGGTTTGTTAAAAAAAAAATGAACTTTTCTAAACAGATTGATTGGAATTTTATATCCCAGGTTGCTAGTGGAATGCAGTACTTGGAGAAGTTGAACCTCATACACAGGGACATAGCAGCTAGAAACATTCTTCTAGGAGATAACAATGTGGCCAAGATCTGTGACTTTGGCTTAGCAAAGCTCATCGAAGACGACGAGTATTGTCCAAGACAAGGTACTTGATTCTTTTTTATTATTGGAAAACAGTTTAAATTGATTTTCAACATCTGCAGGCGCTCGCTTCCCAGTCAAGTGGACGGCACCCGAAGCAATCATTTACAACCGGTTCACGATCAAGTCGGACGTCTGGTCTTACGGAATTCTGCTGATGGAGATCTTCACGTACGGTCAAGTGCCGTACCCCGGCATGAACACCAGGGACGTCATCGAGGCCCTCGAACGAGGCTATCGAATGCCAAAGCCCACGTCCGTTCCACTGCCCGACGAAATATACAATGTCATGCTGATGTGCTGGGACAACACGCCCGAAAAAAGACCCACTTTTGAGTTCCTGCAGCACTTTTTCGAAGATTTCAACGTCACTTCGGAAATCCCGTACCGAGAGATTTAAACAAACACCTGTCTAGATTTTTAAATTGTAATTCCGGCTGCTCTTTGAGTCAATTTTTATCTAATTTCTAGTTGAAAACTGTGCATTGCAATCATCTATTCTTATTTTTACTTGTATTGAGCAGTTCCTTTTTCTCTCTGTTTCACGGCAGCGTTTGAGTGATTTGTGTTTCTGAATGTTTTCCACGATTTCGGCACCTTGCATGACCAATAGTCAAGGGCATCAAATCACTGTGTTCAGAACCAAGAATAATATAATATATTATTATGTGTACAAAGATTAAACTCTATTTACGACGGGGAATCAAAATTCCGCCAGCAAACACAGGATTCAGGAGCTTTAGTCTCCGAAATTTGGAACAATAATCGGAACACGCAATGCATGTGAAATTGGTAAGCGAGCTTCAAAATCTTCCCACCACGTTTCAGGCACAAACTCTTTTAATTGTAATTCCAAAGCTTCATTTGCTTTATTGAGGGCATTTAAAATGAATCAATTTTTATATGTATGAAAATATTCAATCTCGAGTTCCTGACGCAAAGCTGCTGTTACACTTTTGCGCAGCTTTTCATTGAAGCAACAGATAATTTCAATCTGCTTTCACTTTCAGTCGTCCAGAGAGTTAATTAAATTGCGTAATTATTTAAAATGACAAAAGTTTAGAGATAATTCTTATAAGTCAGCGTGTGTTTGTGTACATATAAATGTGCTTGTAAATATTTTTCTATCCAACGAAATTTTATCCTTGGAGCAGTGCGACAACTTTTTTATTTGATTTTACGGGAATGGCAAAAATATATATATTCTCAAACTCTTGAATCGCCAAAAATATTAATTATAATACTATGCGTTAATTAAGAGTGTGAAATATTCTTAACTCGGAGGCACAACAATTGTTGTCAAGCCAATTTTCTTCTCACAAAAACTGAACTTTGTATATATGATAAAATTATATTATGGTTTAATTGCTCATCTCATTCCATCTTGTGAGTGTGCATTGTTGGATGGAGAATGTGAAAAAATCTCTTGCATAATATCATAATTAAAAGTAGCTAAACTTCATCATTGCGTATACAAACAAGGATTAAGACATTTTTCAAATTTGCCATTTCAATATACTTGTAGTGTTTTGCAAGCATCATGCCATCTTAGAATGTTTTTATTGGTTTCTTTGTATATCATTATTTGATGTGACCGTAAAACGCGTATGTGATATATGTGCTAGTATTTATAAATAAACATACTACAATTTGCTACATATAAATTTATTTTTGTTTCCTTTGGTGCCATTTAAACATTTAATTAAAAAATATGAAATTATAAATGATAGATTTGTCGAAACAATTTTCACAAATTGTGAATGAACATTTTTTTAAATCTGCAACAAAATGGAAAGGGCATTTTATTAAACGAGAGGAATTTTTTCAATATTATGTATTGTCGTTTTTTCTCCACATTGCTTATACATTCGTTTGTTCGAAACAACTTTTTGTTGGAAAAAACGGCAAGAATTTGTGTAAAATATCCAAGACTCAATCCGCCGCTAAGTGTACAAAAGTAATAAGAAAATGTAAACAAAATCATTTTAATTCTCAATCTCCGCATCTGCTCCGCATCCAATTGGTGATTTTGGCGCCAAAAGGAGGCAAAAATGGAGCTTGCCGAAAGCATCGCGAGATGACCTTTGGCCGATCGTCCGAGTTGCCCTCTAGCGGAGCGCGTGCGCACCACGGTCCCGCCACACAGCCGACTTACCAAACAGGTTTCAATTCGGGCCGAATTCTGCTTGATCGAGAGACTCGCGCTGCCCGTTCGGCGCTCTCGGTGCGCAGTGCTTGATGGTGAGTGCCAGGGTCAGCCGACCGGCTCGACCGCCGCCCCCGGAGGACCCACGCGCGCGCCCGAGAGGCGGCCCGCCCCCGGCCTCTCCTCTGCCCCGTTCCGCTGCGTGCCCGCCTCGTTTTGCAATTCTCGGGGCCGCATTTCGGGACCTGTCAGCCGCGCAGGGTCGTTTTTCGCACCGGGGGCAGTCCCAGGGCGACGCGGGGGCGGCTCCGGGGGTGGCACGCTCGAGGGCGGCGAGTGTTATGGGCTCAATCGGCAGATGTTATTGTCTTATGCATTCGAAAACGTTACGTATAAAGAGGGAAAAGAGAAATTGAGAAACTGTGTATTGACCAATTTATTTGGAACGCATTTTAAATTTTTGAATAAATTTTTTATTATGTAACTGAAAATTTAATTTTTTTATCCGCAAAATTTTGCAGAAGTAAATTTAATAAAACAAATTTCGGATTTTTCTGTGAAAAAACTTGAATTTCAAAGTGAATTTTTCAATATTTGTATATTTCTAGGTGTAGCAGAAAGGAAGATGCCAAAGTCACCCCAGGCAGGGTCTTCTGAGGAAGGAGGGCCGGTGGCGGCGTCGTCCGCCGCGGCCACCCCGCAAAAGACCTTCCGAGGGCGAGGGCTCGCCAGCCAGATTGTGAGCCACGATGAAATCGCCCAGGAAATCATGCAGCGCTCCCTCAGGAAGAATCCTGCGCCCATTCAATCCGACGTCAAAGACGTCTTCTTCGCTATGAAGCTCACCCAAAGACTGGCCAACAAACTCAGTCCCGCCTCCAAGTAATTCCATCAATAAAAGATTTGTAATTTTATATCAATTAAATTTATTTTACTTCTCCTCAGGGACGGGACGATTCTTTCTTCTCCAACCCTGATCAACCCTGATCCGCCTCCCCTCCTTCGTCTTGACCAGGAGACCACCTCGTCGCCCCACGTGTCCGCCCCCAAGAGGAAGGCCTCCACCGAGGCCACCTCCGGCACCACTCCGGCGGGGACTGCCGCCTCCGCAGCCCCCAAAACCGGAGGCAGAAAGGGCTTCCGGTTTCAGCGGCAGCTCGACCCTGAGACGGAGAGGGAACTCGCCCTGAAGCAGCTGAACGAGCTGCCGACCCTGAAGAGGAGCCGGCGCAAGACCAAGGAGGTGGTGGCGCCGCCCAGCAAGACGCAGGAGGCGTCCATCCAGACCAGTGCCTTACAGCATCCCCTCACCAACGGGGACGCGGACAAAGTCGAGCTCAAAAGCGAGCCAGGTAATGCGAATCTCAGCTCAAATCAAGGATCACGGGAGCCATTTTGAGAGGCGCCCAGAACCGCTCATTCAAGTCTCCCCATTTGATTGCATGAGGATTTCCTCCTCAATTTCTCACTGACCTACTTATTCTATATTTATTGTGTCGTAATCATTCAAAATTACATTCTGAATTTATTTTTATCGATTAAAATAACCTAATTACCAACTTTTTAACAGCCCAAAATTTTATTAAAAAACGCGCAATTTTATTTAATAAATTAAATTATATTTATATTTTTTTCACAGAGAAAGCGGAGAGCGTGTGCAGTTCCGAGTCAAAGAAGAGACGCTCGATGCACCGCGAACTGGACATGCTGCTGGGCGACGAAGGTGCCGTCAACATGATCTACGAGGCCGAGAGCGGCCAGGAGCGGCGCAAGTCGCGGCCGCAGCGGCCCGACCTGTCGCTCAAGGCGCGTCTTGTGAAGACGGCTGTGATTCGCCTGAGCTCTGCTCCCACCTCCTCCAGGGCGCGCCGCAAGACGGAACCCACGCGGCCGCCGCCTGAAGCGCCCAAAGCTGCTCCCAAGCCCGAGGCGCCGCCGAGACCGACGGCCGAAGAGTCGAGGATCATTCGCAGACACTCGACCTCCTCCTCGGACTCAGACGCGCCTCCTGCCAACAAGCGCAAGGCGACGCCGATTTTCATCAAAAAGGCTGACAAGAGTCAGGCCAAGCCCAAGAAGGCCGCGTCCTCTGTATTCCCAACCATCAGAGTAATAAATAGATAGAACAAAATTTCAGATGAGATTAATTTTTGCTCTCTTCAGTTACAGAAAAAGGTGCAAGCGAAGAGAGTCGAGTCCAAGATCAGGATCCAGTTGAAAAAGAAGCCAGATCCGAGGAAAAAGATGAGTGCTGCGGTCAAGCGCAGTTTGAAAACCGTCATGGCCAAAAATTTCCAACAAGGCTTGGTGAAAAAGACTCAAATCACTGCCCCCTTGCGAGCCAAGGCCAAGCCCGAGGATGACCCGACCTTGAGGACTTTGGAAGCCCAGCTTGCTCTGATGATAGGAGAAGATCCGGCTCCGGAAAGTCCAAAAATCGGTCCTTCCTCATCCACAGGTGATTTCATCGAGCCCAATAAATTTAAAAATTTCCTTATTAAAATGTTCAAATTCAGGCAAACCTTCGGGGCTGAGTTCGAAGAGGAGCTCGACTGACGATAACGGAAACAAGCAGCGCTCCACCTTCCGTCAGAACGCTGGAGTGGTTCCTTGCAAAGAACTCACAGTTCGACGACATCCAAACTTCATTCAGGTCATTTTGAACCCTAGCTCAACCAAGTTGAAAAATTCCTTCAACACAGCCGTGAGTCACGAACGAGTCATCCAAGTTTTGAATGTGACTTTTTCTTAAAACTTTTGCAGGTTTTGAAGGAGTTGAAGAACTTATTTGTACAATTAAAGAAGGATGAGTCGTGCAGGGTACTTTTGCTGTCCTCGAACGGATCCGCCTTCTGCCAAGGGGTGGATCTGCATTCGCTGAGTGTGCTCACGCAAGACAAGAGGAAAAAGGCTGCCCAAGAACTGGCCCTAGCAATAAAGTACTTGATCCCATTTCAAAGCCAGAGTTTTCAATGAATTAATTTCAGGGAGTTCACAAAGGCCATGGCGTCCTTCTCCAAGCCCATCGTAGCGGCTGTGAATGGAGCGGCGATTGGCCTCGGGGTGGCCATTCTGCCCCTGTGCGACCTTGTGCTGGCCTCGGACAAGGCCACGTTCTACATGCCCTACGCAGACCTCGGCCAGTCTCTGGAGGGTGGTGCTTCGGTCACTTTTCCCAGACTCTCAGGATCGATGGTGGATTAATGAATAAACAAATTGTTTTAAACTGGCTCATTCTTTTATATTTTGCAGGCTGGAGACTTGTTATATAGCGGCCGAAAAATCACCTCGATGGAGGCCGAGCGCATTGGCCTTGTGTCTAGGGTTGTGTGGCACGACAAGTACCTGGAGTACCTGATGCCCACGGTTCAAGAACTGGCCTCAAAATCGTTACAGGTAATTTACAAAAATTGCTTTTGAAGTATCAAAGGCAGTGCGCCTCGTAGACGGGGCCTTCAAACAGAACTTCCGACTTGTTAGTGGGGCTCGCGTGGGCCGTTGAGTAGCAGATTCGTCCTCGGAGGCACGAGCACTTGAAGTAAATGGAAAACAAGTCCTGCCTCACGACGCCGCACGCCTCCCCTTCCTCGCACCGCGGCAGCTAAAAATAACAAAAAAATTATGAAATCGTTCGGCCCATTTTCCAAGACATTTAACATCATTTTTAACGAGCCGTGTAATTACCTTGGCGCACGAGTACGTGTCGGCGACGTCGAGCGTGCCGTTGAAAAAGCGCCGCTTGCTGGTGCGAACGTGTTTCCAGTGGCGCGGCGCCGGCCACGGCGGACAAAAGCAGTTGGCCGTGGAAACGGTCGACACGGACGCTGCCGTCTGCGTCAGCCGGTCAGGCGGGGTGCTTCGGGTGGTCACGTTCAGAGCCACCTGGGTGCTCTTGCACTTGCCCAAACTTTTCACGTCGTTGCAGAACTGAAAAAATTATTGGAAATTTATTAGTCAAAATTTATCAAATGATGAAAATAATATCCTCATTTTTAATTGTGCGATGCTTATTTTTAATCAGTTTTCAAAAAGACTTCCTAAGAAATTTTGAAAATAATTTTTAAGAATGCTGGATCTCTTAATCACCTGGATTCCTTTCTCAGATTGCACATTTCAATGCGGCCTGTGACCTAAAAACTTGGTCATCAAAGAAAATAAAAAAATCTTCAGCAGGTGTTTTAGAAAAGCCGAACCTATCTCCAGTTGCCATATTGGAATTTGACAAATTTCAACACATTTATGAAATTTGGGAGGTTCAAAAACAAAAATTGAAAGTATCATGGCATTCTTTGCAGAAATCAATAAATTCTATTTGCTCATAAATTTCTAAAAATAAGTAAAATAAATTGTCAAGTTTGTTTTTAGTTTTCGACTTTTCTAACAAATTTACTTAATTTTCTGGCCACTAAAATGACACTTCTCGAATTTTGAGGTGGATTTTGCTGTCCTAAGAAGGTTCCATCCACTTTTACAAAGAAATAAATGGAAATTAATAAACGCTGCTTTTTCCAAAAAAAGATTATTTTTCATGAACGATTTTGAATTTTAAAAGATGAGTATTTTGTGGAACGAACCTTGAGCTGCGACCTGTTGTTGAGCTGCATGCTCTGATTGTCCCTGAGCGGGTCCATGGTCCACGCGGAGGGACACTCGAGTCGGCCGGGGCATCTGCAGAAACGCTCGAGCAGGGGTTGCGCGCCCCAAAACCTGCGGTGCAGGACGCTGCAGACGGCGTTGGCGGCACACAGGGGCAGGTCCCTCTCGCTGCGGGCCTGACACCAACATTTTGTATCAAAAATTAGGTCGGCTGGCTCGTGTGTGAGTGAGTGCGAGTGTGTCAAAAGGGCACTTTTCTTTCTCGAATGCTGGACGCATTTATTTTTACTGAATCTATTTCCGTCTCCGTTCACATTATTTCCAATCGAATTTCGCCAGCCGCGCCGTTTCGCAATTTGCTGCCACACTCGAGTTTGATTGATTGGCTGATTTACTGCCACTTTATTTTCGGCTCGGAAACACTCGCATGGCACTGGAAGAAAGCTATTTTGAAAAAGTGTTGCCGGGCCAATTATTGCAAAGACTTCAAAGGCCGACCGAAGCGATTTAAATCTCTCGCTAATTGCCGGCTCGAGCTCACCAGAACTAATTTCTACAGAGATAGAAATCACACAAAAAAAAAAAAATGGAATGAAAAAAGTTTAAAATGCCAAATTAAATTATATTTAAGGCTTTGCTATGAATTAATAAATTTAAATTAAAAAGCGGCGATTTTAATCAGGTCCCAATTTAGGGATAAAGAATTTGCTGAAAATTAATTTTCAGAAATTCTGTTCTTTAGATTCTTTTCAAAGAAATACTTATCAATTTAAAATTGGATTTTGCTACAACGGTTCCATTTAGTTTTAATTTGTACTATTTTATTTCAATTCCAAGCCCAGACATGTGAAGAAAATATGAACGGATTGGGAGAAATTAATTATTTAAAAATTAAAATGGTTTATTATGGAAAAATGTACTGCTCAAAATAGGCCGCATTAGAATTTAAAAAATTGCTCCAAACAAAGTTCATAATTATTGAATTTGCCTAAAAAATTTAATTGAAAGGCAATATTTTTCTCACAATCTTTTTAGTTTTTATGTTTCATTTTGTTTTTCAAGCACTCTGAATGAAGAAATATAAATCAAAGCAGATGATCTAACTAAAAATTGATTAATTATATCCTTGTTTTGTGTGAGATTTGCTTAAAAATTCAGACTCTCATTTGTATTTTAACAAAACTAAAATTATTATATTAAATTTTAGCGTTATAAAAAATTCACATTCCGAAGATAATAATTTTGCTTGTAAACAAACGCGTTTTACTGGAACTTACGCTGCCAGGGTACGAGAGTTGCACGGGTGTCGAGGCGAAGGTGACGGCGAGCAGGGCAGCCGCGGCCACGACGGTCAGCATCGCACGAAGGAAGCAAACTCGCCAAGTGTCCACCTCGAAAGTTGTGTGCATTTGGCGGTCGGGACGGTGGGGGACCCCTTCGTGCACCCCCACACCACCCCGCCCACGCCCCGGCAACAACTTCTTGTTCTCAAGTTGAGCGTGAGCGTTCACAAAAGCTCTTATGTTGCGAAATAAAACTCACATTCGCCGAGTTTTATGACGGCCGAGTAAATTGAATGGGTTTAAAATTTCGTTTTTTATTTCTTTCTCCATTTTATGAGACGGAAATGTTCAGAGGGACAAAACTTGACTTTTTTAAATGAATAATTGCTGAGTCGCAGAAGTTGATTCCTAGGAATAGATTTATTTCAGAATAAATTTGAAATAACCGTATATTTACAAACCAAAATTTGACTTTATATTTTTAAATTTGCTGAACGCATTTAGGAGAGTAAAACAAGTTCTCAGGAATTTTTTTAGTATTTGCAAAAAACAAGTTTTATTTGAATTTAAAGGAAATAATTAAATTGATTATTCCTGTATTTTCATCTTCAATTTTCGTTTTGTTAGTTAAAAAAACGTAATAAAAATTTAAAAATAATCTAAATGAAATATTTTTTTATGTATTTGAGAAAGAAATGTTCAAATTAGTATTATTTATTCGATTTTTTTAAAATCATGCAAATCGTCCAACTCTGTCTGATTTACTGTCATTTTTCAGTCGCTCGAGTCGACCAAGAGTCTTCTGCGTGAAAGTCTGAGGCGCGAGTTGGACGGCGCCCTGGAAGGTGAAGAAAAGCTGCAGATCCAGCACTGGTGCTCGTCCGAGTTCCAGAAGAGCGTGCGCAAGTTCCTCGACGCTGAGGGTCTGCAGCTGCAAAAAGGCTCCTCCTAGACTGACCACACAGACCAAATCAGTTGCGTCTCCATTAATATACCAACCAGCCACTGCGAATTCTTCTAATAAAGATCAACAAACAAACAACAACAAAAAACTGTACAAACACTAACGCAATCATTTTAAGCAGAATGAATAGATCAAACAAAAGCTGCGTCCCATTCTTTTCTTTGCCAAACACAGAATGCAATTCCGCAGCAGCTGCGATTCGATGTAAATAAATATTCAATTGTGGCCGTGATTTTCAAATCCGGTGGCCGAGTGAAAAACAATTAGTATAACGATTATTGAAATATGTGCATAATTAATTTTAGAAAGAAAATGGTTATGAAGATGAAGAAAATCACTGTTGAACTCGATGGAGCACCCAAATTATATAAATTTCCTTCTTTTTGTCTTACTTATTGCCGAGGAAAATATTATTCAACTTTTATTTATTGTAGGGATATTGTTGTGGAAATGTATCAAACCCTTGCAAACTTCCACAATGAAAAATTATAATGTTATCTCAAGATCCCTCTTCTCACGAGTTGTGTTTCGCACTTAAATGGTGTTTGAGAGGAAATAAATTGCACTGCTATCATAATCATATATTTATCCAAACAAGTCTGATAGAAGAAGAGGAGAAAATTGAAAACTGAACTTCTTAAATGAATAATATATTCACCAAAAATTAGGTTTCGTTGCTTTTGTAATTGTCACGGCGAGAATATTTATCTACCAAAGCTGTTTGTTGAACAAGAAACGATTTGAAGTTAGTTTAAGGCAGTGCAGTGTTTTTTTTGTTTTTGTTTTTTTTTTTTTATTAAGTAGACCTGAATTCACGTACTACATATTTGTTACAGTTAATTTGAGAATGGTCCTGAAAGAATCAGAATTATTCTGGAAAATCTAGTGGGCTTTGTTTGTAATCCGTTAATTAGTCTTCATTATGTTATTGTAAAATTACTTCCACTTTCGATGGACACTGAAAATAAATCGCTCTTATTTCAATTAATGCTCTGCATTTTATTACAATTACAACACATTATAATTTCATATTTACATGGAATGTATAAATAATTTTATTGATCACAACACGCGGAATAAGTATCAGAAAAATGACTTCTTTGAAGAACAATTACGATTTTTCCATATCTTTGCAATCTTCCTCGTCCTCTAAATTCATCTGCTCTGTTGAAGCCTCCAATCTCTCCTCTCTAGTCATGAGGTCCAAGAGTTGGCGCAATTTGGCCTTAGGTAAAAAAGTAAAATAATGGCTCAATTGAAAAACAAAATATTATTTATTTACCTGTAGACCGTCATTCTTTTGTTCAATGTCATCCATTAAGCCCGAGATCTGGTCGAGCTGGTTATTTAGGTTGTTCACATATTCTGGAAATTTTGCATACGTATAAATAAATGATAAAATTTTTTCCGCGTCGCCACATATGTGATTATATTTCAAAATAAAAATTGCAATTTATCTTCACCCTGTTCTTCCTCCGTCATTTCTTCTTCGTCCTCCTCTTCGGGATCTTCATCGTCGGAGGAAGTGAACTCCTCTAGTTCCTGCTCGTCTGGTGCTGGGCCGTGGGACGATCCTGGGTGCAATTTCTCCAGCATTTTTTCTTCGTCCATCAAAATTTTCAGCGACCCGACACCGACATCTGTTTCTTCAAAACAAGTTGGTAAGTAAGTCAGGCGGTTCAGCAGCAGTGGTTTGTGCGCGTGAGCACCGCCAGCGCAGTCGTCCTTTGAGCGAGCACCGGTGACGTCACTCGGAGGCCCTGACACGTGACGTCAGCAGCTCCACTTTTTGCGGGAACTCTAAATGTCTATATTTGATGCGTTTTTTTCCAAAGAATTTAAAGAAATCCATTTTAAATCAATATATAGCTTACAAATTCTTCAATACTTTTAATGAACAATAAATTCACATTTCAGTCATGTTTTGTTTTTATTCATTTTAGGCTACAGAACTTATCAAGATTTTTTCCAAATTAGCAAATGGTTTTGGAGTGCAACCATCAAAATGGGATTTTCACTTGTTTCAATTATTCATCCTCCACTTTTGGTGACACAAATTTGCTGGAAATTAACAATTTCGTTTTTTATATTCTTATCTCAATTATACAAAGTCTTCAATGACTTTCCTCCTTTCTTACCAGCTTTTGTTAATAAATTAATTTTTATATATTTAATACATACCCAGGCCAATACTGAAGACTGGCAAAATGCAATATAAGGCACTTCTTTGTGTTAAATCCACACTAATAGATATTTCTAATTTGACAAATGGTCATTTGAGGATATGGAATGTTTTTTACAGGCCTTATGATATATACAAAGAATAAATTAAAAATAAATAATGTACCTGAGGATTTTGAATGACAAATTAAATCAATTGATCAACTTTGGCAATTAACCTCAAGAGTGCGATTCAAGCATCGATTTGCACCACAACGGCTGGCTTATTTTTGAAGTACTCGTGGACGAGATCAATAAGTTGCTGCTTCTTGCACTTCCAGTTGAAGGGCACATTGTGCATCAGCAGCCACTGCTTCAGTTCGTCACAATTGAACGTGTGGACTCGGTTGCAGAGGACAAATTTCTCCATGTTCTGCAAGTAACTGAGGCGCAGTCTCTTGTTCTTTTGCTGGGCAGTGGAAGTCGAGCAAAGGAGACGCTTCCTCAGCTCGGAGGGGACTGTGTTGACAACCTCGACAGTGCTGCTGACGAAGAAACTCGATGTTGGCAGCAGCAATGAATCACGACGGACGACAAGCTAAAAAAAAGCATCAAACTTAGGCTCACATTTATAAATCAAAAGATCTTGCTTCAATTCCATATATTTTATTATAAATGCCAAATCAGAGGAAATAATTTCACATTGAAAATTCAAATTTTAAATTTACTTGCCAGTGAATTAGAATTTTATACCTCTTGCTTTTGGTCAGGAATTCCAGCACCGCCCTCCGTCTTTTCAACAGGAGGAGCTACTTTTTTTTGAAAAAATTAATTTCACAAATTTATTTTGAGAAATTCCATTACCATTTTTACCCTCGGAGGCATAGGTGTGGTCGGAACCCGCACTGCTATTTGGAGAAGAATCAGTGGAAATTTGCTCATCAGTGGTCAGGTCTGGTGTAGATCTCTGCTCTGGAGGGGTGTTGATGTGGACCATGATCGGCAGGCCGAAAGCTGCAGAGGCGCTTGGCAGGATTCGCATCACCATCGGCTCAGAGGGTGGAGCCGAGTTGGGGCTTTGGGCGACGTCCGACTCGGTGCCGGAGGAGCCGCCGATGACCCACTCGCCAGTCACTTCTCCAGTCGGAGCAGCGGCAATCACGGCATTTTGCTCGGTGGCTGTGGAAATGATTAATGCATTTGAAAAAAAATCCTTTGATTTGCATTTTCTTATTTTCAATCGCGTGATTTAAAAAAAAAATTATTAATATATAATTTAAACATACACGGTGACTGCTGCTCAATTTTGCTGATTGTTGGAGGTGCCGGCACAAGTGCTTGGGCAGCAGTGATTTTCTGCTCTTGGCGCAGAGAGTTGAGGATTTCAGCCATTTCCTCGTGAGTAGAGTTGTGCTGGGACAAAATCAAATGAAAACCTGCATTCTAATTTTAATTTTTAATTATTTGAAAATAGATTAAAATCATGCGCATTTAATTTGATTTCCAAAATAAAATCTCTCACCTTGATTGGCTGCTGCTTCTTGGGAAGAATCGGCGCAGGCACTCGGACGGCAGAAATCATTTTCTGCAGAGGGATGGGCACAAGGTTGACGTCGCAAACCTTCGGGAAGCGCTGCTGCAGTATGCCGAGGAAGGACGAGGCTATCATTTGGTGGTCGAAATTGCCATAGTAGATGACAGGGAACGGCCTCACGCACAGAGCGGGAAACGTGTACTCCTGAGATTAAAACTTAACTGAAAATTTTAGTCAACATTGAGTGTGTCCTTACGGTTGGATTGGCAAATTGGGATTGGTAATTGTTTTGGTACTTGACGGTCACGTAGGGTCCACACGGAGAATTGGTGCTGTCTGCAGCAGGCTTGGGCAAGTTGATTCCGTACTAAAAATTTGAAGGGATTGAGTGAATCTGTTTGATTATATAAACATTTTAAAAATTTTGGTCTAATTAAAATAGAAGCTTTTTTACCACATCATTCCACATTTTGCAGAAGTCCTGATAGGTCTTCAGAGGGCTCGAGTCAGGAATAGCATGAGTGATTTTGACAATCTTCGCTGGCTTCATGCTGAAAATAATAATTGAAATTAGACTTTGAGCATTCAATTTGAGGAGATAAAAAGAAGTATACAAAAAACAAATGCATAATTAATTTCTATAGAAGCAGGGCTTTTGTATTAAAAAAGGTTTAATTGTCATAATTTGGTTATGATTTCTTTCAATGCAGGAATTGTTATTTTTTTTTTCATTTTCAAATAATAAATTATTTGAGAACTGAATTTTCAAATTTTGTCAAAATGTTTATTGTGGTCAACAAACCTGGGCATCGTGTTGACCCACTGCAGGTCAATGTTGTTGCCCAGAACCATGCCAATCTTCTGGTTGATGAAGTCCATGCCCAGCTGAGGTGGGTTGATCTCGAGGTCTGGATACTGCAAGTGCTGCAGTTTGACCTTTTTGGGACGCACCACCAGACGGGCCGTTCGTCCTGAGGCAGTTCAAATGTAATACTTTTAATTAAAATTAAGTAAATATACCAATGATGGTGAGTGTGAAGTGAACTGCGGGAATGGCGCAGGCGTAAGTGACAAAGTCGGAGCCAAAAGCGAGAAGGTTGCCATCGACTTGGGTCCACAGAGGGGACAGTCGCGCCAGCATGGTGAACTCGAGCACCATTTTCATCGTTGTCTCATCGAAGTGATCAACCGGACGCTCCTGTATCAAAAAAATCAATAATTTTTCGATAAAAAAAAAAAATGAATTTTAAAGCTTTTAAAATTCATACCAAGCGGAAACCATGGAAGCTGAGGGCGGCTTGCAATTGTCCGCAGTGGGCATAGCTTTTGGAACACACGACGAATGCGTTCAGGCCACTCGGAGGGCTGAAGATGGGCGCGGCCATGAAGTGCTCGTTCTGCTGCACCAGCATCCTGCAAACAATAAAAGGATTTTATGTAGAATTTCGGCCAGATTGTTAAATTATTCTTGAATTTTGTAAACCTGCAGTTGGCGACGCGCCACTGATTGAGCATGTCCTTGTAGAAGCTCTGGTTGTTTGGCGCTCGGATGCTGCACTGGAACATGGACATCTGCACCGCGTCCGGCAGGTTGAAGTCGAAGGCGTACGCCTTCGAGTCATGGTCAATGTTGAAGTTGTTGCTCATCTCGAAAGTGAAACACACAAATCCTGCCAAAGTAAAACGTTAATGACTGAAATTGTGACCAACAAGTAGAAAAGGTCACGCTTTTATCCACAACTTTTGGGAATTTACCAAAAACTCAATCCAACACTTCTTATGTTATCAAATTATTATGAATGAAACATTAAAGAATTCAATCCGTGTTTAAATCTCATAGTTAATTATTGCGTTTAAATGAAACACGTACAGACCTTTTGCTTTTAAAACTCGAGGTATAATTTTGCGTCCCTCGCAGTTTTCGTTTTCCGTTCGAAATCCTTTTCGAACACTTTTCGACTTTCGACGTCGATCCGCTCGTCTCGAAGGCTCAAGTCGCTCTGCTGCCGCCGCCGCCTGTTCGTTCGCTGCACTTTTCTGTTTTTTCCTCCCGTTTTCTGCTCCTCTTTGTTTTCAGCTCGTCCTTGGAATTGCAACTCCTGTTTTTCATCTCATTCAGCGACGCCCGACAAAAGCAAACAAGTCTGTACAATACCACGTGGGCACGGTTTCACGAAATCACTTGCCAGGAATTCAGCGCAGGAGAGAAGAATTGGAAGCCAGAGACACACATTCGCATTTCGTCTGCAGACTCAGCAGCGTTGCCATTTCTCAGCAGAGGGGATGATTTGTTAAAAAATAATGGAATTACGAAAGACCATTGTAAAAAAGAAAAGAGAAAATTATTAAGCAATTCTCAAAATACAAAAAAGCCGAAATGTTGTGGCGGATTATAACTATTTTATGCAAATTAAAGAAAAAAAAATGGAAAAGAAAAAGTCAAAAATTGATTAATTGGATTGATCAAGATTTTAATTTATGAAAAATCAATAAAAAAAGGAAGAAGCCTAAATAAAACAGAAAAAGCTAGATTCAAAATGTCGATCACACTCATTATAATTTCCACGTCGTTTAAAAAAAGTATAATGACTCTCCAAGATAAAAAATTTTTACACATTTTCTTGAAATATGAAAAGCAATTACAATAATATAAATGAAAATGAAATTATGTTATCTAGGCTGATCTAGACATCAAAATCTTTTCATCGGCTTAAATTATCATATGCGCGACACAGTAAAATTAAAACTTTATTCAGGACGAGATGAACAAATATTTTTTTTCTGCATATGTTAATAACAAGAAAAGTTCAATGAAGAAAGAAATAATTTTCAACTATGAGTTCGACTTTTAATTTTCAATTCAGTCTTAAATTCAAAATTTAAATGGTAAAAATTAGAGGCTTTAATTATATTTTGACAATGTACGGAACTTACGTGCAGAGGAATTGGCGACAGATGAAGGAAGCTGCTTCTCATTGCGTTTGCCCTACTCGATCATCTCTCAGCTTACCTTGCCATAATGGAAAGCAATGAGCAGGGCTTCATCTGGAATTCTTCAATAAATTGATTAAAAATTGAATATTAAAGCTTGAATTTAAAAATTAACAATTTTGATTGCCTTGCGCAGTTGTGATAATCAGAGCTACATATTTATATTGTTTTAATTGTTTTTGTTTTATTGCTTGAAAAAAATTATTATAAAACTGCTACTTGCTTATTCTTCAAAGAATTAAAACAAAAAATCTCAGGCCGTCAGGAATTTTGATCCAGCCTACAATTCTAGAAGAGCTAGATGTTTTTTTTTTCATTTTGCGCGATGAAACATTCAAATAAGTATCAGTTTTCAAAATATTATGTGTTTTAAAGAAATGAAACTACATCACTTTTTAAATGTCTCAGCTAAATTTGAAAATTCTCTATTCCTGGAAAATGCAAAACACTCACACATTGGAATACAACAACAGTAATAAAATAACAAAGTTGAAAGATCTTTACAACTAAATTTAACCATAAGTGACAAAATAAAATAATTCATTAGCATTTAAACGACATTATTGAATCATCATTTAAATTGATGAACATAATTTGCAAAAATATATGGTCAAATTATTTTGTGTCCACCAACTACTTGCTTTTATTATTAAAATGATTTATTTCTTTTAGACAATAAAATTAAAGTAACAGAATTATTATGATTGTAGTTTAACTTAAGAAACTAAAGAAGTTAAAATTAAAAAGAAAATGCACCTAATTAAAGGAAATTAGTTATGTCACCATAAGGCCGCCAACACCACGTTTGCCTGCGGCCGCTACAACACAGGCGACGGCCGAGCGCGGCGACGGCAGAGCGAGTCGAGCGACCAGTGGGGCACCCACGGGTCTGACGACTGCACCGCGCTCATCGGATCCAACGGCAGAGCCGCGACCACCGGCTTGAGAATTCTTTGTATAAATAGAGGCTCGATTTACCAATAAATACATTCGATTACCAGCAGACCTGCTGTAGTAATCTTCATTCATTATTGACTCGTCCCTGACTATTGTTACAGTTAAAATTAACATTAGGAGGGAAAGAGACGAGTAAATATTATAAATTATTTTATTGACTTTTGAATGAATTAATAATCTAGGATTATACAGATCGACACAAATTATTGAAATTATCGAAAAGCAAGAAAAGAGTAATTCGAAATCGTCACGGGTTTTGATGTCACTCTCGGACGAACTTACAGGAGAGTGCATTTTAGGCAAAATCAGTTCTAGAAAATATCGTGATTACATCAGTTCATTCGCGTAAAATTAAAACTGCATCAAATGGGACAACGACACGGCACTTGCTTAATTTAGAAAATGCAACCTTTTCGGCTTAGAGCGGTGACCGACTTGAATCATTATTCTAATTTTTAGATGATTTACGAAGAGGCCGAAAATCCGAGCAGGTTGTCGGGGAAAACTCGGCACTTCCTCGAGCGGCTACCGATGGTGCTTGCTGCACCATTCGTGGCCGAAGCTGGGAGAGAGACAGGGTGTCGGATGACACGCGAGGAGCAACGATACATGAGTCGTGTTTGTGTAGCCGCGTGGCTTGGTTTCAGAAAAAGGCGAGTCCGTTTGCGCTTTTGCTTGCACAGAATTGATCTTCAAATGAGCGTCAAACGCGAGGCTCAAATTATTCAAAATAAACTGAGATGCCCAAGAATTATCAATTGAATATTTGCTCGCCAGGAAAAATTAGTTTTGAAACAACGCAAATATGTTGAGTAAAAAATAAAAATTCAAATTATGTAGTATTAATTTATTTTTCTTGCAGACACAGTTGAAGATGTATTTTCGATTTATGATGTTATTTGAACTAAATGTTCTCTATTTTCAGTTATTTCAGTTTCAGAAGTTTTCTTGCACAGAGGATAATTGAGAGTTAAGAAAGATGTTTTTGAAGTGTATTAAAATTTGACATCTCCTTAATGCAAAAATATAATTTCTTAACTATTTAACCTTCTTCCTTTCTGTACCATTTTTCGCACAGTTATAGATTGAATATTTCACGTTGAGTTGCCTAAAGGATTTTCTTAACGTCCCCCCCCCCCCCCTATGAAATTAAAAATAGTACAAAAATTTGAAAAAGAAAATATCAACCAATTTATTAACACGTGCAGGTGATCATTTTTGATGCGCATTTCGTCGAATTATGCTAACCCGCACGACACTTGTGCTCAGCAAGTTGCCTATCATCCAGAGAGTGTCGAGTAAAAATTAATTATTATAATATCGGGTCATTTATAGAGAACCAAATAAATTACGACGCAAATACGAATCTACTCTAATATTTGAGTCGTTGGTGTCTCTGGACCCCAAAGCTATACAATAACAGGAGGTTTACAGACCAACCTTTGTCCCGGACAGGGATCGATGTTGAGTGCTAAAGCAACGAGTAGGACTACAAATGCAGCATTAATGATACCGAGGGCTATGGCCATTCAAACCTTAACTCCTGTTGTTACGAGTAATTTGCGAACAGCCAGTAATTCTTCATTTCGCCTGAGAATTCGGCGCAAATCACTCAAATACTCTCACACCTTACGTAATAAAGTAAGCAACATATTTTAACTTGCAAGATCGCGGCAGTTTCCTCCATTCATGACAAACTGCTTTTGCAATCCACATGCAACTTCTATATTTTTCTCGATTTGTCAAACAACGCTGACAACAAAGTCTTTCAAATCTTTTGAAATCTCTCGATTTTATACAATTTCCGACAGATTTTGTGCAAATGTAACAATAATCAGCAGAAAATGATTTAATACACAAGCCTGTACGCCTTTCATGCTCCCCAGGTTGCCTATATTGTCTCTTTCTCACCCCGCGATCGGGCATGAGTGAACGAATCGTTTAATATCTTGAATCATATGAAACCAGAATAATCTAATTTTTATGTTTTACTTTGCTCCGCAGAGCACGTCCTCGTGGAACATTTGCATAAGCTTCAGGGAGTCGGGAATAAGAGATAGAAACAGGCAGCTGCGCGGACTCGTGCCTCTTTTGCAGAAGAGCCCATCTTGCAATATAAATTGTTTAAATTAGCGGCTTGTGTCATTTCTTTCCAGTGCTAAACTAATATTTACAATCTTTTCGTCACTTTTTTGGGCATTTTTAATATTTACAAGTTCAGAGAAAAATGCGGCAATTTCGAGTTCAGCCAAAAACTTTTCTTCATCAAATGGCAGCCAGTCAGCGCTGGAGCGACTGAAGAAATCAGTGCAAACGTGTTTTTTTTTTTTTTTTTGCCTGTCTTTTACAATTTTTATAAATTTTTGTTCTCTTTTTAATATAGATCTGACTGAGATGCCCTGCAGGTACAAGCTGAACTGGCGCGCACGGCCACATTCGCGACCCGAGAGGAAGGACTTTTTCCTGTGTCTCGGGGGACCTCAAAATATAATTGCGGCCTTCCGGAATGGACCCCAGACCCTCGGCCCTGAATTTATTTCCGTCACATGATCAAGGGAATTTCGGCCCCACTACCCCCGGAGATCCACCTCCTGAAACCCATTTTCAACTCGGATGGCACCACTAGGATTGGGCAACTGTTTGATCATTTTCCTGTAATAAACAAACATATCAAGCAATGTTCAAGGACCGCTCTCCTGCCAGCATCCCGCAGTCGGTTCCAACCTTCTCCTCCGGCGGGGTCGCCAACACGCAGCGTTTTCCTCCTTGACGCCATTTATTCCTCCCTGAGCACAAAACATTCACCCTCTCACCCTCGCTCCGGTTTTTCGCGGGGCGCAGTTCTCCAATTTCTATACTCATCAAGCACTCTTGCGGGGCGCCGTGGCCCTTCTGGCCTGGGCCCGCGGCCCTCCCACGGCCGTTCATTTTTTTGGCCCGCGCCGGGTGAATGAGCTCACCCACCACCACCTCGAGCCGTTCGGTTCTGTGGCCCCGCCAATTCTACATTTTCGGGTCGCGCCTGTTTTTAACTTTTTTTAGCCCTTTAGGTCATGGCATTGTCCCAAACGCCTCGCCGCCTCCACATGCACTGGTCCAGGAACATGATCTCGCTGCCTGCGGACGGCGATACATACGCTTCGTGTCGGAATTTTTGGACGCCGACGTGAACCTCCGTGAGCCCACCTTAGGTCGCGGTTTGTGGGCGACCCTCCAAGAGGTCGGCGGCACTGCCGACAGCGACCTTCTGTGTCTCACGACGCCACCGATTGCAGTGGCCCAGGCTTTCTTCGAGACACAGACGGCCCACCTCACGGTCATTGACCAGTTGACCCGTCGCTGTGCGAACGCTTTCATCATCGCCATCAGCGTCCCAGCCAACATGGTGATGGCCACTCCGTTGTACCGGACCCTGAGGGAGGCCATCACCGACTTACTTCAACGTATTGAGGACTACATTAAGCGCGCGGTTGACATTGACACTCAATTTTTAACTTCACCCCAATTTAGCCGGGGGGAGGGGGTGAACATCTCACCCCAATTCTTAACTTTTACATTCTCCTCTTTTAATTAGAAACGATGTTTATTCGCACTTTAATAACCCCGAGGGAATTTCAGCAATATCCGGTTTAGGTTTTAAATTTAACAACTCTTTCTATGCTAAATTAAATTCACGGCCATTCAGCAAGAGGCTTAACTTTTATAATATTTCGGAGATCGTACCGAGCAGCCAAACTCTTTCACATTTTCTTGATGTCCATCAAAAGTCCCAAACGTCAATTTTTAATTTTTTTCATTAACTTAAATTCGAGAGGGGGAGATGTCAGGATTTATAATTAAGTGTGCGCCCCAATAAGTTAAATGGTAATCACTCCCACGCACCGGGCGCGCACGCGTAATAATTAAATGAGCATTTAGCATGGAGCGAGTGGTTCCGGAATCACTCGTCTCCGACGGACCAAGCCAGGTGGACGGCCGTCTATTCAGAGTGACCTATCGCAAGGTATTGTGAAATGTTTAGACTTAATAATAACGAGGGCTACGGCCATTTACTATGACGCCTGTTGTTTATTATTGTAATCCCCAGTGGCAAAGCACCGTCAGGGCTTAACCCTGACAAAGGGGAATTAAGTGACAGGAAGAAGAAAAACTCCTCATTCCGCACATTCGAATCTCCTTCCAGCAAAAATAGATTTTCCACGCGCCTCTGTTTTTCCTCTGCCACAGAATCGGCAGAAATTTTATTAGGAAAGTCCTGAAGGCATTAAAATAATATTGATAATGGGTCGTTTGGAGAATCAAAGATTACGCCAAAAATACGAATCTACTTCAGTATTTAAGTCGTTGATTTCTCTGGACCCCATAATAGCTTTATATTTTCACGCCTGTGGCGTTGAATCAATTGAGTACAAATAATTTTTTTCATTTACTCAAATTTGAGAGGGGGAGATGTCAGGAATTGCAATTGCGCGCACCATTAACTTACATAATCACTCGCGCGCGTAATTAACCAGGAGAAGAAAAGTGCAACGCACCGAGCGCTGCTTCGAGAAGAAATGAGCCCTTTTTTGCGGGGCTAATTCTATATTGGCTCTGATCGGTTTTCAATTGGTGCTGCGATTTGGCATTGATCGATTCCTATCAAGATGGAGAAACACACGCAAAATTAAAATCAATAAGTGGGGCCAAAACCACGCCCACATATTTTCCTTTTACTCTTTAATTGAGTAGTGTAGGAACTGCCAGACAAGAAAGTTGCTCTTTTGCGAATCAATATGTTACTCGAGTTAAAAAATCCTGCTGCTGCCCAGGAATAAATTCTTGGTATAACTGATAACGATTTCCGTCTCTTTTCCTCGCTTTTATAATGATTATAAATAGGTTTTTCATTATGTAGCTTAAATATTTTAGAATGGTGTTTTTTGTTTTGTTTCACACGTATTTCGATGAATTATGCTAACCCGCACGACACTTATGCTCAGCAAGTTGCCTATCATCAAGAGAGCGTCGAGTAAAAATTAATTATAATAACGGGTCCTTTATAGAGAACCGAATAAATTACGACGCAAATACGAATCTACTCTAATATTTGAGTCGTTGGTGTCTCCGGACCCCAAAGCTATACAATAACAGGAGGTTTACAGACCAACCTGTGTCCCGGACAGGGACCAAGGTTGAGTGCTTCTGGGATTTCGTGAACGAGAACCGCAGGCTCTGCGGCATCCACTCCCGCTGCTACCGGACGGGCGAGCGGCTGGACTCGTACATCAACTTCGCGGCGGCAGGACAAAGCCTTTTCTTGTCGGCACATTTTCGAGCGCACATCAGAACCCTTCTGCGAGACGCACAGGTCGTTCCCTTTTGTTTTTTCTGTTAATTTTCACTCTATATATTTTAACTTTAGTTCGGTGCTCATATTTCTTTTGTGATTTTGGTCATTTTAGTCTCTTTTATTACCCTGACATTCTCTCACTCTCCAGAATTCAGATGTTGCTCGAAGTCCCTAATTTTTTTTTCTTTTCCTTGTTGACCGTCCTTATTTTTGTTCGCTCTTTGTTATTTTGTTTTTCATCTTGCATATTATCTTACATGGTCAACATTCCTTATATTTTATTTATTTGTTTCTTTAATTTTTTTTTTAAATTAATTTGTCCTCAGGGCTGGACACCCTGTCGCGCACCTCTTACTTAACGTCAATGGAAATTTTTCGTATTCCCCATTCTCTCGAATTTCATTAATTTCCGCTACTTATATGTTTCGGTTTTGGTGCGGGCTCCAACCCCTTTTTCCATCCCGGCAAACACACCCCAAACCCATTTCGATCCATATGTTCGTTTTGGACTGAGGTCCTCTCGCTTTGTGCAAGGGCTCGTAAACGAGCGCGGCTGACCACCGCCCACGACTTGGCTCCCCTTGGCACAATTACGAGGGTCCGCCAGTTCGGCCGAATATCAAAAACTTTTTTTTTATAAAAAGAAAAAACTTTCTTCTACAACACTATTTACACATTTAGTTCCAGACAAAATAACACTAAAATTTTCCATTCCCCAAATAAGCCGGGGGGAGGGGGTGGGTACCTCACCCCAATTGATCGGTTAAAACAATTAAGATCTTTCGAACAAATAATCCTAAATTCATAACATTGCGGAAAATTCCATTACGGCGATTCGTAGATTCATAATAACAATTAAATGCATAAAATCAACTCCTTAATCATAATTCAGTAAGAGGAAAATATTCATTTACAAGTATTAAATAACTTATTTATTCGAGCAAGGCAACATTTTTCAATTTTAACAAGTGCTGAAAATTACTTTAAATTTTTTATTTGTTTTTGTTTTTGTCCTAAATTTGAGAGGGGGAGATGTCAGGATTTGAATGAGTGGTTAATGGGCTTAACCCTGACACTCTCATTGAGTTCCTAGAGTCGAAATCGGCGCATAAATACGAGAGTTGTTTGCGAACAGCCCGTAATTCTACATCTCTCAACAGCATTCAGCGCAAATCACTTAATCACTCTAAACTTTCACCTTCCCTGCGAGAAATTTGATATCAATTTTATATCAAAATGTCATCCTTGCGAGACACTTTGATATCCGGATAGTATGTCCTGGGGATATCCGTACAATATGATAATGCCCATGACTTTGATATCCCCGTAGGATATCAAAATAAGTGATACTTTTGGGACACCCCTCATTTCACGGTTACTCTCTTTCACTGATTTTAATGACATTAAAATTAAAATCGATTTTTTTTTCAAATTACATATTTTTATTTTTGCACACTCACTAATGTGTCAGGATTTATAGTTAAGTGTGCGCCCCATTAAGTTTAACTTGTAATCACTCCCACACACCGGGCGCGCACGCGTAAACAATAATGAGCATTTAGCATGGAACGAGTGGTTGCGGAATCACTCGTCTCCGACGGACCAAGCCAGGTGGACGGCCGTCTATTCAGAGTGACCTTTCGCAAGGTATTGTGAAATGTTTAGACTTAATAATAACGAGGGCTACGGCCATTAACCATTACGCCTGTCATTTGTTATTTGCGTATATCCCCAGTGGTAAAACACAGTCAGGGCCAAACCCTGACAAATGTTTAACAAAATAACATCTTAAAAAACAATAATGATATTAAAAAACAGAACTACATGCCAAAGATGATTTTGGTAATGAAGTAGCAGCATATTTTAACTTGCAAGATCGCGGCAGTTTCATTCATTAATGACCAACTGCTTTTTCAATACAATTAAAATCTCTTTCTTTCTCGACTTGTCAAACAACGCTAACAACAAAGCCTTTCAAATCTTTTCAGATCTCTTCAATTTATAAAACCTTTTTGGCAGCTTTTATACAAATGTAACAATAATCAGCAGGTATAAACGATAGTTTAATTTGATAGGGCGAAAAAACAGTCAGAGTTTTATTATCTTAGCAAAAGGTTTTAGAATAAAAGTTTTTTTTAATTGGAACGGGATAAAAATATTGATAATGGGTCCTTTAGAGAACCAAAATATTACGACAAAAATACGAATCTACTTCAGTTTTTAAGTCGTTGGTTTCTCTGGACCCCAAATACACTGTCAGGGTTCGCGCACCTATTAATTAATTAATTCACTCCCACGCCAATTGATACGCATGCGCTAATTAATTGCAACACCTTAGCATGGTGAAAGTGTTCCGACTGCCACAGTTGAGACTCTGCTTTTTTTCCTTCCCTCTCAGAATTATAAAATGCCTTCATAATTCATTTCTTTGTTTCCATAACTTCGCGGACTAATAAACATTGTCAGGGTCTCTTTGACCCTGACAGCATTTTGTGACTACTTTAAATCTTGGTGACCCGTTTTTGTAATCTGTAGTATTGTTTATACGCGTCAGCAATAAACACGAGCTGATGCTTTGTAATGTTCGTTTCCGGATGGTCAGACGGAATCTGGCCGCACCACCGGACAATAAAGCCGCAAGGTAAGAATTAAACATCTCGTTTTAATATTACTAAGGGCTATGCCCGCATCCCCGGGCCCTAAGCCCTTACAACATACATCTTAAGTCAAATCACACAATTAACCAATTTATTACATTCCAGTATTATTAATATTTCCATTTTCAGTTTAGTTTTTCGGACGACGACGACTTAGAAGAGGCCGAAGCTCCAACTGATTTGTCGATCAAGCTGACGCGTGAATTTGAGACGTCGCCCGGCACCGATGCTCTTCACGGGCCACCGGCCTATGCTGCTGCTTTGGACCAACAGTCCGCCTGGAGCGAACCAAGGGATCGGCTTTGGACAACCTCTGCAAGACGAGGGGCCGCCAGCCTGGAACCATCCACAAATGGGCCAAAAAATTGCGCCATCCAAGCAACCCTTTAACAATTTTGCTCAGACAAGCTTCGCCCAGCCGAGCTTCAATCAGCACCAGATGAACAGCGCAGGAGGCTACGAAGGTCCCCCTGGACCAGCCGTATATACCAACAGTTGCCACCTTTCGGAACCCTGGCAGCGCAAAATACAACGGCAGGATACCAGCAGTCTGCATACCAACAGGGAGGCTACATACACCAGGCCACCTGATTCTTCAACAATTAGCCAATAATTTGCTTTTCATAGTTCGACAACATTTTTAGCTCACATATTTTCCCCGAAAAATATTAATACATTTTTTAGCAATTCCCATTTATTTCTTGAAGTATTTTATAAATCATTGCGCACCAAATTTTAATTTTTATAACTTACTATTAAACGCTGCAATTACACAAGCATGTAACCGCGAAATAACTATGAGCGCCTTGTCAGTATTTGTTTTTGCTGAAGCATTGGTTTTCCAAATGAAAGAAAGACTTGGCCAAAATTTCTGTATTTTTATGGAACTTTTTTACAAGGACCTTTGATTGTTTGTTTGCTGCGCGCGTAAAGCAAGCTTTGTTCTTTGGGCCTGACGTCGTGTATTGAAATGAATTGTTGTGCGTGGCAGGCCGTCATTGACATTCGCTCGTTGTTGAACGTCGGCCAGCCGAGGAGGGTGGCGCCTAACCGGTAATTGGCCACGATCCCTGTGATCAGAACGTCTTCCAAGCTGAGCCAGTGTTCGGCCAGAACGGCGGCCAGCAGTGGCTCCACGAAGCTGCCCTTCAGGACGTAGGCCGGACCAGAAGTGAAATCTGGCAAAATTTTGGGCGGAAATTCCTCTCGCGAAAGATAATACTTTGATTTTTCGTCCCTCACTGGTTTCCAATTAGAGGCAAAACGCCCGATCACGGTTTTTTCGCCGAAAGTCTCGTTTTCCTCGAATAACTTGTGCCGCAATTTCGGATAATTTATGTACATGTCGTCGTCGCACTTGAGCAAAAAGTCGCAGTCACAGTTCTGGTCCGCCCAGTCCAGCAGGGCAACACTTTTCAAAGTCAGATTTCGGTACGAATCGGTGAAGTTTGCCAAAATCAGATCACGCTCGGCCTCCAATTTCAAGAGATCGCGATCCTTCAGTCCGACGCCACCGAGCACGAAAAACAACGAGGTCCGGTTGTTCAAATCTTTGGCCCAGTTTTCTCTGATCGCCCTTCGTCGTTCGTAATTCTGCGGCGCCGATAACACGAGAATCAACAGTTCAGTGTCCGAGCAGTTGACTTCGGGACTTTTCAAAAATCCTCCAGGGTATTTGGTCGCCACCGACGGCAGACTTGAGTGGAAATCCGAGATGTTGAATTTGTATGGTGTCCGGGATATCAGTTTGTCAATTAATATTTTGGCATCTACATATCAAAAAAGGACTTTTAAGAGAGAGAAAATAATCAATTTACTTTATAATAAAATAAAAAAGTGTTCCAATAAAAAGTTATATATTTAAATGAATTTGATATTTGAATGAAATTTAAATAAAAAATTTAAATATACTGATAAGATTTGACTTTGCAGTTACCTTGATAATTTTCCGTCTGGTAAATGATTGTCGCATAGAATAATCCCACCACGAACACGAATGCAAGAAAGGCGGATATTAAAATTTTCGATGCCATTTAGGTGCATCTTCGATTGAACGACGTCGCTGCGAAACCCATCAGTGCTCTGGGTGACAAGGTGAGCCAGTGAGTTATCAAAACAGATTGGGCCGTAAATGAGTTGGTGTAACAAGTGATGAGGTGAGATAAGGACGAGGAGAGATAAGACCTTTTTAATAAAGTGCGCTTATCTCGCCAATGGTTACGTCAATCGAGATGAGAAACAATTTTATTGCACATCAATTACGAGTGTTAAAAATTTCGCAATTAAATTTTTGCCTATTTACAGCCAGTAGAGTGAATTTTATTAAATTTAACTCATGAGTTTTTACTTGGTTACATTTTATGCTGTTTTTTGGTGATGCTTTTGCTAATTAATTAATAGTTAATGACATTAATAACACCATCAAGAAGCACAAAAATTGTTGCTTGTGCACCCTGCCGCGCGCATGATGATGGAATTTTGTGTTTGACTTCTCCCTTCGCAATGTTTTAGAAAGTTTCTTCTCATGTGTTACAACATGATCAGGTTGCTTCTAATGGCGCTGAAGCAAGGCAACATTTAACAAAATTAAATCAGCAAGTAGCAGATTCATTTAAGAAAATTGCTCTTAAAACAACAGAAATTTAATTCAATACGCAAATTCAGCAAAATAATTGTATGCTCAACTAAATTTAAATTTTTAATATCAGAAAATAACAATATCGGTGGGTCCTTTTAGAGAGTCATAATTTTACAACAGAAATATAATATTAGTTTTGATCCCTTTTATATTTCTGTCGTTGATTTCTCTGGACCCCAATACACAGTGAAATATGAGTCGAAACTACTCATTTCCCTTGCAAAGTCTGATAGGGTCACCTGGCGTCTCTGATAGGGTCACCTGGCGTCTAGGCGCAAATTGGAGAGAGAGATTGTAAAGGCAATACCAGGCGCCCAGCAACTCACCCTTCTCTCTTGGACTATATTAGAAAAAAAGTGGAGCTTCTACGTGCACAGGGCTCGTAAAAGAGCGCGGCTGCGGCACACCACAGTGGGCTTCCTCCACCCACAGCTCCCCTGTTGGTAGTTTTAACATTTGTCAGGGTCATACCCGGCACTTCTCTACTCGGCCACTGACGCAACATTGGCGGACTCGAAAGCAAACCAATAAAAACGAAAAAATTAATAAATGATAGAGAAAATGAAAAAAATAAAAAAATCCCCGCTTTAGCGCTCCTTCAGAGTCAACACAAATGAAACAAGATGAAAAATATAATCTTGAAAACTGTGCTCCCCTAAATACTGTTTAAAATAATTGACGAAAAATGAGATGAATTTAAGTACTTAACACGCACAAAAATAAATAATATTTTATACCTTAAATTAATATAAAAAAAGGTTTTCAGCAAAACCAATGGAAATGTCAAGATGACGCCGGAGAGAAGAAAGAACAGCACCGAGGGACCAGCAGAGAACGCCGTAGAAAACAAAAATATTCTGGTCCGACAAAATTTAAAGTAAATTTACAGTAAAATTTCGTCGCGAATTTATTTTTATTAAATTATTCATGATTGATAACAAAAAGAGAAAAAAAGCGATAAAAAAAATTACACGGTAAATTAAAAAAAAATGAAAGTAAAAAACACGAAATAAAGTTAAAAGATTAAAAAAACAAAAATAATAATAATGTAAATATATTAAAAGATTCACAAAAAAATTGCAAGCAAAATAGAATTTAAAAAAATCATCAATTAGAAAAACCTCAGTAGCATAAGGCAAACTTCTGTTTGAATAACCTTCCGTAAAGGTATTGTGTACTATTACGTCTCTTAATAATAACGAGGGCTAAGGCCATATCTTGTTAGTAATTACTATACCTCCCTAGTGGTTGAACACCGTCTCAGGGCTTCACCCTGACAATATATTATTAGCACAAGTGGAGTTTTATTACAAGCCACATATCCTCGGACCGCGAAACAGAACCTCCGGAAGCCGTGGCATGGGAATTAATTAAATATAATTGAGAATTCGGGAGGAATCGCCAAAAAAATTATAAAGTTTTAATTCTGGCTTTTTGTGTTTGATTGTCTGAACCGACGCCCAGTCTTCGCGCGTCTTGACCGCTGCGCAGAGACAATTAATTTGATGCTCGGACGCGTACCGGCGCAAAATCAAGCAGTTTCCAATGCCCCCCCCCCCCTTCTGGAGCAATAACTCGTTTGCTTGCGAAAATAATAATACCTAGAAATCGTACGCAGTCGTACATAAGTGTATCTTTTCTGTGTGGTAAAACAATCAATATTGAAGAACTTTGGAACAAATGTAAGATTCATTAATCGCCCCAATTAAATAGTATTAATATGCCGACATTAGTTTCAATAAGAAAAATTGACATTTTCCAGTTCTTGCGAGAGCGGGAGATTGTAAGTGCGCACCAAAAATTTAGTCTCAACTGATGCGATATATTTAAGGACTAATTTTTGCACGTTCAAATATTGAAAAAAGAATCCATTTGATTTCATTTTTTCTTACCGCGCGCCAAAAGTCACAAACGATCGTCGATCGATCTATTGATAACCAAGATAAATTCAAGTAGCTGTTAATCCGGCACTTCTCCCATCGGCCACCGATATATATGCTGCTTGCTGCACCATTTGTGGCCGAGGAAAAGAGCGAGACGGGGCATCGGATGACATGAGAGCAGCGTTGATTGATAAAAACGGAATAACATTCCTGTCTGCGAAGCCTAGTTGTGTAGTTGTGTCTTTGTAATGTGTGAAACGATTAAGTCAAATTAATTACAACCTACAATTGAAAGTACGAAACCACTGTTTCAATTAATTCTTATTGCCCTGACCATAATGATTAGCAATTTAATTTATAATAATTAAGCATCCTGCCTATCATTTGCCAACATAGCTGCGGATAAACACATCAAAAGGTCGATGAACTTTTTGTTTCATTTTCGCGATTTTATCTCGTCTCTTATCTAATTTCTTGCTTTTTGATAATTTTTACAAAATTTCAAATTTTCCGATCTTATTTGAAATCTTAAAATTAAACTAGAGATAGAAAAGTTTGCTGCTGAGATGCGGATCGGGCATTTTGTGCAGCGACTGTGCGATCAAGGTGGACAGTTTTCTGGCGTACTGCGCCGGCGCGGGCACCTTGATTGTTCCCTGAGCGTCCGGGAAAAAAAGAAGAAAATTTAAAATGGTCCTACCTTGGTGGAGGGAAAAGTCTTACGCTCCAGTTGAAGTACAGGTGGGTCAGCTTGTAGGTGAGTTGCTGCATCTCGTTCTGGCTGAAGCCGGAGGAGTCGCAGAGGACGTGGTAGCTGGTCGGGTTCACCGTCGCCTGCCGCACACTCTGGCTCACGAGGAAGAATTGGTAACTGAAAGAAATAAGAGGAAAATTGGCGTGAAATGTCAGAATTGCTCAAATTAAAATAGAGATAAATGAAGGAAAAAGGTAAAATTGCTTAAAATTAAAAAAAAAAATGCATAGCTTGAAGTATTACATGAATTTTGAAAATCAAAGGTCAAAATGAACTTTGAGAACTGAAAAAATGAATAAAAGAAATTAATTTAAATCATAATGTTCAAATAAATTAGTAAAATTTAGACGGAAATTGAATAATTAGAATTTTGATTGATTACCTATCAGGTCGGGTGATGTAATTGTCAGCCACAGTGCCAGGAGGAGGGTTGCTGAGGTTGCTTGTGAAAAGACGAGTGTTGCATCTTCTGGAAATCAGGACGTAGCTGAACTTGAGCGCCGCCGCAGACTCGTACAGACTTCCGAGCTTGAGCTGCAAAAAACAAAATTTAATTAAAGCCAAGGGCGAAATAATTAAATTATATTTTTTTAAATTTACTTTGAGTTTTTCAACCTCTCCGTCGCACCTGCTGCTGTACTCGTCCACCCCGTCTCTGTAGAAAATGATGTGGCTCGGAAGGCAACCCTGACGTTTTTCCTGGAATTTGCGCACAGCTTTGCAAAACACTTCACCAATGGCGCCGCTCACATCTTGCCCTTTTCTGCACTCAATCGCCTTTAAAACACAATGTAAAATTAATAATACTATAAATTCAAAATAAGTAATAAAATGTAAAAAAATTACAATTTGGATTTTCTTTTTTTACTTTTTTGATATCTAATAATTACCTGAGAATAATATTCAGAAAAGTGTATGTCCAAGGAGGCGACCAGAGCGCCGAATGCCGTGTCCTTGTGCATTGAATCCTTGCTCAGGTCAAAGCCGGCGACCATCACTTTATCAAGGGCGGGCGGATTCGCGACTGACCACGGAGCGCCTCCCACTTTGCAGTTCATCTGCATGATGACCTTGGTGGCGATGGAGCGCATGTTTTGGTTCACGACGCACCTTCTGTTCACCACTTGACACATTTCTAAAATTTACATTAAAAAAATTAGATTGTAAACATAAGGTTTATGATCAAATTACCTGTTCTGTTGACGTAGCAAATTTTCTTGATGGCGCTGTATCTATCGCCGCGGTCATTTGTGACGAAGCACAGAATTATGTCTGGCCGAGTTCTTGATAAAATTTCCTCCAGCTTTCCAGAATAAGTGTCCACTTTGTCATCTGCAATGTAATCAACTAACGGTCGATCTAAACAGAAATTCGATTAAAAATAAAATTCAAATATATTTTAATTAAAAAAAATTTGCAATCGGTAAAACTTACTCATTTGAATTCCCATTTTTCGGCCAATATTCAGCAGCTCCGTCAGGAAACTCTCCGCAGGTCCGTGCCCCATGCATCGAGGGATGATGGCAACCCAATGATCAAATCTGCCAGCTCGGAGAACTTTATTACCTAAAGTAAAATTTCAATTTTAAAACAAAAGAAAGAGATGAGAATAAAAAAACCAACTTTTCACAGCGTTGGTCCAGTCTGCGTGAGGTCCCGGTTTGGCTGTTGAATTTTCACCCTGGATGATTTCTTCACAGGGCAGTTCCGTACCTTTGAACTGCACCAGACTCGGGGTGAGCGACATTCCCCAGTTGTCAAGTTCCGCAACAATCTGGCGAAAAACACGTTTCATTAAAAAAGCATTAATTAGGAAAAATTGCATTACTTCGGGTTTGCTTCGGAGCCTGTTGGCGAACCGGAGCAATTTGTCGCTCTGCTGGCTGGGCGAGCATTTTGTTTCGGCACTCAGGGCACTCATGAGTCTGAAATTCTTCCTCATGTCGTCCGAGAGACCGGTCATGATGCACAGTTCCGGAACAAGAAGGATCAACTCGCTCTCCCCTGACCTCAGCTTGCGAATGTTACTTTTGCTCACCAGCATGTATTGATACGGGTCTTGGATTTCACAATTATAAATCTGGAGACATAAAAATTAATTAAAATGCATAGATTTAAATAGCATAAAAAATTTATTTTTTTAACTTTCTTATCACAAAAATTGGTGCAACAATTCAGAATTTTAATAGAGCCGAAGCAAAATAAATAATTATTAACTTGGAAAGGAAATGAATTTGAATTAATTTCACCTGCTTGTAGTACTCAATGAAGGAAACTTGTGTGCCGTTCTTTTCGAAGGTCGACTGAGGAGTAATTTGGTCCTCGATGTCGTCCACCCTGTAGGTTTTGTTGTTGTAAACGGTCATCACCGTCGCGCCCAACAGACTGTCGCGCATTTTGGCCTTTCGGTCTTTCTGCTCCACACAGCGGGCCACCTTGGACATGATTTCGTAGGCAGTCTCGTCGCGCATCACCTTCGAGATGATGCTGGTGTGCAGCAGGATGTCGTTCTCGTGCCTGCGAGCTGTGGTTCTGTAGCCAGGCCAAACATGCAGTTTAAATTCTTCAAATTCAATCTGCAATTTTAATTTTCATTATTTTGTTAGATTTTTTCAATTTCCGTCTCACTTTGGCCTGAGGATCGTAAAAGTCCCGCTTGATTGGTTTCAATTTGAGCAAGTGCAAGACTTTCTTGAAGATTAAATTCAGAACCTGGCCATATGCAGGGTCGCAAGGCTCGATCCTCTTCACGTAATTGGCGGTGATTTTAATTTGCAGCCCATCTTTTGTGATCGCGTTGGCAATTATGGGCTGAAAGAAAATTAATTAAAAAAATTTAAAATTCAAATTAGAGATTTTTACATTTTTTGTTGGTTTCTTCGAGTCGAAGAGAGTGGAGCCGTCGAAAAGGTACGACTTGCCGAGGCCCATTTTCTCCGCGTTTTGTCTCATGATGGCGCGACGCACAAAAGTCCTTTCTTCGTCGGGCTCGAATTGAACGCTGAACTGGAAAACGCCAAACTGGCCAGCAGAACACAAGCGGAAGAAGTTGGATTTCAAGTCAATCGGCTTTCCCCCTGCGGCTAAATCATTTTTAAAAAGAAAAGATACAATATTTAAAATAATTAATTCATTTATAACTTGGCATTTTCTATGATTAATTAATTTTCTTGATTATAATTTAATTTATAATAAATATGTTCAGCAATAATTCATATTTGAAAAAATAAAATTTACTTTTTTAATAATAAATTTTTGATTTTTTTCTATTATACCTCCTGGATTCACCAGCGCACGAGGCTGAACTTCTGGCAATTCCACATCAGGACGCCTTGGAATCCTCGGAATTCTCTGATTAACGAAACCCGAGTTAAAATTTGAAACTATGTCCGGCGCTTTATTGAACAAACCGGCAAAGCAAGTGGTCTTGGTTGAGTTGCAGGTTCAGCAGATCCAGGTTGATTTGGCGAGCGAGACCTTGCCGTGATTCGCCCTCGGGCCCTTCCACGCGGAACGTATCTCCTCTCGTTCGGGTTGCTCATGTTGCTGCAAAAGTAAAATGAAAAACCGCACATTCGTATGACGATTGATGAGAAAATTAAGGAAATACGAAATCTAATCAGGGAATAAGTCAAGTTCACCTGAAGAGTGATACAAATAAAATAAATCAGGCGTTTTAACCAAAGAAATTTTACGATTTTTCAAGCTTTACGAAAGCCGTAGAGTGCCCGTGGGAGATCAAGTAATGCAAATCCGCGTTAGCCGCACGGAATAGAAATTCACACAAAAATCTGCATTTCTTTGGTTGCGGAAATAAGAAGCCGCGGACAATAGTTTGGCCGGCGGATAAAAGGAGCCGTGGGACGGACGATGCTGTCAGTTGACGACGAAAACCACCAAGGATGGGTAAGAAAATTTAAGGAAAAATCTTCTTTTAAAATTAATTTGAAGCAAAGGTTTGCGATTTATACTGTTGGTGGCGCTGACAATGAGTGCAATTTTGAACGCGACTTCGTCCTGTTTCATCACGAACTGCCCTCCTGGAGGAAAAAGGTCCACCCTTGCAGCCTTGGAGCCCAACACAGGCAACGCCAGAATCAGACAGGTCAGTTTAAAATTGAGGGAAATAAAATGTTAGGAACATTAGAAACAAAACGTCAAAGAAATTTCATTAAAATTTTTGTCTTTAATTTGTAAATTTACGCGCAGATATTGAAATTTTTAATTCATGAAACGTTTGAATAATTTAAAAAAATTTCCAAACGATCATAAATTTTTGTAGATGCATGAAGTTGTATTAAATTTGTTTCATTATAATTTTTGAAGTATATTTTTTTCAATCACACATTTGAATTATTTGATGGATTTTTAATTTATTTGAACATTTTAATAATATGCAAAAATTCTTTTATTTATTTTTATTTTTAAATGAACTTTGATAAAAATAAATGTGATTTCAGTGCGCTCGTTGCGGGCCTGGACTGTCTGGTCGGTGTTTTGGGCCTCGCGTTTGCTGTTCGGATAAGCTGGGCTGCCTGGTGGGCACGTCAGGGTCAGGGTCAGGGACCATGCTGGCCTGCCTGGCCGAAAGTCTCATCCCCGAACCGTGCATCAACGGGCCGAGGGGAAGATGCGGAAGGGAGGGCGCCGGCGTTTGCGGAGCACCAGGAATTTGCTGCTTCCACAGTGAGTCATTCAAATTTCAAGTAATATGACAAATCAGTTAAAATTTAAATACAAAAGAACAGAAATAATCTTTCAAAGCTTTTCTAGCAAAAATAAGTTTCAAATTCGGAAATATTATCAAAAATTAAAATAAATTTATTGAATAATAGATTTGATTTGTTAATAAGGCATAAAATTGTAATTACTTTCATGAAAACGTTTAATTTTTAATTTAATGTATTTTTCTAGATGCATGCCACGCAGACGAGTCTTGCCAAGTGAAAAGTGCAAGTTTTGCCCGAGCTTTTGCACCGCCGCACGCAAAAGTGGCAGAGACGACGCGAGATGAAGATTTTTACGAGCAAAATTTAGCTGGTCGAGACGAATACTTGGACATGCAGCAACGCCCCACTCCGTCTGATAACTAAATCAACCGAAATTTGGAATAAATGTTGATGAAATGGAATGGAATGACCAATAAAATATAAAATAATTACTCACTGCATACTGATATACATATATAATTTCTTTGAAGGAAGTTAATTATTTAATGTTAAAAATAAGAAGACTGAATGAGGTCAATTTAAGCTACAAAAGCTGTTAAAGTTCTATGGACATAACTTTTTTCTTATATGAAACGCGATTTCTCATACTGTTAATTTACAGAGATCAATAATAAATTAATTAATAGAAAATAGGAATTTATCAATTTGGCCAAAAAAACTGAAGCTTGAAATTGTTTCCGATTAAAGTAAGCATATCGGTACGATTGTCCTCAGAAAAAAGTTCCAGTTTTCCCATAAGAACGCTTTTTTTGGAAATATAGGTCAGAAGCGACACATTTTTGAAACAGTGTCGGTGCAAAACAGCCTAAAATGATGCACTGGCGCGGTGCCGCAGAAAGTGTTTTGATATCGACGCGAGCCACGCACAGAGTGGCACAGGGTGGCACCAGCAACCCCCTCAACCCTCGGCCACCCCGTCCGTCAGTCGAGTGCTGCAATTGGGCGCCTTCGGAGGCGCTCATTTATAATTTCGAGTTTGATTTTGAGTGAAAATTTGCCGCGATGGGAAATACGGAGAGCAACGTGACCAGCGGCGTCAAAAAACAAGCCGGAGGTGCGCTCCAGGAAGTCTACAAACTCGTCGACCTCAAGGGTGAGTCAAAATTTATATTCAAAATCGTAAAAAAAGGAAGATCAACGTGGTTAAAAATCAAAAAATCTTTTAAATTCTGGTATTGATGATTAAAAAAGTTTTCAAATTCAATTCTGGACTTATATTTTGAATACAGGATAAAGTTAGGATTCAAATTCACAAATTATTTATTATGAATCATAAATTTTCACATGCTGAGCGGAGCGTGTGATCGAAAATATTGTGCAATGTTGATTTAAGAATTGGTAGAAGCAAATAGATAAATTTAAAAACGTAATTTTATTTTATGTTTGTTGTTTTTATCTCAACTCATAATGATGGTGCGCTGCAGTACTGTTTGTAATAAAAATTATCTTTATATTATCCTCTTAAAATTTTATGATCAATTTGATAGTAAAAATTTAACGAATGAACTACTAAAGAATAATTTTTATAAATTTTGATTGTTGTTGTTTTGTTGAAAAGGAGGGGGTCTGCTCGTCGAGCTGATGAAAAGAGCAACGCAAACAAAACAATACGCTGAACTTGACCACGCCATCAAAACAAAGGTCGAACCTTATTTGTACAACAAAGGCGAGGGCAGGAAAATTCCCATTTCGCAAATCGTCTTGCTGAGAAATAAGGAAAGATCCAAATCGAGATTGGTAGGAAAATGAAAATTGAATGAAAAATTAATTCAAAAAAATGTTTAGCTTCCTCAATTGCGAGGATTTGACGACCCAGAGGAATACGACATTGACAAACACGCTCATCTGACTGCGGATTTAGAAGATCTCAAAGGTGATTAAAAATCTATTAATCTAACTGAAAAAAATTATTTATTAATTACTAAATTTTTTGAATAATATTGAATATTTTAATTTAATACTATAAAATTGAATGAATCAAAATATAAGTTAAGAATAATTTGAAAATTTGCAGATCCGACTAAGTACAGGGACGTGTGTTGGGACGTGAACAAAAGAGGCGCGGTCGGGGAGACGGCGCTGCACCTTTGCCTTTTGCACGCGACCGCGCTTCACGCCGACCTCGCCAAACGACTTCTCAGATTCTACCCGAAATTAATCAACGACGTTTACATGAACGACGAGTACTACGGTTAACAAATAATTAAAAATTATTTTATAAAAAAAGATTAAATATTCCTAATTTTAGGAGAAAACGTTTTGCACATCGCGATCGTGAACGAAGACCCGGCGATGGTGAAATTTCTGCTCGACAGCAATGTTAATTTCCACGAGCGGTGCTACGGCGCCTTCATGTCCCCGGAAGATCAGAAGGGCTCAAGGAATGACTCGCTGGACCACGAATGGGTAAGAAAATTATGAAAAATTATTTAAAAAAATGAACAATAATTATAAAATTGAGTGAAGATATAATTGGATTTTTATTGCATTTTTAAACTTTTGAAACAATTTAATAAAAATTTGCTGGTTATGCAACCGGCTCGACAACGATGTCGAGCCGGTTGCGTAACTGGGGAGAGGTCAGACAAATTTTAGCCACAATTTTTACGTTGAAATTGAAATTAAATTTAAAAATAATTGAATTTGCTCAGGTCGATTGCAACCCGTTGACGAATTACGATGGCTACGTTTACTGGGGCGAGTATCCTTTGAGTTTCGCGGCGTGTCTCGGCCAAGAGGAATGTTATCGGCTCATCTTGGCCCGAACCGCGAATCCCAACAATCAGGACAGCAACGGCAACACCGTTCTGCACATGCTCGTAATTTATCAAAAAGTGGTAAATTAAAAAAAAAGTATAATAATATTTTTCAATTCATATAAAATAATTTCCAGACCACATTTGATATGGCGTACGAAGCAGGGGCCGACATAAACATTAAGAACAATTTGAATCTGACTCCGCTGACTTTGGCCGCGAAATTGGCCAAAACGGAAATATTCTTTCACATTCTCAACATCCAACGAGAGATTTATTGGCAAATCGGTGATTTTTTTTTAAATAAAAAATTGAATTCTTTTAAATAAGATAAATTAAAATTAGGAAGCATCACATGTGCGGCCTATCCTTTGGCTCTGATCGACACAATCGACATTGAAACCGGAAATATTTGCAAAGACTCTGCTTTGAATTTGGTCGTTTTCGGCGTAAGTAAATTTAAATTTGTTTTTTTAAATTAAAATTTTGATAAATTCAAACAGGACAGGGACGAGCATTTGGACCTGATGGAAGGGATGTTGGTCGACCTTTTGCACGCCAAGTGGAACACTTTTGTCAAATCTAGGCAAAAAATGAATTAAAAAATTCATTTTAAATAAAATTTGTGTAATTTCAGATTTTATCGCCAGTTCACTTTCTTCTTTTTCTACTTCCTGGTCTCGCTTTTCTGCTTCACCCTGCGGCCGGGCCCGGTGCCCTTGACCCCCAAGGCGCCGGCGCCCACCCCACTTGCCGCCCCCAACTTCACCGACTACGACTACCCCTCGTCGGCGGTTCTCGACGCGACCCTTTTCGACACCAACCCGACGGCCACGACCAACTGGACGGCGCTCGCTGAGAATAAAACGTTTGCAAATAAATCCAGTAAGTTTTAGAAAAATTATATTTATATGAACATTTAAATTTAAAAAAAAAATTGTGATAAAATTATAGATGAATCATAATAAGTCATTAAATTTTTAGTCCATTAGTGGTCTATATATTTTCTGCTGCTCCTACATTTAAATTTTTAAATTAATCAAATCTAATAATTTTAAGTAGCAACATTAAATAATGTTAAAATTGACCTAAACTGAATAATTGGAGACTGAAATTTAAATGAAAATTATCCTTTTTTTCCATCCAATGATTTAATATCGAAGTTATATTTATTTGATTTGGACAGTTTCTAATTAATTTCTAAAACAAAATTTACTAAAATCAGTTCAATCAAATGATATCAAACGCTTATAGATCGACGAAGAAACAAAGCAAAGAAAATTGTTACGTTATTTATTAAGAAATTAGAGACAAATAAAATTTAAACTTTTGCCCAGAAATAGTGAAAAATCTGGCACTTGATTTCGAGTAAGCGGCGCATTACTTTTATGAAATTTTGTAAGTTTCCCAACCAAGAAGAGCCAGCAGAGTCAAATGTTTTAAAATTGAGTTGTTCATTTAAAGAAAATAGTATGGAATTATTTAAATATTAACAATTAAAAAAATCTTCAAAGTAAATAAAAAAACGAATGGAAATTAGGAAGTAAAATATTCAAAAACTTTAGATGTACATTTATGGAAATTGGAAGTATTAGATTAAAAAAAAAACTATATATAAAAAATTGATCCCCTCAGCAAAATGTTATGATAATTCTGAGAATAAATTTATTATAAAAAATGAAGCTGGAAATTTTTCTCAAATATTTACGAAGAGAGAAATAAAATAATCTGCAGAGAACTGGTTTGATTAAAACGTGAATGTTTCAGGCTCGGCCGATTACGACGGATTTCGGAATTTCACGCGCGGCCTTTGGGGCGGAATGGCCAACATTGACTACGACGAGTGCCGCCTTTTGAATCTGCAGCCATGGCAGGCAAAAGTGCGAGTTTCCTGCGAAATCGCGATGGCTTTCGGCGCCTTTCTTTACATAATCGCCGCGTTGAGGGAGGCCCGATTTCTCGGCCGCAGAATGTTTTTGGAAAATTTGGTAAAAATGTGTTAAAATCGCTCAAAATTCAAATTAATAGAAATTTGCAGATGACGGCGCCTTCGAGAGTTTTGTTTCTGTGCTCGTGCATTTTGATGCTGATCATGCCGTGGGTGCGGACGGCGTGTTTGACCCAGCAGGAGGACATCATGGCCGTCGTCATTATGGTCACCACGGCACCATATTTTCTATTTTTCTGCAGGTAATGCAGGTTTTAGGCTGCTTTATAAGTTACAATTCACCGCTTTTCCCATTAAAAGGCCCGAGATTTAAATTAGAACTTGATTATTTTACATTCCTATTATTTCATTTAAAATAAGTTGAAATTCTTTCAATCTTCTTACAAAAAAATGAGGGTGTGCTAAAATTATGATAATAAGTTGCTCCGCGAAAATGATATAAAATAAAAAAGCAAATAAAATTAAAAAAAAAACTAAGAAAAATCTCAACAAAGTTAAAAATGTAAAAAAATTGTTAATTTTTTTTAAATATTTATATAAAAAATTTGCAAAATTCCAATGTATTTTAAAGCAAAATAAATAAAATAATAATATAATTTTTCTGCCGGTCACTATTAGTGAATGAAAATTTTGAAGAAAATTTAAAGCCAAAAAATACTTCTCAACAGTGCGATTTTAATTTAATTATGAAACGAACAGAATACAAAATTAAATGATTAAAATAAAAAAACATGGAAAATAAAAATTGGTAAATTTCAGTAAATCTTGATTTAAGTCATGAAAGAAAGCAAAATGCACGAAAAATCCTTGGTTTTGATTAAATTTCCCTCCGAATATTAATTAAAACCAGCAAAAGAAGATAAAATTCTTTCAACTTTTAAAAGTTTTAAAACGCCTCTGCTCCAAAAAAAATAAGTTACAAAAAAGTGCACTTACTTGGAACCCCTGAAGGCGGTTGAACCTTTGTTTGGTGGCGCGGGACGTGTTGCCTCTTCGAGCGTCGACGCCGGTTTGCTGCTGCGGAGATTTTCCTCCTCCTCGCGCTCCTGTCGACGCAGCACTTCTGCAAAGGAAATCGCGACTCCTGTTACGTTTCGCTGGCAGCGCGAAAGTGACACTCGGCTTCGTGCTTGAATGCTCTGCTCTCTGTTTTAATTGAAACGAGGAAAATTATATAAAATAATCTCAAGTTCATGGTCTCACCGCTTTTGCTGAAAACAAGGATTGCAGGAAAATGCGCAAAATTTCCATGAAAGTATTTCATATTAATTAAATTAACAGCAAATTTGCAAATAAAATTGAATGCGTATGAAAAAATTAAATTTTAATTCTTTGTTAAATAAAATTTTTAAATTTGTTTCAGAGGCTTCAAAACTGTGGGACCTTTCGTGGTGATGATTTATCGCATGCTCAAAGGAGATTTGATCAGATTCGTTTCAATTTATCTCGTTTTCGTCATGGGATTTTCCCAAGGTTTGCTTTTCACCCCAAAAATTAGAATAAATTAATTGAGAATAATTTCCAGCTTACTACATAATTTTCCTGACGTACGAAACGCAGAGCGCGAATCCGTTGGCCAACCCGATCGAGTCGATCATGGCCATGTTCCTGATGTCGCTGACCAGCTTCGGCGATTATTACCCCCAGTTCGAGAAGACCTTTCACGACTCCGGCAGCAAGGCATCCATTTTTAACTGAAAACATTGATTAAATTGCTAAATTCAATCGAATTCATTTTTGCAGTTCATGTTCGTCTTGTACATGGCGATTGTGGCCATTTTGCTGGTCAACATGTTGATCGCCATGATGGGCAACACGTACCAGAAAATCGCCGAAACCAAAAACGAGTGGCAAAGACAAGTACGAAAATGTCAAAATTAATTTTAAGAAAGAAAAATAATTTCACAGAATTTATTGCAATTGTTAAATTGTTTGTTTTGAAATTCAGTGGGCCAGGATTGTTCTGGTGGTGGAAAGAGGAGTTCCGCCCGCAGAACGATTGACTGCTTTGATGGAATATTCGCAACCAATGTCCGACGGACGCCGAGCCCTCGTTTTGCGTCTCAACCAATCCGTAATTTTCCTTATTTAACATAGACTCAATAGACTGCTAAAGACATTTGATTAATTTTTATTTCATTCTAAGTGACTTTTGACCAGTTTAAACAATATTATTTTTGAGAAAAGACCAAAATTTTGGATTATTTTGAGTCTTTTATTACTTTTCTGAATTAATCTATCTTATTTTGGTCTCTTAAATCAATTTTTCTGCAGAATTACTAATATTTTTGCAAATATTTTTACAAAAAATTTCCGTAAATTTCATTACACACCGATGTTTTTAATTAAAAAATATTACACTAATTCTATCAGCCTTTTTTAAAGCATTATTTAATCCAATATAAAATATTCTCAATTTCATTGTGTACTTCTAACTTATTAAGAATTTTGCAAAATGCGGCTTTTTAATTATAAAATTAAAATTTGAAATTAAAATTTCCCCTATTTTTCTAATTCAATTACTTTCTTTTACCAACCTTTATTTATAAATCAACAAATTTTGCTTTAAAAAAAAATAACAATTCAGGAGGAGGACAAAGAGGAAATGAAGGAAATCCTGGAGATGAAACGGATCCACGAGCGAATGGTGCGGCGGCGGCTGTTGCGGGAGCAGAAGAGGCAGGAGGAGGCGGCCGGGGGCGGCTCAGGACCCAACAAGCCCGACCCCTACTCCACCACCAAGAAGACCAAAAAGAACTTGAAACCGGTCCAGAGATATTAACATTGAAATTAAATCGCTCATTTCACAAACAATTTTTATTTCATTTAAATTGAAAAAAAAAATACCTCTTCTTGATATGAAAAGAATTAAAATTAAAAATGGGTGATGAACTCGTGCTCGTCGGCCGAAACCGTGATCGAGATTGTTCGGACGCTTCTCCGCGAGCTCGAGTTGAGATGTTTCTTGATTTCAGAATCTGAAAGATACTTTCGCGGCTTCCCTGGTAACAAATCACTTATTTTTCGGGCCCACGGATGCACCAGTGAGGCGGGGTAGCAAAAATCTTCTTCAACTGTCACATTGAAAGGAAAATTGTGCAGTTTTAGAAAATTAATTTGCTTCAATTGAATAATTATCATTATTTTTTCAACATAATATATAATTCTCTTTAAATTCCAAAAAGCTTTGTAAAAATATAAAATTTCTTTAATTTGAATGGATGATAAGAATGATGTAATATATTTTATTTAAATCAAAACTTTCCTGTTTAATTAAATAATTATGTTTAGGTAAATATTTTAAACAGACTTTAAGCAAATTTGTTGATTCATTCTAGAACCATATTTTCAACTAAAACTGGGGAAATTTGGTCTATATAAATGAATAAATTATACTTTTCGTTACTGATAATTTTAAAGAAAAAGATTGGAAAGATCATATTTTGATTTTTTTTATTTTTTTTTTATTTATTAAAAATAAGGATAATAGATAATTTACCTGTTAAGTAGCTGACGATTACGCCAGTAATGAGGCAAATCACGCAACCCATCATTGCGTAGTACATGAAAGAAATGGAAAACAAATAGGTCCAGTCGCTGAGAGAATTTATAAATTAAATTAAAAACCATTGAATAAAATTTGAAATCCTTACAGAGGCGCTTTCGGTGCCAAGCCGAAGTCGTACTTTTTCAAAATGTCAAGGTCACTCGTGCCATTATTGGCCGCAGGGCAACCCTCCACACTCAACGGCAACAGGGTGGTTTTGCCCCTGGAAACGACCAGCCGACCTGCCGAGAGAGAAACCGCCGAACCGAGGCTCACCACGAGGCCGGCAATCGCGCCCTGGATCACAAAACGATTCTTGCAATTAAACTCGTCAAAATAACTCATTTTTATTTTCTTCAAATTCAAATCTTGGCTAATTTTGTCATTCTGATTCAAAATCTTAGAGTGAAAAACCAAAATGTTTAAATTTTTATCTATATTTTTTATCCTTCTTTAATTTCTCTTTTAATTTTAAATTATTCAACATTTGCTGAAGTTTTTTTTAAATAATTACTTAATAATATTTAAAAAGGAATTTGATGGATAATGTTTACACATCTTCCATATTAAAGTGCAAAATCAAAAATTATGAAATGAATAATGTTGTTGAAATTTCTTCAGAGTTTCCAGAATGACATTTTTGACTTTTTTCACCCGTTTTATTGAAAAATGATCCTCTCACGTGTTTGTTGGCCGAGGGAAAGAGCAAGGCGAGAAGAAAAACGCCGAGCAAAGGGCCACTGAAGGTTGACGAAATGAGAAAGCTGGACTCGACCAAACCGGGCAACGAGGACAAGGCGATCGCCACGAGCATGATGACGATTGCATACAAAATGCCTGGATATTTGAATAAGTTGAAATCAAAAAGAAAACAATCAAAATGAGATGTGAAAATTAGCAAATTATAAATAAAAAAAATTAAAACTACTTAATTTTATATTTTTGTGATAAATTTAGCTTAAAATTTTCAAAACTTAGAAACTGTTTTAAATCTTTTTGCATTAAAATAACGCAGATTAATTAGAAATAAAGAATTTTCACATTGATATCGTTTGTAGCATTTTAAAAAAAAATTATGTATACCAATTGATCTGATGACCCAGAGCTGCTTGATTTCCGTCAGTTCTCGCACACATTTGATGTTGCTCAAAAAATCCTCCCACGTGACCGTGGCGACCGAATTCAACATTGCGACTGTGATTCTGAATAGAGACAAGATTGTGATAATTATTAATTAAATTTCATTAAGAAATCGAACCCGAAAGCGCCATTGAAGACGGCGCCAAAGAAGAATCCGAGCAGGCCCGGAACGGCGGAAAACTCTTTTTGGACAAAGAAGGGAACGAGGCCGTCGATGCTTTTGATGAGTCCGGCGCTCAAAGGGTCGCACGCCGCGTACAGGGCGTAAATCACAACACCCGACACCCAAGTGACGCTCTCGAGAAAGCACACGACCGGAATCGCCATAAGAAGCACTCTGAATTTCATAATTGGAATATTTTTTCTTAAACAAATAATTTTAATTTCTTAAAAAATATACATATTATATTATACGTATATAAGTCTTTCTTCTCTTTTTTTCAAATTAGAATTTTGTATTGACCAAGAAGAAAAAATAATAATAATAATAATAATGAAGAATAGAAATTATTTTTTGTTTTACCTCTGAACGGATTTCCTGTCGGGCAAGCTGCGGTACCTTTGGGCAAAGGATTGCTGACAACCAAAGGCAGAGGTTGCGATGAAAACCTGGCCCAAAACCGCCGACAACGTCGACACTCTCAAAGTAGGGTCTGGGTCGAAACTTTGAATGTGTTTTTTTAGTCAAATGGATTAAAAATAAAAATTAAATATTACTTGAAGAAATCGAGCCGGCCATTCGCAGAGGCCGTTTTGAAAGCGCCGACGAAACCTTCGGGAAGCTGCGTTGTTCCTCGGTAAAGTATGGCCAGGGTGCAGAAAAAAAGGGCCACACCCTGCAGGACGTCGTTCAAAATAACACCCCTCATGCCACCCTGAAATTTTGAGAAGTTAATTGTAAATATTTGTGACATTTTTTTACTTACGAAAGTGGTAAATAAAATTCCCAAGGTGCCGACGGCGATGATCGTGGCCCACAGGGGCACCCCAAGGACAGCTTGGATGGCCACGCAGGGGGTGAGGGTGGTCACCCCCAGCATCAGACACGTGCGGACTATGTAGAGACAGGAGGTGAGGCGGCGCAGGAGGCCACTTTGGAATCGCAGCTCCAGAAACTAGACAAAGAGAAAGAAAAAAAATTGAAAAAAAAGGATTAATTTTATCAAATGTGATTTCTTAAACTGTAACTTAATAAATAATTGGAAAGTTTTCATATTTACCTCATAGATGGAGGTGGTTGGCATGGCAAAGTAGACCGGCATGAAAACCACGTCCACGACTAGATAGGCGAAGAGGACGCCGATCAGGGTTTCCCACATGCCGACTCCGTGGTAGTAAAGCTCGGCAGGGAATCCTTCAACAAAAACCAAAATTAAGACTTCATATTTAGTCATTTATGCAAAATTATTTTAAAATAGATGGTAAATTTTCAGAAATTTTATAAACTGCAAAATTAACTCGAATACAATATCTTAAAAGTGAATTTGGAATGGTACAAAGCAAAGAATTAATTCATGTTTTATATTAATATTTTAAATAAAATTTTATTTCTCATTAAGGACTTCTTATTGAAAAAGTCAAATCAAGTCCTTACAACAATATAAACAGATTTTTGCTATTGTTGAAAGACAATTGGAAATTTTAATCACCATTGTTGTATAGACTTAATTTGACTATGTCAATAAGGAGTCCTTAAATACTTTATATTTAAGGACATTTTCAGATTCAATATTTATCAAAGAATTAAAAAAAGAATTTTATCATAAAATAAAGAGGGCTTCTTTTGATCAATTGATTGAAGAAGAAGTTTTGAACTGTTTTTTTGTCACTGACCGACGATGGCCCTGATGCCGAGTCCCGTCCTGGCGATGCTCATGAGAACCGCCCCCGAGCTGACGGTGCCGGTGGCGAAGCTGAAGCCCTTCTTGCTGGAGGCGGCCGTGGGGGCGGAGAGGCGCGAGTAGACGGCCAGGAGGCCGCTGGCCGCCACCATCACCCCGAACACGACAAACTCGGTCGTCGCCACGCTCGTCATGCTTTTGGTCCAGCACGAGCAGGTGAGAGAAGAAGAAGAAGAGATGCTGCGCTCGAGGTTGCGCCACTCTTATCTCTGCCTCGGTCAACATTCTCACAATTTATTGCAATTCTCATCGCAGCGGTCAACCTTGACGACAATTCACGAACAAGAAGAAACTCCTGAAAAATGATGCAATACACAATAATTACAAATGAATTTTTTTTTTTAATCAATCAAAGCTGAATAAAATTTTCTTAAATGAGTTTAAATATTTAAGTACGTTTTAACATTAACAATTATGAAAAGAGTGAAATTTAGAGTTAAAATTTGCTAAAATTAATTTTGCAATTTCTTTTGAATTATGTATGTGACCTTCGCAGGGTTCAAATGTCAAACGCTGGATAACAAAAATCAATTGGGCTGGCAAGGCTAAGATTAAAATAGCTTATTTGATCACAACAAAAATCGATCCGAGGCTTATAAATATTTACTTCGCTCAGGACGTTAAAAGACAAACAATTGAGCAGATTTTTGTTATTATCCTTCAAATCCATCACTAATTTATATCTTTTTTTTTTATTAGGCACACAGGGATAAAAATCAAATAGAATTAAAATTATTAAGTAAACTTACTCTGCAGTTTTTCTTCTTTCGCCGTCTTTTCTCTTCAAAACACTTGACACAAGACAAAAATCTTCCTGCCCTGGCCAAGGGTGTCGTCATAAAATTTCACTTTCGCATTTTAACTTCACTTAAATTTCACTAATTTTCACACAAACTCCAAGAAACAAAAGCGAGGCAAGCGAAATGAAACTCGACTCGATTGCCTCACCATTATAATCTCAAGGAGGGTTTTTTCCTACCTTTGGCTGGGGTGCAGTTGACTCCATCTGCAGGTCAAGTGAAGAAAGGGTCACTTACTTGTCCCTTGGCCAGGGCAACAACACAACCGAAAACTTTCGCTCACTCACGTGTGTCGAATATAAGTGTCTGGATCGGGAACAAAACACGTGTTGTTGTTTTGATGCGGCGCCCCCTCCCCATCCCACGCTTCCCAAATCTCATCCCCCTTCCACCATTCAAAATTTTATTATTTTTTTTCCTGTACTCATCCATGGCTTTTATAATACATAATAATGTGAATGCATAGTTCGTTCCTCAGTCACTAGTTCGAAAACACTCGCATCAATTTCGGAACTTGTTTTTCCTCTAGAGGGAAAATAAGAAAGTAAAAAATGTCCAGCTCTTCAATCATTTATTCATTGGTGAGAAAAATATGAAGGAGACGAACGAGTGTGGATGAATTTACATTTTAATATATTATGTGACCTTCAGCACAACATGGTCCCTGTAAAGGTATTTTATAATTTTTAGAGTTCTCAGAGACACTCTAGGTTCATTTGTAGTGAATTAAGATTTATTTACTATTTTAATTTAATTTTTGCATAATAGTTTTTTTATTTTATTATAAGCATGAATTTGTGTTAAACTCTCTTTTCCTGCTTGATTGATATTTTCTGTATTTAATTAATTGGTTCGTTTAATTTTATTATTCAAAGAATTTTATGTTTAGAAAGCTTTTTTTATTATTTAGACATATCTTCCCAGAGTAAGTTTTTAAAATTTTTTCATTCAACTGGTAAAGCTTGACTATAATTGAAACTCGAATATTAAAAATAAATATAATTATTGTTTATTCTTTATTAAAATTGAATTTTGTCATGGGCTTGTAATTTAATTATTTTCCTTCAAATACAATCCTCAATTATCTACAGCTGAGGTTGTGTGTAAATAATTTCTTCAATGTTTTAGAGAGTTTAGAATGACAAACATTGCTCTTTATTTGCTTCGTTTAAATTAAATAATAACCTCTTTACATTCCTATTTTAATTTTAAGATAATTTTTGTTAAATAAAAGTGTAAAAAATGCGTAATGCACAAGTTTGATTGCTTGAAAAAACCTGAAAACAAGCAAAGCGCAGCAGGGGTCACATTAGATGACGCTCAATCAAAGCCTTCTCATGTCCTGTCATTATACAATTTATTCTGAGCAGCGATAAGACTCGAGAAAGGGGTTCACTCTCATTTGTCAGACTGTGTAAGAGTTAAATTTAGACGCGCAGACACCAGAGGGGGCAAATATAATTTTCGCGCGAGCTATTTTTAATTTTCAGCTAATCAGTTTCTTATGATTAAAATTTCCTTAAAAAAAAGCAGCCAAACTTCCTTTTTCTAATTAAATTTATAAGTAAATTTAAAAAGCCTACCATATATTTCATATTATAAAATTTGAATTATTTTACTGCAAGTTCTGAATAAAAAAAATTATAATTAAGTCCTATATTGTTAAGGTTTGTTCACTTTCGAATTTCCAGTTTTTAATTATATTTAATTTGTCATTTTTAAATTCAAATCAATCCCCATTTTTTACGTTTGTCTCAGCCAATTACATTTCTCGTTGATATTTTTCTTTTTGTCAAATAAGTTTCTTCTGCCTTTTTTTCTGAAAAAGACGACGATTTTGAAGTTATTGATTAATTTAAAATTTCAATTCAAAATTTAATCCCGTCATTAATCGAACAAATATTTATTGTATTGTTTACCGAAGCCGCTGCTCGTTTGCGTGTTTTTTGCAGTTTAAATTTTATCATTCTCTCTGTCTCGGGGGCGAGTAATTTATTATCTCGGCTGGCGCGTATCTTTGCAGCTGAAAACAGAAGCGCGGTTTTGTAAGCGCGAACTTGGCGTGTCTTCTTATTACTCAGCCGCGACTCGCAACTCATGCTCTGCTGATGATGCAATTTCTCAGCGTTTTTCGCTTTGCCAAAGTCCATGCATGTGTGAGACATCGAAGAGAGAGATGCTGATGAAAGAGGAAATCCCGCGAGATCAAGCAAATTATCATAAAATGCATTTTCCTCTCTCACAAAACTTGACAATTTTGGACGGCAAAGGAAACAAAAAATGATAAATATTCCAAATAATTTTGAAACCTCGGTTGTTTTACTTATTTCATTGATTGCATTTTGTAATAATTCGCAGATCTAAAATTTGGATTTATGAATCTTTTCACAATCATATAAAAAAGAAATTCGCTGTAGAAAAAAGTTTTTTCATAAAGGAAAGATGAGAAATTCATTTGATGCAAACAACAAATTTTCTTCATTAAAACTTATGTAAAAAATGAAAATAAACATAAAAGTGAGTATAACTTTTTTACAAAACGCAAATTAATATTATGTCTCTGACGATTTATTCACAAAACCAACAATCAAAACTCTTCTTCAAAATATTTGAAGAAAATATTCATGCGTTCAAGTATTAATTGAATACAATTTTTCATCCATTATAACTTTTAAACTTTCTAATTAATTTGCTCTTCCAGAAAAATGAAAAATTTAATATAAAATTGTGATTCGCATTTTCTTCCTTTGCATTAGGCAGGGACAAAAAATAAGATTAAATTTCGATTATTATTACATCAAAGTTGACAGCGCGCATGAAAATAATAAATTAAAAAAACATACTATCGAGATTTTATTATGTAATCAACAAGAGGAAAAAATTAACTTGGGCAGAAGCAATGCAAAATTTTTCTCGTGAAATTTAAAGTTTAAAAACACAATGAGAATTAATTTTAATGTAATAGACTCAAAATTAAAAGGAAAAAAATAGAGGCCAAATTTTGCTTTCCAATTGAGCAGATCCAGTGGCCGCCGCCGCCACGATATGTCTTGTAGCGCAGCAAAAAAAAAGCCAGACTTGATCTTCAGCAATATTTCTTCGGCTATAACAAAGCTGTACGTTTTTTCTAGCCATTAATTTAAAGGGGACCTTGCCCTTCTGATCACAATTTCATGGAGTGATCACAAGGATGTACGAACGTGGAAAAGTGGTGCGACGAGTGTGACGAAGGGCACTTTTTTTGCGCACATGTTAATAAGTTAATTAATGGCAAAGTTTATTGATGTTTCTGTATTTTTCCCAATTTTTTTAAATTATTTTTTTAAAGAAAAGACCACTTTAAATACAAAAATTTAATAATGGCTATAAACTTGGGTTATACGCAAGAGTCATAAAATTTTCTAAAACTCACTTACGTTTGAATGTATAGATTTAATAGATTAAAATTTAAAGAATTGCAAATTAAATAATGCAAAAGAGAATTTTGTGGCTCAAATTTTTCCACGCGGAGTATTTCAGATATGAGAGCATTTAATAAAAAATAATAATGATGCACATATGTATGTATATGGAGGGAAATTTTCTGGCTGTGATTGAGATCAAACTTCATCGCATTTTTTTCACCATCTTTCATATTGCAACATAGTACGTGACACCAAGGTTTATTCTCCTCTCTTGCAATATTCTGCGAGGATTAAGTCATGCGTTAATTTTTAAAAGGATCAAAGTGTCCAATATCCAAATTGAATTTCTTTTTTCAAATTGTTTTTTTCTGGTCATTGCATTTGATACTTTTTAATAATATTTTATAAAAAAATTATTATATGATTTTGTGTGTTTTATTTAGCAATTATTAAAAATATAAAGAGTTTCATAAGAAATTATCAGGAACAGAAGCAAATTGTTTTGTCATTTTTCATTCCAAAAAAATAATGAGTTGCCTTTTAAAATGTGGATATTAAAATTTTAGAGCATTGAAATCACCAGTTGATGGAAAAATTTCGCTCGGACTCCATATTGAGTTGGAAATAAGCGAATGTGCCACGATCACGTGTTCGATCGCGCGAGTGTCGCGTTTTTTCGCGCCGCGATTTCTCTCTCTCTCCGTGTATTGCGAACAACCCTACGTACGGATCTATTGTGAAGTGAAAAAGAGATTTTCTTTCTGCACCCCTCGGCCGAATCTCTCTTGGCTGCGCGGACACAATAGACTCGCAGGTAGGCTTAAAAATTTAATCTCATTTGAGCTGAATAGGCAAGTCGAGCTCTCACAATTCATCACAACGTCCGTTTTGACAGAGACGCGCACCGTGTCAAGGATAGCTGCGTGCAAATAAAAAATAATATCAAAAGCAGCCGCGCACGCGAAAAACAGACGGGCCAAGCGCTTTTTTTAATCTCGCCCTTTGTATGTTTAGCGAGAATGAGAGGCGCAAAAATAGAACTGCACACGTTTCACTTTCCTTATCGAAACGTTTCATTTACAATTCTTCTTTTATTATTCTCACATTATAATTGCTTAGTAAATTAATTTAAAAAAATTATATCTTAATTAATTTGTCGTTGAAAAAAATCAGAAAAAATACAAGGAAAGGTCAGTTTTTGATTACCAAACCTTAGCGAAGTAATATAAGATATTTTTTCATATAAAAACAGCACTTATTATCAAAAATGCCCATTTTTTCTGAAAAAAAAAATCACAAGCTTAAATATTCAAATGTAATAAATTTGTGGAAAAATTGTATTAATAAGTAGTAACTAGAAAAATTGTTGAGAAATAAAAAAGTCAGACTAATGTAAAAAACTTAAAAATAATTTTTAAAATATTGAAATTGCCTAAATATCCGCTTTAGGTACGGTATCATTTCAATTAAAATGAAAATGTCTCTGAAGATCAAATTTGGAAAGTCATTTTAAAGTGGATTAATACAAAAATTTCACCAATATTTAAACAATTTTATATTGCAGCATCCATTGAGTTTTTTTCCTTTTAATTCATAATATTTTCACATATTTTGGTGTACAAACTTGATGATCGTATTTTTTATTCAATATATGTAATTAAAATCGTCAAATTTATATTAATTTTTACTATCATTTATGGCTCAATATTTGCTATAACATTAATATTACTTAAGTTTAATTTACGCTACCGTCATAATTATCAACATTAGTTTGGCACAAACCAAACATTTGAATCACCAAAATATGTTTACCTGCAGATTATTATTATTATTGTGCTGCTTATTTTGAAAGGAAACGTTTGCGTCAAATTCATTCAAAAGGAATCCTTCGAGACCGAAATTGGGGGGCAGGGCCTAATTCAAAATTCCCGAATTTTCTATTTTGGGTGACTCATGTTCCCGCACATATTTTCGCGCCTCTCCGCGCGGGTCCGACCAAAGTGTGCTGAGACGAAAAAAAGAAGCGTCCAGATAGTGGTGCTGGTGGCTGAAGCTGAAGCGGCGACACAATAAAAAAGTCCCGCCTCCTCGTTTTCGTCTCAGCCGCGCCAGCCGGACAGACGAGACGTCTCAGTCCGCTCTCGCGAAATGCACGTGACACACGCCGTCCTGCTGGCCGCCTGCGTGGCCGCGGCCGCCGGCCTCTCGCTGCACCGGTGCGCCGGCGGCTGCCGAGAATCGTCCGCCGTCGCCAGGATCGAGATGGTCAAGCAGCAGATTTTGGGCAAACTGCGGCTGCAGGAGGCGCCGCGGCCAAACCTCACGATGGCCGCCCTGCCCAGGCCGTTGGCCGCCGCGCACGGCCGCCAGCAGGAAAACTCGTTCGAGGATTTCTACGGCAAGACCGACCAAGTCATTCTCTTCCCCGACGCAGGTTAGTTCAGCTTAAAATCTAGAAAATCAGTCATTTTAATTAAATAATTAATTTCAAAATATTTAAATTGAAGCTCTTTTAACTTACCGCTGCTGCATCGAATAAAATCGCTTTGAATAGTAAGAAATTTGCACACATCAGGTGGCGTCTTTTCTGTAATTTCAAATTAAATTATATTTAACAAGTTTTGATAATATTTATAAAGCGTTGTAACGTTTATTAGAGAAAGTATTTTTCATAAAAAAACCACTAATCTTGTTCCGAAATATCAAATTTAATTTATAGTTAAAATCACTTCTAATTTGAAAAACAAGAGGGAGAGTTTAAAATTTATTTCCGCAATTTTTAAAAATCCCCATCAATTTATTTCATACAAATATACAATTATGTGAAGGGAATAAAAATTAAAAACCCCTATTTACTTAATAATATAGATAATTGTTTTAAAAACCATTTCCTCTTTCATGCTGTATTTTCCGGACATCAATAAAAGAAAATTTAGATAATTTTGTCAGATTAATTGTAAGATAAATAAGATACAGATTTCAATGCATCAAACATTGAATTTAAGTCTGCAGTCGCCCCTTACTTTGTAGCATAGCAACAAAATTCAACTAACCTCAGAAATCGCCCAGACTTATTTAATTTAGATGCAATCCCCTTTAAAGTTATAAACTGTTTTTTTACATGTACGCAATATGAATTTTGATTGTTTCATATCTACAAATAAAATTGGCAAAAAAATTATTGAACTCTAAACCTTCGTTCAATTTTCTTCCCGTCACTCCAATTAAAATTAAAATTTATGATAACATTTCAGTTTTTCCACTATATTGAGATAATTTTCACCAAGTATAACAAATTGTTTTAAATATATTGCAATAAAAAGAGGAAAGAAAAATTAAATGTTCTTCTCAAAAAGCTTTATTTAAGGCAAAACAAGCAAATATAAATTTCCTTGTTCTTGATAAGGGTCGATCGACCTCAATTAATACCTCAAACAACTGCTAAAATTTTATCATATTTAAATTTCACTGACGAAGTTTTTAGCAAAATAATTGCTCATAAAATTTTGATTTCTACTAAATTGTTTTCACTCTCCAGGAGTATTTTGATTGAAGATGATGCTAACAAGTTAATCTTTTAGAGGAGAATAAAATTAATTTTTTGATAATGTTACATTTTGCGAAAGAAAATAAAAATTTCCGTTTTATTATAAATAATATTCATCGTCCAGAATGAATTTTCTGCCCTTGCGTAAAGACACGAAATCCATTATCGCAATTGACTCGAAATAATTGCTTTGAAACTGCGTCTTTTAGGGGGCGGAAGGTTCTGGAGTCAAAAAGAAGAATTTAATTGACGCACCCCGGGTCCAATTTGAGGCGATAAGGTCAACCCCGAGTCGCCGCCGCCGCCGCTTTTAGTGTTAATTATAGTTTGATAAGCGGTGGTGATTCTTTTCAAAAATATTTACCGAAAAGTGGTCGCTGGGGAGACTCAAAAGGGGGCACGGGGGCATCCAGAAACTTCCGAAATTTGTTCCAGGGGGGGGGGGACAATTTTTCTTTCCCTTTAGATTGAAATTGTGGAAATTCTGTTCATTGTTATTTGTGTCCTCAACAACAGCACAATAGCTACTCAAATTGTTAAGCCTGCAATTAATCAAATTTCATTTTGGGGAAAAAGTAAGTAATAAATATTTTGACAATCTTCCTATAGCAAAAATCTTGGATCCAAATTTCAAAATCGGACGTCAGAGCAAATTGTGATTCAATTTTGAACAATCTCTCCGACTTCTCCGAAATATGGAGGCAAAATTAGCTTTATTTCCAGTTATTTCCAATTCAATAATAATCATACATTGTATTTAATTTTTAAGTAAATTAAGTAATGAGTGAAATTTAATATGATATTATCAATTGTTTTTAATTGATATCAGTTTATTATTATTGTGCAGAACTAAACAGCAACAAATATTAAACGTTGATAGGAAATTTAATTGGAATTATATAAAAAAAAATTTAAATATTACTTATTGGTAATGTTCTCGCATATTTTCACGGACTTGAATGTAAACAAATGTAATTAATTACGTTGAGCATCAACAAGGTTTGTTGACAAGAGTCTCGTCTCAAAGTGCAATTTTATAATTTAACACATTTTCGCTTCTTTTCTCTGCTGCCGCCGAGCTTAAAACAAAGTGTGACTATCAAGCATGTGACTCAGGCATGGTGTGCACGCTTTGCATTTTTTAGCCACGCTCGTCCGGTGCCATCCAGTTTTCCACACAAGAGATCGCGCCGCAGACACGGACCAAAGGCCTCTAGGCCTTGCCCGCGGCGCGTGAACCCTTTTTTCTCTCTCGCGCGCCCCAGCGAGCGACAAGAGACAAAAACAGACCCGGATTCCCACTGATATGTATAATCGCGATAAATTTTTATTTTCAGCCTCTTCCTCTTGATCATTGAAACGGCGCATTTGGTCGCTTATATTTATTTTGACTGATTATGCGTTGACACACTTTAATTTTCACAGAGACAAGAATTAAACCAATTATGAAAAGAAATCATCAGGGCGATTTTGAATTTTGTTACCAATTCGTATAAATTGAAATTAGCATATCAGAAATTAATTTTAATTTTTATAATTTAAGAGTTTTTGTTACAATTTTTTTGTAATTTCAAACCCATTTAATTGTGGTGCCGTTTTTTCAAATAATTCACCTTTTCTTGCACAAATTGTTTTCAAAAAATGTATGTAACCAATGCGATGTAACAATTTTGGGCAAACAAAAAACAATAATAATGATAAAAAGAGAAAAGTTTTATTAATATACAATCTTCCTATTTTCTTTTTCATTACGGCTTTTATAATCATATTATTTACAATTGGTTAATTTAACACACTTAATAGAATTTCAATCATTATTAATTGATCAAAATATAAATTGTCAAAAACTTCACCTAATTACCTAATTTTTCCCAATTTAAATTTCTTTTCTTATTGCATTTCTCTTGTTAGTAAAACGTACAATAATTTGTCTTTTGAAACACGTGGTTCGTTTCAACTGAACTGTGAACCGCTCGCGCAGTTGTATCTTGTACAATTATTTATCATTGAATCTGACCGCGGCCAGGATTACGCGCACATTCATCGTGTTTTGATGTGTGTACGAGGCATAAATAAATATACTCGAGTAAATTTAATTGTTTGAGATGTTGATTGACATTTGGAGTGCTGGAAAATACTTTATTTTCTATTATTTTGAACACGAATTTTATTAAATTTTAATCACATTTTTACATGGAAAGAATTTCAAGACTTTATGACCATTTTTTGACCTACAGTGATCATTACAAAATTTCAAAAAGTTATATAACTTTGCAAAACTCTAGAAGTTACGAAATTTCAGTGAAGATCAAATTTAATTTACTGAAAATCCATTTAAAAATATTAAATTTTCAAACTAAATTTTGGATGTGGGTTTTTTTCTTATTTTGTATTATTTTTTAATTATTGAAATGTATTGAAGGATAATTTTATTAAAAATAATTTTTTGTTTGCATATCCGTAGGAGATATTCACACTAAATACTCTCAACTAAATTAATTTTTATTAAAACAAAGTAAAATAAAAATCAGGGAAAAAAGAAAACTGAATCTGCATTGGAAAACTCTGTGGAACTCTTACTTGGATGGATGAAATATTGTAAATTGAGAAATAGTTAACTCCCTGCACTAAAAACACTCCAAATGTTTCTAAAAAATTAACCATGAGCTTAAAAATATGTTAATGATACCGACTTAAAAACTTAAAATTTGTAATGGTAAAAAGTCTGAAATCTATTTTAAATTAAAAATTATACGAAAATTAATTGGAATGTTATTAACTGAAAATTAAATCAATTTCCTCACATTATAAAAAAAAAAAAAATTTGTATCAATGAACTTGACAAGATTAATTCTAAATATTAATTATTGTTGTTGAATATATTACCGGCGATTAACGTGTGTAAAATTTTTAGCGTGGTGATTTCAGGAGTGGAAGCGTGTCCGGACAGTCCATCAGCAGCTCTGTGCTTCTCGTTCAGTCTGCCGCAAAATTTGGCCGACGAATCGGTGGTCGACTCAGCCGGGCTGTGGCTCAACAGACACACCTTCCAAGCGGCGCGCGGGGACGAGCACCTCTTCCGGCTTTGGGCCAAAAACTCCTCGGCGCTTCCTCAGCTCCAGCTCATCGCCTCGGTGTGGTCAAAAATCAAAGGTCGGTTTGCCAACAACTCAAGTAGATATCAACATTATGTGTCCTCCAAGTAAAATTGCCCAAAATTTTGCATAGCAAAAGAGGCAAGAAGTGCCATTAAAAAGTGTTCAATATTAAAATTTTTTTACAAAAGTTACCAAAGTTATCTCAAATGGTCTCAATGCAGTGAAATTTTGTGCCTTTAAAAAGTCAAAATAGTTTTAAATTTACAAAATTGCCATAAATTATTAGCTATTTAAGATTTTCCATGTTCTTTTCTCTATTGCAATATATCTTTAAAAATAAGAGAGAAGGCAAAATTCGCTTTTAAGTTTCTTCTAAAACTTTCCATTATTTTTCAAATTACCCAAAAGATTAAACTAGGCAATTGCTTGACATGTGTGCCCAACGGAAAGCCTACTTTACACAACTTCGGCCGCCTCTGCTGCGGCCAAGAAGTGGCCAAGAGAACGAAATATTCTAGAAATTGGTCGGTACAAGCGTCGCACACATTTTGAAACCAAGTTCAGTGAAATCGGAATACAAAGTTCTTGTACCAAAGAAAATGTAAAATCTTTAATGTTTGTCTTCTTAATTGAATTTCATATAAAAGCCAATTGTCACGTAGACCGCTTTTAAGGTCATATTATGTTAGTGACCTCTCAGCAAAAAATACACAATCGGGTTAAATGTAATATTAAAAGAAAAAAAACTTATCCGCGAGTTCCTTGAAAGATAAATTCGTTTCCTTTACGCTTTGCACACATGATAAAAAGGAGTTCTTAGAGAGTAAAAATTGAACACTGATTTTAATCCCTTTCCACTATTTGTTGCTAATTTTTGAAAGTTTTTTTTTACAAATTCACTCATATATAATATAATAAATATTCATCACTAACAATTTTTTACACCAGCGCAATTTTTTTCATAGATCGTTAAAGATTACCGCGCGTAATGAGGCTTATTTTGAATTTATGATGCATATTACATTGAAGCAGCAAAAAATGGCAAAAATCGCTGACATGTGTGAATAAATAAAGGAAGTTTGGCTCGAGTTTCTGGCACGATCCAAGCACGTGGCTCTTTTCTTCGCAGTCACGTGGAACCGCGAGACACGTTTTGAAATATCCTTTTGTTCATTAATTTTTTACTTCAGTGATAATAATTATTGCTTTATGAAAAATTGGGTCAAACAATTTCATTCATTAATATTGAGGAGAAAATATTTTAATAATGAATACATTTAAAGATATATTTATTCAAAATAATTATATTTATTTAAAACACGTATAAAATTCAAAAAAGTAGAAAAAAAATTGCAAGGTCAAGGTACAGATTGATTTTATTTTTCACTTGTTTTGCTTGAAGTGTTTCAGAACTTTAGCCAGTACTTATTTTATTAGAAAATTCCAATTTTCAGTAAAAAGAAATTAGTATTTTTCTTATGCTTGCCTCTTGGAAATGACACCTAAATTTTGTTGCTAATGTTCAAATAATCTGGCTTCCTTTCCTTAAAACATAATTTAAAAAACTAAATTAATTTTTATTAATTTTAAATGTTTGTATTGGAATTTTTTGCAGACAGTTGGATGCAAGTGAAACTCGACGTGGTCGACACTTGGGTGAACAAGTCTCAGTTGCACCAGAAGATCCAGATCGAGTGCACCACCTGCCAGGGCAAGGGCCAACTCAGGGAGGACCAGCTGCCCTTCCTCGTCATCAGCACCAGGTCGCTCTCGGCGGTAATGAAACTTCATTTTCGTTTGTTCCTGAAATTTGAATTCAAAAAATTTCAGCCTCAGAGAGTTCGTCGGAGCATCAATTGCACGCCGGGCATCAAAGAGTGCTGCCGTGAAAATTTGCGCATCAATTTCGACGAGATCGGCTGGGGCAACTGGATTCTGCAGCCCAAAGGCTACGACGCCTTTTTCTGCAGAGGTTCCTGCACAAACGGAGCCGCCATCGCGCAGAGTGGCTCCTTCTACACTTCCATTATCCAGGTACAAACTTCATATTTGAAATATAATTATAATAAAAAAAACTTCAATTTTGATAGCAGGAAATTACTTCAATAAAAGTGCGGATTGACGGATATTGAGACAAATATTTTAACAAAAAACTTTGATAATTTTTACTATTTTAAATGGGTTTTACTATCAAAATTTTACAGTTGTTTATATTTTTATAAATTTTTAAATAATTGAATAGTCAATAAATGCAATTTTTTGTAATTTTGTTTTTATAGAAATACTTGAGTCTTGGGCTGGCGCGGACGAAGAACAAGGTGGACCTGACGCCGTGCTGCACACCGACTAAGTTCTCGTCGCTGCAGCTGCTGTACGTGGACAGCAACAACGTGGTGATGCAAAAGACGCTGCCGAACATGGTGGTCGACTCGTGCGGTTGCTTGTGACCTCGGCGCGGCGCGGACACTTATTTATTTCTTTAGTGTTTAGGGAAAAAAAAGGATGAAATGTGGTCTCACCCTAGCTCAGCGCTACCTTTTGTGCTAAAGACTGAAATGAATTAATGCTGCAATTTTGAGATTTGTTGTCCCTTGGAATAAGCGACGGGGATTAAATGTGCTTATTATTTATTTGTTTCGTTTATTATATAAGTTAAAAAAAAACATAAAACGGTTTAATGTGATTCTTTGCGAGTGAAGGAGTCTTAAAAATAAAGAAAACCAAAAGCAACGATTTACAAGATTATTATTGCTGTTAATTACAAGACTGGTAATTAAATTTCCCAGAGAAAAATAAAATGTTAAACCAGAAAATTTGAAAACATTGATTTATATAATGTCCGGAAATTAAAATTTTAGCTCAAAATGTGGCTTAAATATTATAAATTTGTTTCTGATTTTTTTTTAAATATATTATGCAAAAATTCCTGCGACTTTAAAGTCTTTTTTTACACAAGTTATGGTAATGGCGATGATGATAATTTGATATTTAACAAAAACGCGTTTCAAATATCTTATAATTCAGCTTCAGCCGACAAAAGCGAGAGGCGTTCTGTTGCTCTCCCTCTTTGACTAATCCACGGCAAAAAACCTTTTCTCCACCAAATTCCCAAGATCATGGCGTTTTCTGCGACTAAAAACACCAGCAGAGCGGTCGTCGATGAACCTTCGGACGACTTTTGCGGACCAACTTTGATTTTTGGACGTGCAGTTGTGGTTGCACGGCTGCGTGGCGTCGATGTTTTATTTTCCAGCGGGCAGATCAAATGTTTATCTTTAAAATATGGAGGAAAATCAATTAAGCAAATATTATCCAGAGCAAAAAAACCACACCTTTCGAGTTGAATAATACCAGAGATCCGTTAATGCAGTTTTGGGTGATTGTTTTGTTGGTTGACGCGCAATGGCAAGTGACGTTGTTTGTGCAATTCCTACTTCCTTCACTTGCAGTGCAGTTTCCGATAACTGAAATAAAGAAAATTATTGCTTTTTCTTTATTCTTAATATTTAAATACAAATATTCGACATATTTGTAATAAAATGCGTTTTCTTAAATAAGTTTGAAGATAAAATAGATTAATTAGTTGATTTTTTTTTTAATTTTTTTTTTTTTTTATTGAATACATATTATAAAAATCTCACAAGGCTTTCTTTTATAAAATCTTAATTAAACGTATTCTTTGCATCAAACGGATTGAATAAAAAATTGTGTAGTTTTAAGGAATTTTTAAAACTTCACAATATAAGAAAAAATTTGAGGAAAAAAACCTAAAAATAATAAATACCTTTCTGAGGATTTTGAGCTGGTCTTGCAGTTGTAGTAATTAGGGTAGTATTTCTGGTGACAATTGTGGTGGATCCTGGAGTCGTTGCTGTTTGATTTGCACTACTTTTTTTACCAACTAATGTTTGATTTGTGTTGTTTGTCTTGCCGGGGTTGCTTGCTAAGGCTGCATTAGAGTTCCATTTGTGAAAAATCTTGCAATTAGTATTAAATTCACTTTTACAAACCGGCGGAAATGATGGCGATGAAAAAAGCCAAGAGGAAAACTGCTATTATTATGATTTTTAACATCTTGAAGCAGCTCTTTCCCGATCAAGCATGAAAAGAGCGACTGATGCTTCGACCGTAGTCGCAGAAATCGACATAAGGGTGATTTTTGTTATCAGAGAGCCTGCGTCAAACCGGAAATTAATGGTGATTAGCTGCTAAAAAAAAAAGTTGAGCCGTCGCGATATTCGGAGCTGCTGGGGCTGCTGGGGAAAAACGCGCAGATAAAAACGGAAACGTTTCTCTCGTCACAATCAAACGCTCTGTGTTGCAAGACGAGTACAAAATTCGTAAGCACAAATACATTTTATTAATTGAGCAAAAGCTCTGGTATGCAGAAGAGAAGAAAAACATATAATTTGTCCCTGTTGAAAAGCAAAATATTTTGTTTTTATTAGTTATAGTTAAATAAATGTAGGGTGTAGGATATATTTTGTGTTTATGTATTATCTAAATTGTATTGCCTTTTTTATTCCACTAACAAAAGTCATACATATATTGCTTAAATAAAACAAAAAAAATCATAGCACAAATTATTATAATTGTTAGTTAATTTTACATGCAGGATTTTCTACTCCGTTTTATTTTTCTATTAACAAAATGGCTAATTTAATGACATTTTCAGCCATTTGGTTGATTTTATTTTGTACAAATTTGAATATTTATATTAAAATTTTTTTTACATATAGATAGAACTATTACACTATTAGATTAAATAAATTATAATATTGTTATCATTTCCTTCTGGGTTTATTTAATTCAATAAAATAAATAAAAATATCCAGCTTCCTTTGGAAGAAATAAAGAACTAAAAAACAAAACTATTGGATCAATATTTTACAAAATTTAAAAAAGTTCTTTATTTAAAAAAAAAAATGCTTTATTTTAAAGAATAATTGAATAGTAAAAGGAAAATATAAATACAAAACATTATCACCTATAATTATGTTACTTTTCCTGAATTGTGTGATAAATTGGTTCTTGCCTATTTGCCGACCTCTCATTTTTTGCGTTAAAGGCGACGTAGCCAACATTCTGAATCATTTCTATCTCTTCTTGTTGTGGGTTTTGTGGACGCGAAATCCAGAGATCCTCTCTCAGCGGTTCGATGCTTTTTCTCACGCCGCTTGACTTTCGGCGCTTTGCGGCCTCGACGCACAGACAAATCAGTGCAACCAAAATTACAACGACCATCAAAATGTACTTTCCGAAAGTTATTATTTGCTGCCAATCGCTCATAATTTTTGAATCGTCTTTTGTTTCAGCAACAGGTGTGCTGGAAATTTCAGTTTCGTCGGTGACTTGCTCGGTAATTGTTGAGGTTTCAAAAGAGGTGCTAAAAGTGAACGTGGATCCCGCAAAATTTGCTTCATTTCCTGAGGTACTCGATTGGGCGGTTATTTTCGTGCTCATCAAAGTTGTTGATTCTCGCATAGGAGAGGTTTTTTGAGTCCCCAAAGTGTTTTTTGTCGAAATTTCAAAACTTGTGGTAGTCGATTGGGCGATTGTTCTTTCCGTCACTGTTGTGGAATCAGGGGACGAAGTGGCTTTTTCGGTATTTTCTGTCGTTTTTGATTTGGCCAGAAAGTACGGCTCGCATAGTTCAAGGCGGCCGGTGATGGTTGAGTTTTCAACAAAACACTCTGATTGGTTGATAATCTTATATTTTGGACACAGGGGACCGCCAGCTATTAAAAAAATGGCCTTTCATTAGAATTTTCGTCGCAGGTTTTTATGGTAATTTTTGCCCACTTACTTTTACCATCAAACAAGTTCAAAAAATTCCCAACCGGGTTGCAAGCAATTTCAATCGTTTCATTCAATGAGGGGCAGAAGCATTGCTCATTTGAAGATTTACAAGGATGACATTTATTTAGGTCAATTGGACACAAAGTAGCGTTGCTTCTATTCCCTGTAAACAACAAAAAAGCACAGAGATTGATAAAAAAAAAAAAAAACATTAATAAAGCTTTTGAATTAAAGTTTCATGATTTTGAAGTATCGCCAAAAATTGAATTAAAAACCTTTGTGATCCAGATGTGCATGTATCGTTATTTCTTTCAGTTTTTCTATCCACTCATCAGCAAGCGTGTCGCAAAATTCCTTTCTAAACTGAAATCCTTCAGTGCCATTATCGCAAGAGGAAATGTTTAATTTTTTAGATCCCATTGGTGGACAGAGTGGCTCGCCATCTGCATCAAGGATAATTTACAAACAATAATTGAATTAATTTTTTAATTTGGAACATATGCTTAGTACTTCCTGTAAGGAATAATGATGAGATCTCATCATTATTATCTATAATATTAAAAAAATCCCCCGTTTTTTTCAAAGTCATACAAAGTATGCAACACTTGAAACTACAATGTTCAGAAAATAAATATAATTATAATTGGATAAAAAATCATATATATTCGAGAAATTATTTTTATATTATGCTTATCATGATTTTACCTAAAAAATCCACAAGAATTGCAAACTTCTTATGAGGCTCACTTAATCTGACAAAATTAAACATTTAATATTAAAAGGCTCAATTTTAATGTGCATTTTAATTCAGATGATTAATTGTGAATATTTTGGAACAAAAATTTAATGATTATTGTTCCCTGTTGTCGCTCCGCACTGATTTTGAAATGTTCGCTTAGTATTCTATTCTAAATAATTTTTGATTTACTTCTAGCATCAAAATACGTCAGTTTGCCGTCTTTGCAGTGCAGTTCGGTGTCTAATTGCGTGGAATTGCAGAAACATTTGTTTTCTTCGTTTTTGCAGTCCTGGCACCTCATGAGGCCATCCCAATCGCAAAGTTTTCGGCTGTTCCAATTGACACCTAAAAGGGGAAAATAAATTATTTCAAAGCGAAAACAGACAAAATGTGAAATTAAGTACCATCGGCCAAGGGACAGAAGAAAATGAAAATCAAAGCAAAGAGGAGAATCAAATTACATCTTCTAATGGGCTTCAGTTTATCCATTTTGACGAAGACGCGGTTATATTATTTTTTCCATTTTTTTCTTCAACAATATAATGAAAGCCGGAATTTTTTTTATTTTGTTCTTATCGAGTTTTATCTTAGTTCCTGAGCTGATTTTCTACATTTTCTTAAAATTCCTTTTCCGCCAACTGCTATGATTCATCAACCGATAAATTTGATATGTAAAGAATGAATTTTTTTTAAATAAAACTAATTTAATATTAATATTTTTTTAATTTTACTACAACTTCTGCAGAAAATATTTAATTACAGTATTTTTATGACTTGTTAGCAATTACAGGGCCTCCCCTCCCCGCAGCCTTGTACCAAATGTGTGCGGTGCTTTTTCCCAGACTCGCAGGGGTGTAGGGGGTGGCGGGCGGGCGGGCGGGGGCGCACAATTTCATTGTGTATGTCTTTTGACCGCGATGCATATCAAAGGGAGACAACATGCACCACGCGCTTGTGTGTGTGAAAATTATTATCGATTATTTATGACACCTAGCAACCGCACGAAAACATCCAACGGACTCTAATTATAGGAACGCCGGTCAGAGGAGTAGAATATCGGACAGTAATTCACGCTCGTTGCACTTCGACGGTCGCGTTTGTTCACGTCGGCAAGCCACACACGAAGCTCACGTGCGCGTTTTGATTCTTCGAATCGGCGACACAGGTCGAAAAGCATTTACTTTTTGTTTGAACCAAACATCTGTATTCGTTTTTTGCTCATTTGAATTTATTTTGTATCAAAAATATTCTTTCAAAAGGATATTTTTTTGCAAAACAAATATTTTTAAACATTCACAAATTTATGTTATAATTAAGCACAATTAAACAACGCAAAATTAAAGTTTAAATTTTCAAACCAAAACCTTAAAACTACAAATCTATTTTTTTTGTACCAACAGGTTGCGAATACACACAAATTTCCGCCGCAGAAAGCAACACACTGCAGATCCTTATCACAGCAGATGTTTGCTGAGCTCGCACGCAATGGCCTTTTTTAAAAACGTCTTGTGCTGCTCCGGCGACAGCGAAGTAAGATCTCAACCCTTAGTTTTCTCTTTTTATTACCAAAATCCTATTCAAAATTCCAGATATTTGCCAATTTAGACAATTTGCATCAGCACGGTGAGCATTATTCTCTGTACGTGGAACTTTTGGACAAGGGCCAGGAAAATGAAATCACAGGAGAACTCCTGAAGGAAGTGAGAATTTTTTTATGCAACATATTTTTGATATTTTTAAATTCACTTATTTGAAATTTCCAGGCCAGTCAAGAAGTTGCGAATCATTTTGAGCAACTTTCGGACAAATACTTGGCCGTTTTGGAAATCAGTGAAAGTAAAATGTCCGAGGAAGTAAAAGGGAAGGTGCGGACGGCGTGCGGAATGTCCAAACTTCTAGTCAAAGAAAAATTGTCACAGTTCGATCAGTTTGTGGCCGACTACGAGCAAGTATGAATAATTATTTTACTCGGCACAAAAATTCAATTATTTAACACAAAATCTAAAGTCAATTTTCAATTAAAAAATTTCAGTTATTAAATCTTAAAATATCACCGGAAATCCGACTAAAATTAACTATTTTTATTTTCAAAATAAAACAAAAAAAAGCTCTAAAGAAAAATTGAAACCAAATTTTGATATTAATTATAATAATTTACCCCAAGCACAGACCAGTTCTGTATCCAGTCTGATGCACCCAAAGTAAAATCCTCTTCCTTTTGCATCCTTTTAAAAGCTGCAAGCGCTTAGAGTGTTTTTAATTTTTAAACTAAATTACAAAAATTTACGTAAAAAAATTTCAAATTTCTCAAAACGTCAACTTTCGGAATGGAATGCTAGATATTTAATTAACATTTTAATATAATTGAAGATTCAAATGGATGAAGGTGGCGGTGGAAACAAAAAGCTGGTCAAACTAGACGACTTGAAAAGTTTCTTCGAGTTGATTTCCGTGCAAGTTACCGACCTGGATGAAATGTTTGACGACATCAAAAGGTTTCGAGACCACGGGTGGAAGGAAGTGCCGGTAAAACGAATTAATTAATAGCCTTGCTCAATGACACGACCTAGAGAATTAATACTAAAATCAATCAGAACATCTATTTTTCAAATATTTTACGCGGACACTATTGATTTTTGTGTGTGGACTAGTTTAACGTGATGAAAGATAAAAATCATAAAAATAGCAGTTATTGACCTTTAAAAAAGATATTATTTGACATTTTCATGATTACACGAATAATTTAGTTTCAAAATTTGGTGCAGTGAAATAATTAATGTGCGCAGGAGGTGACAGTGAGCGACGGTGACTTGACAATGGAACGCAAGAGCAGCAAAATGAAGCTGGTGATCGAGCCGCCGGCGCCGACAAAGAACGCCCAGGCCGATTTGGAGCGACGAGAACACCAAAGGGCTGAACTGCGCAAAATAATGCGCTCGCAGGCCGCCGGAGTGGCGAAAAGTGAGGACGACATCACAATATCCATTTACGAGGGCAAAAAGACGGACTGAGATTACATTTACAGAGGGGCCGTGGGAAAATATTCATTGATTTTTCTTCAACTATTTTGGCGTGCAAGACGCATTGTGTCCCAAAAGCTTTAAACTAATTCGACAACATTAATTGAGATTCATTCTGTAAATAAATTTCCACAGTGGAAGCACAAAAATTATTGGTTATTTAGGAGTACTAAAATATAAAATAGTGTTTCACTTGTTTTATTAAATGTGATTTATGCATTAAGTCTGTGTGATGTGATTCCACAAAGTGCAATTTAAATAGTTAAATAGAGTTTGATTTTAAAACAAATGCCTTTTATTTTTAGGAAAATTCACTTTGGGTTGCAAAAAAATAATATTATAATTTTAAATAAAGAAAAGTTAGAGATTTGAATTAAATTTTAAGAAATCTATTATTTCCTTTGAGCCATTTTTTTTTATATGTTGTGATTTTAAACTCTTTACGCTGTTTATAATATTGGGTTGAACAAATTTTGTGCATTACATTAACTCTCTTTGCACGCCTCCTTCCCGCGACTGCTATGAAAGCGGCTGCTTCCTTCAAGAGTCCGCTAGTTGTCGCCACCGTCGCTTTGATTTTGATCAGACGTGGGCGTGTCTGTCGCTAATCTTTTGAGGTGTGTCCCTGTGTCCCGTCCGCTTCCATCCCAACTGCGGCCACCTGCGGCTTATTTTGCTCTGTCCGAGGCAGCTGCGATGACGCTGGACGGCGAAAGTGCCGTGGGACGCCGTGTCGAGTGCGACGGACATCGCGGCACGGTGCGTTACGACGGAGAAATCGAGGGCGCGGGCGCCGGACGCTGGCTGGGCGTCGAGTGGGACGATCCCTCGAGGGGCAAACACGACGGCGTCCACCAAGGACGCAAGTATTTTGATACAAAGTGAGATATGAAAACAAATCCCTGAGTCACTAATTATTCAACATTTTATTTCGAATTTTTGTTAAAACTGATTTTACTTTCAGGTGCGCATTAGCCGGTTCCTTCGTCCGACCGCACAAAGTAAACCTGGGACGCTCGTGCGCCGAGGCCCTCCTCGAGCAGTACGAATCGTCCTTTGAAGCGCAACTGACCAGTTTCCGCACAGGCAGCTCCGGCATGGTCAAAACCGCCGAGTTCGTCGGCTTCGAGAAGCACCTGCAGAAGATCAGCAACCACAACGCCCTGCGAATCGTGGTCCTGAGCAACCTGTGCATCAGGCACGGCGACCGCAGACTCTCCGAACTGTGCCCCAACGTCGAGGAACTTGACCTGAGCAAGAACCTTTTGTCGAACGTGGCCGATGTGGCCTCGGTGGTGGAACATCTGCCCCGTCTCAAGACCCTCCTCATCAGTCACAATCTATTCTCCTCTTGGGCTGGACGCAAAGAGGTTTTTGACCAAATTCAGAATTTGGTCGCCGCCAGCATGGAGCTGACCGCCCTGGACGAGATTGCAGACTTGTTTGCAAATTTGGTCACCCTCAAAGTGCCTCAGAACAAAATCTGCAGTCTAAGCCAACTCAATTTTCCTCTTCTGCGAGAGCTCGATCTGGACGGAAATCAAATTGAGTCGTGGGACGCTGTCCAGAAACTGTCCGCCCTGCCCAATCTGCAAATTCTCCACTTGAACAACAACCGAATCGGTTCAATTCCGGACTTGCCCAGTTCCGTGTTTCCCAAACTTGGCACACTCTACCTGTCCGGAAATCTTCTGTCCGACTGGCGGTCGGTAAGCGCCCTCGAGTTCTTGCCATCCTTGGAAGAGTTGATCTTCAAGGACAATCCCCTTCTGAACGCAGAAAGTCCCGAGACAAATCGGCAGATCATTATTTGCCGGCTGGCCAGACTGAAGACGCTGGACAAAGTGTCCGTCTCTGCGTCCGAGAAGAGAGGCGCCTCCTTCGACTACCTCAAGAAGTACGGCAAGGAGTACCTGGCCTGCAGAAGCAACCCTCAGGACTTAAATCTCTTCTACGCGAAGCACCCGTGCTACCAGAAACTGGTCGAGGTCCACGGCGCCCCCGAGGAGTCCGAACTGTCCGGCCAGAAGAAGAATCTGCTCATCAACGTCATGATCGAGTGTCCGCAGCTGAAGGAGAACGGCCACGTGGAGAAGAAGCTGCCCCGGACGATGAAGTTGCAGCGCTTAAGGGGCATGTTGCCCAAGCTGCTGCCCTCGGCCCCCAACATGTTGAAGTTGAGCTACATTTGCCGCGACAAGCCCGAAATCAAGTACGAGTTTGACAACGATCTCAAGGACTTGGCCTTCTACTCGATTCAAGACAATGACAGCATAGTGGTCGAGTGGTGAAGAAATTAAATATATTGATGATGCCTAATGTGATATTAATAGCTGTAGAGAAAAGCGAATCAATTGGACATTCCAGCAGTGGGAAAAATCAAAATTACCTCCGAGTAAATAAAATAAGTTAAATGAAATAAAGTTTTATTTCATCAGGAATTTAGTGCAATTTGATTCTGCAAAAGCTCAACCTCATAATTGCTGGAGTGCAAATTTATTAAAAAAAAAATAGACATCTATTTTAAAATATAATTTCAAAATTTAAAGTACAATGTGAAAGTAATTTTTCTCTTTTTTAATGATAATAAGCAGAAAAATGTACATAGTTATAAGTGTCCACAATTCAGTCTCTTTTTACTTGACTGACACATTTTTTCGTCCTGTCTTTTGGATTCGGAATTTGAGTTTTCCTTCGTCGTCTTCAGCCTTTCGGCCAAGGCTCATGAACAACTTTTTTCCATTGGTAGTTTTGTAGTCCTGCAGTTCTTTCAACGCTCGTTGTGCGTCTGACTCGCTTTCAAACTCCAAAAAACAGAATCTATGCAGATATGAGAATTTATGTATGTTTATTAAACAACTTAATTAAAAAAGTAAAATTTACCGTGCGCTTTTTTGTCTTGGCAGGGATACATTTGTGATCAACGGGTGCATTTCTTTGATGATGGTGTACTCGGGGATTTTGTGAGGAAACCTCAGGTACAATCTCCAGTCAGGGTCTACTTTCGGCCTCTCCTTGGCTGCAGCTTTCTCGGCTCGTTTCTTCAAATTTGGACCTTTCTTGGTAAGAGGGATTTTTTCCGGCTCCTCCTGCATTTTGCTCGAATGAATTCAATCTTCACTTTCTAAATCAATTTAAAACAATAAAATAGTCACACGAATGTCACACGTGCGGTATAATAATGTGGATTTGCAGCATAAAAATTGAATACAAAACACATGTGGCGTTTTAAAAGAGCATAAATGGGCGTGGTTACGTGATTTAGCTGCTGAATCAAGTTGACCAACTAAATAGAATATAGTCTAAAATAAATTTAGTGTTAATTAGCCCGACTTTAATACGTTTTATCACTAATTTTGAATAAAATGCTAATTTTTTAAATTTTAAAATGGTTTACACACATTAATTTATATGAAAAAAAAACGTTTTAAATTAAATATTTATTACTAAGTTGGTAGTATTGTTTACGTTCGCATTCCAATAATGGCCGATGATCTCGGCTGAGGACCATGATAGATCCCTCTGAGGGCGTGTTTTTCGACAATTCTTCAAAAATTCAGCAACCTGAGGTAAATCTGCTGCACATTACCAATATCTGAATAGATTTCATGCATTTCTGAGCAAATCTCGCGCCGCTTCATCCGCGAGGTATGAAAATTGTGGCCAAGAACAAGCCCGCATTAAGGTCACTCTCGTCTCGTCATTCCGCACGATAATATGTGTATGTACTCGCGCGCCTAAGTGCGTATGAATGGTGACAGTGTTTGCGTACTTATCGCCAGTTTGCGAATTCTGCAAGCGACGCCCGAGGAGATTGTCAAGGTTGCAAAAATCGGCCGTGACTTCCGAGCAAAATTCGGCCACGGAAGACTCGAGTGAGCACAAATCAGCTCACCCTGTGCGAATTCAGCTTTGCCCAGCGAAATTCGGCTGATATTTTTGTTTTCACAAATTATTAACTGAAATGTGCCAAGTCAGATGAGATAACAGCTGAGCTGACTCTCATGAGCTGCGAGTTATGGTGCATGACAAATTATGGAATAAGTTTTTGGCACTCGTACAAATCTGTTTGTTTGAGGGAAAAAACATAAAATTAAGTTATAATTTTAACTAATAAGAACACAAAAATGTTCTTGAAGTAGATAAAAGTAATTTCATAATTAGGTCAGCTTTATTTTTAAAATCAAGATATTTTTTAAAATTTCATATATTTCGTAAGTATTTTTTTACTCTTCTGACATGTTTTTAAATTTTGGAAAAATCTTCCTGTTTTACAGTTTTCCACGATCATAGTTTCGTGCGTGGAGAAACAGACACCGCAGTCGGCAGCAGCGCATGTTTGTAAATAAAAATGCAAACTTTCGATCTCAGGGTGTGAAGCATTCGGTCGCTTCGCGAGTGAGTGCGTCGGGCCCACACATTTATTAATAGAACCCGGCGGCGGCGGCGACGGCATTTATTTCTCTCTTTACTCTCCTCCTCGCGAGAAGAAGAAATGAATGCGAGGGACGACGTTTGGCTGCCGGCCAGTGTGTTCACCACCGAGATAGAGATAGAAAAAGAGATGGACTCGCAAACGTGCGATCACACTTGGCCCGACCAAATCGCCAAATTTGTCAAAATTTGCACAGTTTTCATTTGAGAGAGGTCAATGAAAAGTCATAGGACTTTGCAACTCATGTTTTTATTTTTTTTTAGATCTTAAGTATTAATAAATTAATATTTTTACAAAACTTTATTGAAGGTTTATTGATTATTGGTTTTGTTAATTTCAAAATTTCTGATATTGTTCATATTTTTGACTCTAGATGGTTTGCCAACCACAACTGGAAGAGCAGGAGGACCGGCTGAAAGAGAACCTGCAGGTTTCCAACCCTGAGGCCACCATGGCGGTCGTGCCTGTCCAAGAAGAGCCACAGCCTGCCAACATCACCTGCATCGTCCGCAACCACGTCGACTTTAGCACCAACTCGGGTCCCATCACGATTTTTGTAAAGGAAAATGCGACTGTCGCTGGCCTGTACGGACAAATCGCCAACCAGCTCGAGCTGAACGAGTCAGACTTTGACATCAACTTCAAAACAGAGGTCCAGTCATTTTATTTTCCGAATTAATTTTGTAAAATTTTTTGATATTTTTAAAGGTGCTGCCGAAGACGGGCCCGTCACCTTCGGTCCTCTCGGTCGGCATCAAAGCCGACGGTCGCAACATGCTGACCCTGACGTCTGCCATCAAACTGAAGAAGAAGACAAATTTGCCCAACACAAATCGCTTTAGTGAGGAGGACACGACCAACGAGATTGAAAACGGAGCTGCGGCAACTGCAGTCGCGTCAACTTCGACCGAAGAATTTGCCACTCACTCTGTCTTGCCTGCTCCAGCAATTGAGACGTTTGAAAAAAGTAAAGTTTTTGAGTGCAAATTTTTTTTATTTTATTAAATTTGAATTGTAATTTTTCAGAATACGTAGGGCTCGTGAACCAAGCCATGACCTGCTACTTGAACAGTCTCCTGCAGTCGTTGTTCATGACTCCGGAGTTCCGCAACGCTCTTTACAAGTGGGAATTTGACGGCACCGATGAAGAGTCGAGGCGGAAATCGATTCCCTTCCAGCTGCAGAGACTGTTTCTAAAACTGCAGGTTATTATTAATGCATAAGGTGAATAGGATTTTTCATTAATTTTATGGTCACAGACGTCAAGCAAAACAGCTGTTGAAACAACAGATCTTACTCGGAGCTTTGGTTGGGACTCAAGTGACTCGTGGACCCAGCATGACGTGCAGGAACTGTGTCGAGTCATGTTTGACGCTCTCGAGCACAAATTTAGGAAAACCGAACAAGCCGACCTCATCAATAGGTTATATCAAGGTAACTATAAAATATTTAAAGACTTTTAAAAAAAAAGTGAAGGTGTAATTCTATTGAAAATTTTTAGGCAAGATGATTGATTATGTAAAATGTATGGAATGTGGAAAGGAGAATATCAGAGAAGACACCTTCCTAGATATTCCCCTCCCCATCAGACCCTTTGGCAAGGAAACAGCTTACGGCAGTGTTGTGAGTCATCATTGAGTATAACAAAATTTTGGTTTTCTCAATAAATATGTGCAGGAGGATGCATTGAATGGGTTTATTGAGCCGGAAACATTAGATGGAAATAACCAGTACGCGTGCGAGAACTGCAACAAAAAGTGTGATGCAAAAAAAGGACTCAAATTTGTCAAAATTCCATATCTTCTCACCCTTCACCTGATGCGCTTCGACTTTGACTACAACAGTCTGCATAGATTAAAATTGAACGACAAGTAATTTAAAAGTCGTAGCAATTTTTTATTTACCAACGATGGCTGATTTCAGAGTGGTCTTCCCAGAGATCTTGGACATGAACCCTTTCATCAGCACTACAGCTAAAGAATCTCGAGATGATGAAAAAGGAGACGAGGCTGAGGTAAAAAAGGAAAAAATCGAACTGCAGATTGTGGAGCCGATACAGGAGGAAAATGTAGAAAAGGTTGCCGAAGTTGGTGTTAACGATTCAGCATCAAGCATTGACAATGAATCGCTGCCCTCTCTGGAACCAGCAGAGCCAGTTTTGAATGGAGATGCTAAGGTTGAGCTTTACTTAAGTTTTGTGAAAATTTTAAAGTAATTTCTGGCTTAGGTCAATGGTGCGGAAGCCGAAGACAGTGTCTTTGAAAACGGAGAAGCCGCATGCATAAATGACAACAACGAGAAAAACACTAGACGGAGCCTCGAAAAGGGGCCGTACATGTACGAGCTGTACGCCATCCTGATCCACTCCGGCAATGCATCCGGGGGACACTACTATGCATACATCAAGGACTTCAGCAGTGGCCAGTGGTTCTGTTTCAACGACCAAAATGTTACCAGGGTTAGTTTTGTTTGAAAATCTGAATTTCTCAATTAAAATTTTAAATTGCTTTCAGATAACGAGTGATGACATTCGGAAAACATATGGAGGCAGCCGAGCGTACTACAACTCTGGATATTCACCAAGTACGAGTGCCTACATGCTGATGTACCGGCAAATAGATAAGGAGCGGAATACTGAAGTCATGAAAGTGGAAGATTTCCCTGAACATATCAAGGTACTAAGAAGAGATGTTTGTATTTGAAAATAAACTCAATTTTTTTGCTTTCTAGAATCAACTGGCTGCAATGCAAAATGGAGATGGTGATAGTTACTGCAGAGATTACCTGATGGACACCGTCAAACTCAAAGTCTTTTGCTACTCGCCGCAGAGTGACAGGCAAACAAACTGCAAGCTAAACTGCCTGGGCAGCCTCACTCAAAAAGAAGTCCTTCAGATGGCTCACAAAGTATATATAAAATTTAAAAAAAAAAATTAAAAGAAAGCAATTAATTGATGGTTCCTAGGAATTAAATCTGCAAGCGCACCCCATTGAAAACTGCAGACTGGTCTCTTACGATAGTAGTCAGTACTCGATACTCGGCAGTCTACACGAGTACGAGGAGGAAACGATTGGAAATATTGTGACCACTCTGGACGGAAAGCAGAATTTCTTGCTTCAGATCAAGAGCATCCCAGACCCGTGGCAGCCTTTTGTATCTGGAGGTTGGTTTGAAAAATAATATTCACATCCACTGGATCTTATTGAAAATTTATTTCAGATTCCATTGCCAGGATTTTTACTGTTAATCCTGAAACGGAGGAATTGCAAGGGCCTTTCATGCTGCCTGTCCACTACAGAATCGATGCGTTGGAGTTCAAGAAGCTGATGCAGAGGTACATGCCCGAGTTGTTTGGCTCAGTTCCTGTCGACAACATTTCCGTGGTGCTGGAAAAGTTCTCCATGGAAAGTCTGTACCCCTTGCAAGAAGGCAGCCAGCTCTTCGACTCTGACAGTTACGCAGCCACCATGAAGAAGGTATTTGTCGGTGTCAACGACGACGAGAAGTCTTTCCAAAACTCGAAGCTGTACAAAGTGATCGACCGTTACCAAAATATCATTACGTTGGTTGTTTTATTGCCGGACCTCGAATCTGGTCAGTAATTTTTGAATCCATCCGTTGTAAATTTCATCAAATTTTTTTTCACAGAGGACCTCGAGGACTTGGAGATTCCGCTGCTGAGTGCGTACAATCAGCAGAAGACTGAAGAGGAAGAGGCTGCTCGAGAACGGTCGAGTCCGAATCCACCTCGTCCGCAGAGCAGCCTTCAAGTGGCACCTTCCTCAGCGGCTGCCTCGGAAGGTAACGAAGAAGACTTGGCCGCCAGCACTGACCAGAGTGCAAGTGAAGATTCAAGTCTGACTGACAGTGACAGGACCCTGGTTGGTGACCAGGAGAACTTGCTCGTGCAGCTTTCCTCACCCAGCGACGAGTCGGCCGGAGGTGATGGACAAGCAGCCTCTTCGCCCGACGATCCTCCTCAGGACAAGGAAGGCAAAAATGAGGTAATTTTTCTGTAAATTTCATGGATTTTTCATTGATTAATGGAACTTCTTCAGTCTGATTGGGATGACGTGGATGGAGACAGAGATGGTGCCAGAGTTTCCCACTCGAGGCCTCAAAGTTACACTTACTTCAAAGCAACTCCATTGGACGAGGGATCTTCAAAAAGTGAGTTGACAACAAAATATTTGAGAAAATTATTTTTTATGAAATTTATTTAGTGCTGATTGTGGAGGTGGACAAACGCGTGTCGATGGCGTGGTTCAAGAGGCACCTCGAGCCATTTGTCGGCGTGCCATGTGACTACTTCAAAGTACTTCGCACGAACGACGAGTACGATTACACCAGTCTGAGTCCGAGCTTCCGTGACGGTGACAAAGTCAACGTCCGCCTAGGCAGAGCGCTGAGGAAGGGAGAGTTTACTGGAAAAGTTTTCAAACTCGTTCCTGACGATACTGACGTGAGCATTGCAATTGAACTTGAAAGAATATAATTAATAATTTTGAACTCCAGCCTACAAAGTTCCTGTTCAACTGCACGCTTTCCAATGGAATGCTTGTCTCCGACGCCAAAAAGTTAATCCTCAAGGATCTGAAGAAAAAGAACAACGTTGAGATTCCGTTAGAAAGGTGATTTATTTATTTTTTATTTCTTTTGTCCTCTATCTATTCAATGGCAGGTGTCGACTGAGAAAGAAAAGCTGGAAAAATCCAGGCCAGGTTTATTACGACCACCAGAAGTTTGAGGAAAGCATGTGCCTGATGGCAAACTGGGAGATGTTCCTGCAAGAACTGCCTGAAAACTGGCCGCAAAAAACTTCAGAGGACTCTCTACCCGAGCTGGTGCTTTTTGTGCGCAAATGGAGTCCAAGCACCATGACCATGGGGCCATTCGAAGAGGTCGAGTTGTCCACGACAACTGGGCAAGAGCTGAAGGAAAAGGTAACAGAAATATTTATTAATTGAACAAATTATAATATTTTTGCTTCAGCTATCTGGAATGAGCGGCATCCCTGCTGAAAACGTAGGCATAGTGAAGGCGCCAGGCTCGTTCCCTTGCGACATTTCTGTCTTGACTGTGCACACCGAGCTCGAGTGGATTTCAGCAACGAGCAACCTCAACGAGTGGCCATTCAACATCTTTGAAGACGGACACGTGATTTTCTACAGGTAAATTTCGCCGAGCCGTGAAATTTTAATATTGACAAAGTGAATTTCCACAGAGACAACCAAGAGCAGCTGAAGGAGTTGACGGCGGAGGAGCGGAAGGAGCTGGAGAAGGCGGAAAACCTGCGCAAGCCGCGAGTGGGCGCGAGCAGCTGGACCTTCACTCCGAGGAAAGAGCGCGGCCTGCGCATCTATCTGGACCCGACGCCCCCAAAGGCGACCGCGCCCGTCGCCGAGGCCTCGCCAAACGAGCTCTTCAGCAACTACTGAGTGCCTTGCAGGACTGATCAGCTACTCGCGCTTTGCCAAAGACCAAGCTTGTTTCCTCACCGTTGGTCGTTTCCCGAGGGAAGAAATAACATTGTTTTTCATGTGTTGACGAGATTTCAGTTTTGTGACGCCAACAAGTGCCTTTCTATCTCACGTATCTTTAGTTTCAGAAAAGTAATGTGGCTTGTTAACTTGATTATATTGATTCTCGGCTGAATTTTGTTATGAAAAGTGCAGAGAATTGACCAAACTTTGTGTGAGATGATTTGCAAAATGGTTTGGTTGCTTTAAAGAATTAATAAATTAGAGCAGCGATAATTTTGTAATTAAATTTTTGTTTCTTTGTCTTTTTTGCTTGTGCACTCGCGACGTGGAATTTACTCGCTGTTGTCTGTTGCGCCTTCGTCGAGTGGTTGCTGGATGACTGCGATTTCCCTTTTTTTTTTTAAATAATTAATTGTTGTTGTTGCCTAATTTTTACTGTGAGAAAGAGCCAAGTTAACTAAAAGCTACTGCTGCATTTTTGTCCATGGAGCTACTAAAATAATCGCAATCTGCTGTCGGATTGTGTTAAGAAATGTTCGTGATAGGCCGGAAAGTGCGCTCAAATTTGTAAATTAAATTGTTCTCGGCTCAAATTTGCACACGAAAAATACGAGCCGGAGACGAGCACTCAAGAATTTTAAGTGCGGGTACATATGAATGTGTATAATTATTAACAATTAATGATAATCTGTGTGAGCAAATGAAACGATGATCGAATGACTTGTCTCAAAGTGTAATTAATAAAGGTCATTTTAACCTACACATTATTTATTTCATTTCCTAATTGTCATTTTGTTTTTCTTCACTTTTTTTCAACTTCCTTCTTTTAACATAGTGGTCAATTTTGCTCTCCAAAGACGCTGGAACAATAAAGAAGATTTAATTTATATATTTTTGTTTTAAAACTACGAAAACTTACAACATGTATTTCTTTTGAGCAAAGGTTGGTAAACTTTGGGTTTGACACCCATCACTAGAGCATCTGCCTGTCCTTTGACGGCAACTTCCAGTTTCTCCTCCAAACAGCAAACCATTTCCTTAATCATTGCCGATCTATTGATTTTATTTAATAAGCTTTTGTTTTGAAAAATCTAAATTTCTTCATACTTGATTGCATTCGATGCCCACATGCTTTGCATCTTGAGCACCACCCTAGTGAGTTCCTCTTGCTCAAACTGCCAGTGCAGGTCGTGCTCGTAGTCGCACTGAAAGAGCACCAGAGGAAAGTCCACGGCCAAAGGGTACTGGGGTTTGGGTTTCTCAGGGTCGAGCAGTTGCGAAACTATCGACGCATCCTCTTTGCCCTCTCCGACCAGCAGGAGAACTGAGACGATGCAACGGATCTGGTGCCAGAGGAATGCTTTGCCCTCGATCACCAACTCGCACAGATCGAAAGGGCCCTCGACCTGCAATTACATTCAAATAAACAATAAAATCAATTTTGAATTAAAAAGGGCAAACCTGCGGATTAATTTGATTGGCGACTTTGACCTCTGCCTGGAAAACGGACCTTTTGTAGTCGACAACGCCATTCCCAACGTCCATTTTGCAGAAGTTCCTGAAGTCGTGCCCTCCGAGTAAAAGAGCGGCGGCTGCAGCCATCGCTTGCAGGTCCAAACAGCCTCTGGGGAAGAAGTATCTGTACTTCCTGCGGGTGCAGTCGAAGCGAGCTGAGAATTCGCTGGACGGCGCCGGCGCCCAGCACAGGGCTCGGATTTCATCGGGCAACAACCTGTTGAGCATTTTGCAGTAGGGCAGCTCACCTGAAGCGTTGCCACTGCTGCGGACATCAATCGAGATGACCTGAATATAGATTCGAGTTGTTAATAATTGTTTTAAGGGTTAAAATTTGAACCTGAGAAAAGGCGCTGACACCCTTGTCGGTTCGTCCGCACCGATGGTAATTGCTGCTTTGGCGATTCTCGATGAGGCACGACTTGGTCAGGGCGTTGAAGAGATGATGCTCGACCGTGTTGGCTGAGTTGTCCTGGACTGCGTAGCCATCCAGGTCCCAGCCGAGGTACAGCAGCTTGATCAAAATCCTTCTTTTCGTGCATCTGAGATGGAAAAAAAATGATTAGATTTTTATATCTTTCAAAACATAATTAAATAAATATAAAAATTTAGAAAATAATATGTTTATTCAAATAATTTTGCTAATGAAAAAGATGAATCAATTAAATACTTGGTGAAGTCGAACTGTCTTCCTGCATTTTTCCTGACGGACGTTGATTGTTTTTTACCATCTTCTTGATTTAATGGTTCTTCCTCTTTATTTCCGCTTTTCCTAATAATATTTTTCAGCTGGAAAGTGTGCGCCTCCAACTGTTGAATCCTGGCTATCAGTTCCTGTTTCAACAAATAGAAAGTATTAAAAAAACTGTGAAGAATGTTTGAATTATTCTATACTTCCTTGGAGAACTCTTGCAATTCTTTAAGAGGTGTCGACCCCGTTATTCGATTCTTTGAACGCTTCCGATCGACGACAAACTCTGGTGCCTTTTTACCCGCTGACATCATGGCCAGAAGCCAGAATGGTAAAAAGCTTTAGATGAAGATTAAACAATCACAACACATGATAGATTGTTTTGTTTCTGAACTTAATCCGATCTTGCAGGTTCGCGGTGCCTCCGCCATCTATGGACTGATTTCGAAAGCTTCTATTATACGGTTAAGGCAATTATTAAATTACATACGATTATTATGCTTGTAGCGCTCAGTTTTGGTAGATAATTAATTCCGTAGAGTTAGTGTTTGCTTTACTGAAATAATAATCGTTTTTATACAGTTCTCAATTTATACCAATTATTTCATTAAAGAATTTATTATAAGCGCCAAGCGACAACATAATGAGATGATAATATGATTTACAGCTAAATTTATGATCATTTTATTTAACTCTGTTGAGCTACTATCAATGGATATATTTAATTATATTATAATTTTTCTAATAAAATGAGAAAAGAAATTACAACAAGAACATAACACAATTTGGATTTTGCATTTCAGTCAAAATATTTCGATCCAAATAAGTTTTTGAAAACTGGGAAAATTTCAGTAATGATTGAAAAATTCCATGTAATTCCATGTAAGTAAATCAATGAAAAATTCTTACGAGTTTGCGGTGCTGGGACCTGGGGCGAACAACATTAACAAAACCTATACTATACTCACCGCACATGGTCTGCGCCAGACTGATGGGTCATGATTTCTCGACTTGTTGGTGCGCCGGTTCTACACTTAAAGTTTCACGTCGACATGCAGTGTTCCGAGTGCGCCTGTCGCGGCGGCGCCAAAACTGCCGTCGAGCGCAAGTGAATGAAACAGATTTAAAGAGGATGGAGTCTTTTATTGTGAGGTTCATTTTTCATTTCAATAACCGGAGAAAACTTTGGTGAGCGCGTGAATTTTTATTAATGCGGCCGCATTCGAAGCTGTCTTATATTATTATCATTATTCAATCCAATCTTCTCGGCCAGTACACACAAATTAAATTGGGAAAAACGAGATGAGAAGTTCCTAATTTGTTAGTGTGAGTGTTTTTTTTTCTTTTGAAATTTTAAGTGTAGAGTTGTGTCGTGTCGTGTTTGCGAAATCATGATCCTAGTTATGTTCAGAGTGTTGCCGCTTGTCTTAAGTTTTGAGTTTTAAGTGGAAATATTGATTTATGTTGGAAAAAGAAATTCTAAAAATAATTTCTGTCTTAAATCTTTTGAAGCAAAATTTAATCGATACATTTTGGTTTATCTAAATAATGACAGTTACCATAGAGTTTTCAATTATAATACCCGATATTGTCGAGTTAACATTTTTCAAATTAGGGATTATTGGCGGCCGCTTTTATAATCACTGTTTATTAATTTTTTTATTCAACTTGCGCAATAATTAATTCAAGGGCCAATTTTTATGCAGGGAGAATTCAAATATAAATTAAACAAATCGATATTTATTTGAAGTTTCAATAGAGCTTCCTGCAGTTTTTGGCAATTGATTTAATCAATTTTTTATGAAATCAAATCCAGCTCTTTCAGCCTTTTATGAAGATAAGGAAATTTATTACTTTCTGCGTACAAAAGAAAATCCCTGAATTCATGAGCTGTGCTTACAAAACGGCACCACCATTAGCAAAAATTTTGCTAAAACTTCCCAGGATCAAAATGATGGAAAAGACCCCATCCGCTGCAATTTGGAACGCAATATTCCTATTCTCATTTTTATAATGCAGAAAAATGCTGAATTCTAAAATCTATTATTTGTTTACGAAAATTCTAAAAAAACTGGAAACTAATTGTGAAATGTGTCTTCTTTTCTTGTTGGAAGACGAAACGAAACTGAGCATTGTTTTCTGCATGCATCATGCTGGAATATAGCAAATTTATCTATCACCATTCGCCAATAATCTTTAAGAATAAATTTTGGTGTAATAATGAGCAGGGACAAAAAAAGGCAATTTTCTTATTTGTTTAAAAAAAAACTAAGACTTTATATTATAAGTAAAATAATTATCATTTTTTCCCAAGATTAAATATCAAAGTTTTCAATACCTCTAGACTCTTTTACAATTACAAATTTGAGGATGATTTTAATAAAACTAGTGGTTTAACCAGACATATATGACGAATTTTTATTAACTTTCCAATGCTCTATGCCAACATGATATTGGGTTTTACGTGAATTATGGGACAACAAAAAGTATTACATAATATGAAAGTAATTTTTTACTTCCCTTATTTTTAACCAAACTTCAATTCTTGCTCGTCAAAAATCATATTAACATTCAATATAAAAAAGTGCATATAAGGAAATTTTTTATGATTTAGAGCTTAAAAGAAAGAGAAAAGGAAAATGGAATTCACAAATAAATTGATTAAGATTTCTCAAATTGTCAGTTCGAACAAAACAACATAATTAAACTGAATCGGAAATATTGTTTTTTTTTTTAAATTTACACCAAAATCACATTTATTTTATCTTTTTCCATAGAGCTTGTTTATTCATCAATGCTAATGCGGACTTCTCCGTGGTTCTGACTACGTTCTGCACGTTCCCTGCTCTGCAAGCAAAATAATTGAAACAAAATTATTTAAAAATAGTAGTAACGAAGTCAAAATTAAATTCAAATAAATCAAAATCAGAGTTTGTTGAAAAAAAAAACAATTTTGAAGGAGAAATCAATCAACATTGATTTTTACAAGTGATCTGATTTGAATTATTGAATTGATGAAATATCAGTGCTTGTTGTTGAAAATCAACTCACAATTATCGGCAGGCAAAGATCTGCACCCGGTTCACGTGGTGTGTAGGGATAATTCTCGTCGCTGTCTTCGTCACCTGGAAAATAGCAGCAGCAACACGTTTTGGTGCAAAAGTTGCAGAAAATAATGCACAATATTAGGCAAATGTAGGCTGAGATGAGAAATTCGTCCTCTCTGTCCACGGGCATTTTTCAGTTCTACGAACAAAGCAGTATGATTTGTAATTATTTACAATATATTTAAATTAATAACACTAAACAATAATAAATTGCACTACAGCTTGGTAAATTTTTTATGTCCAGATCGAGCTGTTGAAGTATAGAATAATGAGTAAATGGTAAAAAAATTTGAATTTTGAATGATAATTGAAAATCCCTTTTATATCGGTGAAAATTGTTTAATTTCAAGTGATTTAAATACATTTTTTTTGTGTACATATTATATATTTTTAAACTAATAAGTTAATAAAATTTATTTTAACCATACCAAATTGCGTGCTTTCAATTTTTATTTTATATAGAAAGCAATTATTAAAAAAGTGGACAAACAATCAAAGATTAAGTTCTTTCATTGGAAATTAAAGCCAAGGAAATGCTTTGAAAGTGGGTGCAATTTTAATTAGTAACTAAAGTAATTTCCTTGAGGTGGATTTACGATCCGAGGCGCGAGAGATGTTTGAGACAAAAGAAAGTCAAGAAACTTGTTCTTGTGATAATAAAAAATGCCAATGAAGTGCAAAAATTAACATTCTTTAAAACTATACCAATTAATTTGTTTTCTTTTCCTTTTACGACTCCAGCTCAGCGAGAAATGTTTTATTTGCAAACACTTTCGCTTTCAAATTGAGCCCAAGATTACAAGTTGATTGCTATAGAGCTCTGGTTGCTAATTCTCTCCAAAGGCAATTATTCTTATACCTTTTGTGTAAATTTATGACTATAGGTCTTGATTAGGAACATATTTGATGAAAGACGAGTTTTTTTACCAGTAAATTACACGCAATGAGATGCTGACAAAAATAATTTTCTGCCATGGTTTCAATTTGATTACCTTTTTTGTGTGGAAATTTAAAATTCTTAATTTTCTGTACACGGTATCAAGTTAATTGACTTTGACGCGTTTTCTTCATGGTTCTGCAAAAGTACATGAAATATGGCGCAACTCTTGTACGGAACATTTTCTTATAAAATAATAACCCAGGGATGAAAATCCCTTTAAGTTTAAAACTTTAAACTATTCTTTTTTTTTAAATTATTTTGTTTTTCAAATATTTTCTATCAAAACGGGCTATGAATGATGAATGATTTGTGTTCCTATCTTGTAGGCCATATTTTTGTCTTCCCAGAATTACCAAGATAGCGAGTCCTTAGACTTATAAGTCAGTTTAATTTAATTCAAATTCTGAAAAATTCATAATGAAATTCAAGCAGAAAAGGGAAATCGGAGAAATGAATTTTGAGTAAAAAAATTCAGCTACAAGGAAATTAAGTCGTTCCGCGTTAAAACTAGACAACAAAGGATAAATTATATTTGAATCTGTCTGTGCTGGACAGAGTTTGTCTCAGAATGTAGGAGCAATTTTAAAAAGTAAAATGCAGTGCAGTAAAAAATAACAATGTTAAAATCTACCTGAAGAGCGTAGCTTTTGCCGTGCAAGAAGTGAAGTGAGCCAGCGTTGACCTAGGTGCGTGTTGAGTGGACGACTGCTCGGAGTGAAATGGAACTTGATGAGATGCAATGCGTCAAATGCGTGCATTTCATCTCTGCTTCTTTTTCCTTTGCCTGGACCTGCAGCCTGCGCCAAGCTTAATTATATATTTTCTACAATTTCCGAGCACACGACCTGATTACGAGACTGGCGCTTTTCACTGCCACTTAAGCAAAATTCAATAGAGAGCATTTTGCTTTATGCGCAAGTAATATGCGACCGTGACCATACAGTTTGCAATGAATATCATATGTTGCGGCGATTTTATTTTGTTTTTCAGCGCTTCAATGCGCTTAACGTTTGATGTGCAGCGATTCAAAGCAGCTTGCATGATAATTTGAACCCCTTTCACTTTCTGACGCATTTATAGAACCAATTTTTAATAAAAATGAGCAACCACCGAGCTGCGGTGGCGCAATATAATATAATACTTATTTTTTAAAGGCGGGTGGAATCAAATATTGGCAAAAAATTATTAGTACAAATATGGACCATCCCTATACCCTAGCCTAGCCGCAGAAAACGTTTGGCCACCGCGTGATTTTTTTTCAAATTATCTGAATTTGAAGTCATCTTTCTGCCTCCAAAACCAACCTCAAAACGGGCACAAATAATTAAAAGCGGAACTGAG